CTGTCCGCTTCCGCATATTAATAATCATCTGATTGACGTTTACCCGGGAAAGTTCTGTCAGTAAATTGGCGACGGGGGTTTCCCCCATAGCGACCACAGTGACGTGTATCATCACCCATCTGTCAGTGAATGAAACAAAGACACGTTCGGCATGGAAGATGTCGGTAAATGCTACGAGATATATCGAGGCTTAAACATGCATTTTCCATTTATATGTCAAAGTTTGCCCTTGTTATCATAATAGTCCAGCTCACTGTGAGCCAGAATCTGAAATCATCGAAGATTTTGAGGGCTTAGGTATGAGCTCAGTCTAGCACGCACTGCGGGGACCAGCCTCGTTCTTAGTATCATCACTGTATACCCAGTGGCGTAGCCACCGGGGGGCGTGGGGGCGGGGGCGGGCCCCCCATGAAACCTTGTCGACCCCCCCCCCCCAGTCGCCCCCCACTGAGATTTTGACTTTCTAAAAAAATTATCATTGATCTACATGACGCCATGGGCGTCAATCCTGGGGAGGACAGGGGACATGTCCCCCCCCCCCCACTTTTTGAAGGGTGGGGGACACAATATCAAATGTCCCCCCCCCCCCCCCCGATTTTTGAACTCGTGTCTCATTTACAGGGCCCTATTATGTACTACAATGTATCTTTTTCTTAGAAAATATTGGTTAAAGTGGTCAGAAATTGCCTCAGATAGCACCACAGAGCATTTAGAATCCAAAATTTAAGCGGGCCCCGAACCCCACGCCTAAAGCTCAGAATTCTGGTAGCTGATTGAATGACTCCAACCTGGAAAACAATGTTCAAAAAATTGTCTTATGCCTTTAGCTGAGAAAACCTCGAAAATTATGTTTAAATTATTTTCTTTTGTGCTAAGATAATTATTGGTTAAAGTGGTAAGAAATTGCCTCAGATCACACCACAGAGCATCGAGAATCCAAATTTTTTTCGGGGCCCTTAAGCGGGCCCCGAACCCCACGCCTATAGCTCAGAATACCGATATTCAATGACTCCAACCTCGAAAACGATGTTCAAATAATTATCTTTTGCTAAGAAAATATTAGTTAAAGCATGGAGGAAAGTGGTAAGAAATTGCTTCAGATCACACCACAGAACATCTAGAATCATTTTTTTTCCGGGGCCCTTCAGCGGGCCCCGAACCCCACGCCGTAAGGGCTTCGCGCTTGCATCAGTTCTGATCAAGGTATGTCCGCCCCCCCCCCACTTTTGAGAAGCGATTGACGCCCCTGCATGACGCCCCCCATGAAATGTTCCAGCCCCCCCCCCCCCAGCGCCCCCCCCCCCCCCCCCACTGAAAAATTCCTGGCTACGCCACTGTGTATACCTGAGTGTTTACTTCTTTTAGCGACAGATTTGGTGCCGCGCTTAGGTTATCCACAGTGGTTGCTTGGAGGCAATTTTGAATTCCATGTTTAAACTGACGCACTAATCTAACTATGTGACACAAATTGGGAAAATTCCGACACAAAAGGGGCCTCTCGCTTCGCCCACTTTGCGTAGTAGGCAGGCCAACTCGTGAGCGATCAGGAGTTTCCCCGACGCTAATTTAAAAGAAAGTGCAAACCAAGTGAAGCCACACCAAGTTTGGAAAACAGGAACTAGTCCAGGGTTGTTAAATCTTTCGTAAGTTCCGTGAGGTGTGCGCTAAACTGTAAACTGCCATCGTTTCATCGATGACAATAACTTCCTCTTTCTAAACTTAAGGTTTTTTTATCCTGGATCACCCGACTTTGTTTGATGTTTTAAAATAAATTGCCTCAGTTCCGTGTAATATGCGCTGAACTGTGTAAGCTGCGTGCACCCGCTGAAACGAACAGTTTTCTTTCCATGCATAAACTTTCTGATTTTTTAAATGGGTGTTTGTGCCCCTTTTGATCTAGCTCCCGGATTTCTTTTGATGAAGCTTCCGTGTTGTGTGCGCTTAACTGTGGCGGGTGCATATTTATGACTATAATCTGAAATCGTTCATCTCTTTTCTCTATCGAATTCTCTGACCCGGTACCCAGTGAACGAAATAATGCATTGTCATGGCGACAGTTGCGATAATGGCCCAAAACGGGCTCGCGCGATACCACTGACCTCGCCGGAGGCAGGTATTTATCCAGGTTTTCGGGATTATCCTCATTATGCTGGTCACGCAGCCAATATTCCAATGGAGCACGGTACCATACCAAAAATGTATCATTCTATACGAAATTACATGGCTCTACATTGTATAGACACCCGACAGACACCTATATTGTCTCTAGTATAAAAAAAAAAAGAAGAAGAAAAAGGGAGAAAGAAAATGCGTTGACCGACCTGCGTTCCAAATCTACCCCATTTGATTGCCGATTTTACAAAGTTTATCCGCTCACCAAACTTACACACCATTGCTGGACATTAAATCTCACTGAGACTTGGAAGTCCACTCTCGACTTCTAAAACTTGTTCCTTGTATTGGTGCTGACGGAGTCTATATAGCAGCAGCGGATCTCTTATGAGATGCTGTATCTTCATGACTCTTATTTTGATAACAACTCCACCAAAAGCTTAGTTCGGGCGGTCTATTCTTGACGTGGGTCTTATTGTTCTCGCGCTCGAACGGCGAGAACACGACCTACGAACACTGCACTCGAAACAGGATCACACACCACCTTCTCGTCGGGATTTTTCTTGAACAATATACCCATGTCGAGAACAGACCGCCCGAACTCGGCCTATATACCTATCAGGTTTATTCAGGAATATGTTCGTCTCAATTGAGGGCGCACTATAGAAACATCTCCTTAAATTTGGCCTAACGTGAGTATTGAGACTTGAGAGCTCTGTGTAGCTAGAGAGCCCTCACGCAAAATCGCTGCAATACGCTATGCATGGATTGAACGATATCGGTTGGGAAAGAAGAACCACGCTGTTGTGAATCGATTCAATAAAATTGTATTCGCTGTGGAACCACCTCCATTGGCTTGCCTCATCATCTTGTTTAATACCGGTACATGCTGACAATTTTCCTTAACAATGGAGAATTGAGATTTGTGCAGATTTAATCTGCCATATTCCCAAGTCGAATACGAGTACCAGTTATAAGGCAGACTTGTATGACTCGTGACTGGGACTCGATTGAGTCCGACTCGAGTCCCATTTTCCGTGACTCAGACTCGGACGCTGCGGACTCGGACTTAGACTCGGACTCGACCCGCGTGAATCGTGAGTAAACCAAAATTACCAAAAATCATTTATCTTTTTTTAAACACTATAATTACAAATTTTTTTTAAGTCTATTCTCTGTGTTGCAGAAGAAAATAACGCACTGCCCGATGTGCAGCGCGATTTACATTGTTTCCGATATTCATCGCACAATGTATAGATTTGGGGAATCAATGTATAGAAACACGCGTTCACATTGTCTTGATACTGCGTATAAAAATTATGCTAGTTTGGAGTAGCGTTCGCCGGTGCCAGATTATCCTTTCCCGGTAGACACTGCATGCAGTGTCTTGCCTTATAAGACACGTAGGCCTATGTTATACATGCATTTGCAGTTCATTAGATTAGAGAAAAGCTGTGAAAAAAAGGAAACATCTACACTGTGATGTTTAAGGCCAAACAAAAAAATAAGTCGGTCTCTGGTCAGCGCGCGCGTCGATTTTAATCATGCCCGTTGATCTTTTTTTTTCTCCAAAATGTTCCGCGGTAGCTCCAACAGCGCCCTCTATTTCCGGACCTCCTCAATTGTTTTTACCAAAGAGCACCAAGGAATGGGAAATTGCACCAAGGCAAATGATCGAAAGCACCAAGGCAAATTATGGAGGACACCAATGTACATGAGGACACCAAAAAAGCAAAATAGTACCCCACCTTGTCTGTACAATCCAAGCTTGAAGAAGAAAAAAAAAAGCAAAAAAAAAAAAAAAAGCCGCGTGGCCGCGTCAATTCCGGAACTTTTGTCTGACCAGAGACCGAATATTTTTTTTTTGGGGGGGGGGGCCTAAGCAGTACCTTAAAATTTATTTCCAATATATATTAGAGGTGACTCATGACTCGTACTCGGACTCGACCTTTGTGACTCGTGACTCGGACTCGGACTCGACCTTTGTGAATCGTGACCCGGACTCGGACTCGACATGCATGACTCGGGACTCGGACTCGGACTCGGGAAAGGTGACTCGGACTCGATGTTTGGTGACTCGAATACAAGTCTGGTATAAGGCAATTATCCACGAGTACAAGCACGAGTCCGAGCACTTTCCCATGGATACGAGCACATTTTAACGCTCACACTTGTTTTCAATAACCTTTTTGCTTTCAGAATAGGACTTATAACAAAACAGTAGAAAGTTATCTCTTTCGCTGCATGTACTAGTACACTTACCTTTTCACGAATACGATTGTAGGTAACTCCTTTTCTTGCCATGCAAGTACGAGCAAGGGCGTAAATCCCGGGGTTGGGACTATATATCCCTTCACTTTTTGACCAGGGGTGGGTTATTGAATCATTCCCCCACTTTTCCGTAAAGAGAAAAAAATGTTGATTTAGAGGTATATTTCGAACATCCCGGCCAACAACCAAAATTCAATAGCACTGAAAATTGGAGAAACAAAATACAAAAGCTGTTAAAATGCGCCGTTGATATACTATGTATCCTGAAGAGCGCCCCTAGTAGTATAATGTGGTGTCCAGGCCCCCCCCCCCCCCAGCTTTTCGAATTTCCACGGCCGGGCAATTTTTGAATTTTGGTCATCCCCCATGCCCCCACCCGCCGGCACAGATTTACGCCACCGAGTAAGGGTACGAGTAAATTCTAATGAGAGTAGGCCTACACAGCAAATTTTACATGTACCTGAGTAAGTTCCCATACGAGTACTTAAACACTGGTATGGACTAATTTTGGGTGAAGCCGGGTGGGGCTTTTCAATCACAATTTGGTTTGAAATTCACTTTGATTAAATTCACAGACACTCCATATTTTGGTGAGAGATCCTAGACGATCGTCAACCATGACCCTACCGAAGGTGTTGGTTCTGCTGATGTTGATCTCATGCCCTCTGACCTGCGTAGGTGAGACTGGTGCAGCCTGACCGTTTCATATCTTGCACTCAACTAACATTTGATTGGTATTTGCTTTTTTGTTAGTATGGGCAGTACTAAAATTAATGGTAAATTTGAATGTAACTTCGAATTTTGTGTTTTTCTTTCCGATCACTAATTGTGGTACGCAGCTCCTCCCCAACCTTGTCTCCAACGCTACTGCCCGGATGAACCAGGAATCTGCCCGATTGGCCAACTTTGGATTAACAATCAATGTAGTGGTAAGACATACCTTATTGAAAAAAAATTGAAGACGATCCTTGATTTTGCTTGGTGCCCCAAAGAAAATTGCGTTATTTCCGTCACTCCCAACTTGTGAAATAAAATTCTAAATTTTTGTAACATTAAAGAGCCCGTGGCATAAATTTTACTTGGGAACACATATTGTGAAACTTCCTACTCCTCTAATAATTGTATGAAAATTATTTGACATCATTTTTGGTTAATTTTAGTGAAAAGTGCACTTCTTTAAACATTTAAAAACATTTACACGCTTTTCCTGACAAATGAGAGTGCTGTTGCTGTGATGTCATTTCAGGAAGACACTGTTCAGTTTAGGGTGTTTGTAAACATTTTAAACATTTGTTAGCACCTTTGCTCATTGGCCTATTGTCATGCACTGCAACAACAACGAATCGCTAAACAAAAGAAAATTTTAGTCAAATTTCAAAAATTATGGCAAATTTTTGTGCTGAAACAGCTGTAACATTTATATTTTCTGCCAATAAATGACATCACACTTTTGCTAATTAATAAGCAAATGCCTTTAGCATTAGCATAAGCATTAGCATGAAAACAAAAATGGCAAGATTAATTGAAAATAAGGTTAAATTGGACACAAAAGTGCATATACAAGGTCTGCATTGAAAAATTACATTCCATTGCCTTTATGCAAAAATACTCATCACCTAGCTGTGTGAGTCATCATGCATGGGTGCTTTAGGGCTGAGGTCAGGTTTTTTTCCTTGAGTGTGCACCCAATCTATGACGAAATATTTTCATCATATTGATTTTTTGCTACAAAATGACTGTGATTGTTGTATTGCAAAGCCAATCTGGGGGAAAAAATTCTTGAAAGTAAAAAATAGTAGAATTTGTGTCGCATACTTTTCAATGGATATACAGGCATATGTAGCCATAGAACACAATGTAAGCCGGTCGGTTCTGAAGTTAGATACAATTCCTTCACCCACACTCTGTCAGCAAGACGGCAAAACCAAATATCATAAGGTTTAAGTACATCCCTGTAACAAACCTCTTTAAACGTTGAAAGCAAATCATCTGATAAAAAAAACGCTGAAAAATGTTCCACTTTCAATCGACAACACGCTTGTGTAATTCATAAATCCACACCTTCCCGATTTTACCGGTTCAACGGATCATCGGGCCATCGTTCAGAGACCGGATGAAATCAAACATGCTTGGTATTTTCGCATCCGATTTCGCTGGACGCAATATTTATGTTAACCAATCAGATTCACGAAGAAAGTCACATGGTTGTCATTATGTGACTGGTACTTGTATGACTTATTATCATGTGACCGATTAAAGGACAGAATCGGCCATGAGTGCGGGTAACATAGCGGTCTAACTGCAACGGTGAAAAAAAAAACGTACCGCGGATGGGGTGATCCGGGAAACCGGTAAAATCGGGAAGGTGTGCATATTATATAACTTAAATTTTTTACATCGACTTGTATAGATATCAATGAATGCACCTCTGGTTCGCATAGCTGCCATTCTAGAGCCCGTTGTACCAACACAGTTGGAAGCTACACCTGTGCCTGTTATACTGGCTACACTGGAGATGGAATGTCCTGCTTTGGTATGTTTATCTTATGAGGGACAGGTTAAAATTAATCTTACACAAATTGGTTTGTTTGTTGATATAGATCTTTGTAGTAGTCTTTCGTTTCGGACATTAATTTGTTTTGACTTTCAAATGAATTGCATGTTTACGTTTGTAACTTTGTTAAAATGTGAGACGTTAATACAAAGAAAATTTGTGTGTGTGTAGATATTGATGAGTGTCAAGTAGGACGCAACAACTGCCCGACAACGCACGCTGTGTGCACCAACACAGATGGGAGTTACACTTGTTCATGTGATACTGGCTTCTTAGGGAATGGAAGGACTTACTGCAATGGTATGATATGACCTTGTCCGAGGAGAGCTTTTTATTTAAATAGGTTCACATAGCTGCCAGACCCATGCTGGATGTACCAACACAGACGGAAGCTACACATGTGTCTGTAATACTGGTTACAGTGGCGGTAGAAGGACTTGCATAGGTATGATTGTGGGTATGGGTGGTTGGAAATTGATATCCACTTTTGTGTGTAATGGGTTCCTGCACGGACACTGAAAGCATATCTCATTGTGCTTTGATACTTTCATTCAGATTTTTCGGTTTGTCGGCCGGATGTGGAAGTTTGTTTTGACCTACTGCGGAGAAGGTTCCCACAGAAAGCTTGCCGCAAATTTTTATTAGGTTTAACAAAATTGCAGCAAGCTTAAATAATTATGCGTGAGATTGCACGTTTTCAATCTACATGTAGCCTAGTTGCAAGCAAATTACATACATACTGCAACAAGAGCTTGAATGCTTGCACGGGTATGACGCAAGCTTGTACATGTAATTTGAGGCTTGTTGCCAACTTGAGCATGTACTTGCAAGCTTGCAGCAAGTTTGAGCATGTACTTGCAAGCTTGCAGCAAGTTTGTGCATGTACTTGCAAGCTTGCTGCAATATTGCTATCACGCCTGACTGCAAGCTGAAGCGCATCGAGTGTTGTATCACAGTTGTATTTTTTCATTCTTAACTCATTTTGTGTAGATATCAACGAATGTACATCGGGTTCACATAGCTGTCATACCAATGCTGGATGTACCAACACAGTTGGAAGCTACACGTGCGCCTGCAACACTGGCTACAGTGGCGATGGAAGGACTTGCACAGGTATTTTCAAACATGAACAACTAGTTTGGTTTTCTCCAAAAGTAATATTGATATGCGATTGTCAAACGGCTAATTTGTTTACCCTTTCAGTGCAAAACCACAAAATAGTTAGCAAGACGATTGTTGAATGAAAGAATGTAAATCTTTCTGAAATCACACTCTCAATTGCAATGTGTTCTTTCAAAACCAAACGTGTCATGGCAGAGCTTGAATTAAATTCAAAGTTGTTTTTCTTCAAGATATCAATGAATGTGCTGCAAATACAGACAACTGCCACACCCAAGCCCAGTGTGCTAATACAGTTGGAAGCTACACGTGCGCCTGTAATGCTGGCTTCAGTGGTGATGGAAGGACTTGCACAGGTATTTTCAAACATAGAAAACGCTTTTGGTTTACGTTGAAATACTGTTTTATGCAAAGACAGCATATTTTTTGTTTTTATTTATTTCAACGGAATTGCAAATAAGTATTTTCTTTTCGCTTGTCACGCTTTGCTACAAGATTGCAATTTCTTGTTATTTGAAAGCTCTCCAAAAGTAATATCGATATGTGATTGTCAAACGGCTAATTTGTTTAACGTTTCATGGCAGAGCTTGAATTAAATTCAAACTTTTTTTCTTCAAGATATCAATGAATGTGCTGCAAATACTGACAACTGCCACACTCAATCCCAGTGTACCAATACAGTTGGAAGCTACACGTGCGCCTGTAATGCTGGCTTCAGTGGTGATGCAAAGACAGCATAATATTGCAATATACCTGTTATGGTATGTCCGTGTAGAGGTTCTATTAGGTGCTAGTGAGCTCAAGGCCATTGCAACTTTGTACGATTAGATCAGGCGTAGTCTGACTCGGCATTCGTCAAATGATGTTATAGGCTATAGTTTTAAACGACTATAATGAACCTGGGTATCGCATAGGATAGGGCTACATTAAAGTGCTTCTTGCATTGTGTCACAGTTATCTTCATACCTGGATTTGTAATATGTATAGATATCAACGAATGTACTTCAGGGTCACATAGCTGCCATACCAATGCTGGATGTACCAATACATATGGAAGCTACACGTGCGCATGTAATGCTGGTTACAGTGGCGATGGATGGACTTGCGCAGGTATGATTTTGGGTATGGGTGGCTGGAAATTGATAACCGCTTTTGTGTGCAATGGGTTCAGCATATTTTCATTTGGCTAAAGATGTTTTGGTTTGTCGGCCGGATATCCAGGGCTTGAGGGCTATAATATCATAAAGTGTAATAGGAAACTTCTAAATTTATGTTCAGTTATCAATGTTAAACGATGAATTTGGGTGCATTTAGGCTATATTTTGCAGTCCCTACTTGGAATTTTGTTTTGTCTAATACTGCGAAGAACTTTCCTACAGAAAAGTAAGCTTGCCTCGAAGTTTCATTAGGCTGGTGAAAAGACTGCAACAGGCCTCATAGTTTGTGGTTGCACTCTTACATGCAAGCAAGTTGCAAGCAAATTATAAGCTTGCAGAAACCTTGCAGCAAGAGCTTGAAATGCTTGTACACGTGTGAGCCAAGCTTGAACATAATTTTAATGTACTTGCGGGCTTGCAGCAAGCTTGCGATTGCCAAACTTGTAGCAGGCTTTCGCATGTACGCGCACAATTGTGGCAATTTTTGGAATCGTCCAAGCTTGATTGGACAGTTCCAAATATATGTGTGTCAAGATCGCCGGCAAGTGTGCACGCAAGATTGCGGTATGGTTGACTTGGTATGCTTGGCTGATACGCCTCGAGTGCTGTATCATAGTGTTCTTATATAACTTCTTACTTTTCGTATTGTATAGATATCAACGAATGTACCGCGGGTTCACATAGCTGCCATACCCATGCTGGATGTACAAATACAGTTGGAAGCTACACGTGCGCCTGCAACACTGGCTTCAGTGGCGATGGAAGGACTTGTGCAGGTATGATCAAACATAGAAAACTAGTTGGGATTTCGTTGAAATACGTTTGATGAAAAGACATGTGCATTTTTTGGCATTTATTTCAAATGAGTCTTTTCGTTTGCCAAGCTTCGCTAAACTGATTGCAATTTCTCGTTACATGAAAGCTCTCAAAAAGCAATATTGATATGTGATTGACAAATGGCTAATTTGTTGTCAAGTTTCAATACAAAATCACGAAAGTGTGCTCAATGTTTACTTGGTAGTTTACACTAATTATCATTGACAGAAGGAATGTAACTCTTCGGGGCTCTCGACCGTGGTAAAAAGCGCCCTCTGTTGTTCGCGCATAGAGCCCATACTCAAACAGATCGAGTACAGTGAACTCTTTTGAGAGATTACAAGTCGAAATCCGCACTTCTTCAAAATGGCAACACTCTATCGCCCGTTGCAATAACACCCGTTTTTAACTGGCGTTCAGAGACGTAGCGACGAAAAATATTCAGAAATTTGATTTCGGTTCGAAGTTTTAAACAATAATATGACCGGCTACACACGAAAGATTGACTGTTGCAGCCATGCATTCAAAACGACCGCAGAGTTCAGTGAATACAATCGTAGTTTGTATGAATTTTCCGAGGGAACTCATGATTTTATAATACCCTTTGCACTTGTTGTCACATCTAATGCAGGGTTTGTCCCTTTGTGATACACACGAAGAGACTGTTTGTACTTTTATTGCCTCTGAATCTAAATAACAACAAATTGTCCTCAGTGAGGGCGCCCTTTGTAAGGGGTCTATTGATAGAGCAGTTGGAAGCCTCATAATGTGTCATTACTGTGTATTATCATCAGTCATCATGCGTGCTATACATAGTGGTAAAAAAACCCCGCAACCTCATTCTTCCACTATTCAGAGACATACATTATTAATATATATGGATAGGGAATTTTGTTGGAAGGAAAATGATAACAACAACTCCCGATTCGGTCCAGTATTTCTGATTCCAGCGCCATTTTTGTTAACCAAAGTCAGGGGCTCTAATTAGGATTATCACACAGAGTGAACAAAAGGAAAAGATGGGAGTTACACTTGTTCATGTGATACTGGCTTTTCAGGAGATGGAAGGACTTACTGCAATGGTATGATAGGACTTTGTCTGAGTTTCTCTTAAAAAAGAGGAGAGCTTTTTATTTACGTACCTAATTCATAGCCAAAAAAAACATACAACTAAACATACAATCGCAGTTTGTATGAATTTTCTAGGGGAACTAATGTTTTGTAATTATTTACCCTTTGCAACTATCGTCACATCTAAGGCATGTCTTTGTCCCTTTGTAATACACATGAATAGACGTGTCCTAGTCCGTGAGGGATAGTTTGATTGAAGTTGAGGTGGGCAACTCCGCTAACATGATATATTCTAGTACTGACTCTTGTGTTTTTTTTAACAAACGGAAATGAACTTGATCTTGTATAGAATAGGCCTAAAAGCGCCTGCTGTTTTGTGTTACTGATCTGTTCTTAACTCGATTTGTACAGATATCAACGAGTGTGATGTGGGTTCACATAGCTGTCATACCCATGCTGGATGTACAAATACAGTTGGAAGCTACACATGCGCCTGTAATACTGGCTTCAGTGGTAATGGAAGAACCTGCATAGGTATGATTATGGGTATAGGGCGGTATTAAAGGGAATATACAACATTTGCAAACTTCGAAAAATAAAACTACCAAGTTTTTACGAAATACCTTAATAGGATGTTGGTAAATGACAGTCTAAAGCATCCTGTAAAATTATGGCACCTGGTGTGAAGTCATTTTCAAGAAAATGGTATTTTTGTAAACATTTCCAGCGGTGGTCGGCCGACCACCGTTAGAAAAACCTAACTATTTTTCAACTACTGCTCCAAATTTACCATTAATTTAGTCCAAATTTTGTTTGCTATTGGTTACATGTTCATGAACTGGTGCAGGCCAGCTAGACTGGTACCCTTACCTTACAATTTTCCGGCATCTGTAAATTGATCCATTTTATATTTAGTGGAGTACCAGACTACTTGAACAGGTTTGTTTTTCTTGGTTTTTCCAGCATTTTCGAACACAAAACTTCAAACATGTCAGTGTAACAATATTTGATCTATTATACTTACCCCCAAAGTAATTCATTTCTGAAAATTACAGCAAAGGCCAATGATGTACATTCCCTTTAAATCGAAAAAAAAGTTTTGTGTGCAAGCTAACTTTATCGTTGGGTGTAAGATTATGTTGGTATCGGTCGGATGCTTGCTATAGGGTCAATATCATGTAGTATAATGCGAATTTTATGTTCAATATATTGTTGTTAATGAATTTGGGCTCATTTATATTTTGACCCTGCTTGTAAGTATGTTTTGACTTACTTGGAATAACGTATTTTCTATGGAAACATTGAAACGTGGAGGCTTGTGTTTAATCACAGTATCTTCTTACCTCGATTTGTACAGATATCAATGAATGTACCACTGGTTCACATAGCTGCCATAACCATGCTGGATGTTCCAACACAGTTGGAAGCTACACGTGTTCCTGCTATGTTGGTTACAGAGGCGATGGAAGGACTTGCACAGGTATGATCAACCTCAGTGTGCAGTAGAACTTGACAACCAGTTTGGTTTTCTTTGAAATATTTTAACATGCAAAGACAGCATATTGTGTTTGTATTTCGCCCTTTGAGCCCTATCTCCTGCATCCGCAAATGTTGCAAAAAAAATACATTGCAAAAGAATTGTATGTAACTCAACTGAAATTGTTTACAATAAAAAGTGGCGAAGTAGAATATGTCCTTTGTCAAGTTCCAGCCAATTTGAGAAACCTCCTCAAATACAATTTTTTTCCATTTATTTGCGTTTCATTTCTAACCCAAATGCCACTGTTTTCAATGTAAAACTAATATACCTCAAAATATTTCATATATATTATGTAACGCAAACTTGAATTTAATTCAAACCTTTTTTTCCACAAGATATCAATGAATGTGCCGAAGATACTGACAACTGCCACGCCCAAGCCCAGTGTACCAATACAGTTGGAAGCTACACGTGCGCCTGTACTACTGGCTTTAGTGGCAATGGAAGGACCTGCATAGGTATGATCATCGTGTCGTGGATTTATTAAGTGCTAGATAATGAAAGGCCGGTTAAGTTTTGTTAAAGTAGATCTGGCTTAGTCTGATTCGGCCTCTTTCAGCCCAATTTGATGGAAGCTAACTGTATACATCAATTTGTAATACTGGCTGCAATGATGGTAGTACATGCATGTAGGTATTGGTATTGTCTTAGATTAGATTTATGTTTAAGTTGGCAACTCTGTCATGACGGTAATTACCGACTCTTTATACATCAATGCAAAATATGGTCCTTAAAGCGCTTCTTGTGTTTTTTTCTTATCTCTATTTGTATAGATATCAACGAATGTACCGCGGGTTCACATAACTGCCATACCCATGCTGGATGTACCAATACATATGGAAGCTACACATGCGCCTGTAATGCTGGCTACAGGGGCGATGGAAGGATTTGCACGGGTATAATTGTGGGGCCGGGTATAGACAGTTGAAATTTTATAATTAGTTGTTTGTGCAATGAGTTGCCGGACTCTTTCAGCAAGCTTTCATTTGGGTTGAAGGTATTTCGGTACATTAAATATAACGCCCTTTGTGTTTGTTATGAGTATCGTTCTTATATCTATTTCTGTATAGCATAGATATCAACGAATGTACCACGGATTCACATAGCCGTCATACCAATTCCGAATGTACCAATAATTGAGTTAGTTTAGAACAGTCAGTTGTCGTGTCACGCGTAGCTGCTCTTATTTCTCGTCCACACAACTGACAGCAACGCAAGGCAAGCGAACGATGGCCGTAAAAAGGGCTTTTGAAAATTCGCAATTTCAATGCCGAACCACAACCGATCCATACAAACAAAGCTGTTTTAGGTAGTAAAAGATCGAATAGATACATCTATCAACTAAGGTCTTTTTTTCTTAAAATGCATTTTGACGATTATTATTTCACTGACAAATCGACTAAAAAATTACGCAATGAAAGTTCAGTTTTTTCCGACAACGACGAAAGTCTCCCAAATGTTGAGGTAATCAAAGGAAGGAATAGAACCTTCATCTACAAAAAACCTCGAACGTCATATCGTCAATATTTTAAGAATTCGATGTACACCTAATTTTCCAACAACTTCCATTTGTCACAACGCGAAAAGATCGTCGCCATTGTAAAAGCATAGAGCAAGGAACCGTTCAGGAACTTGTTGAGTCAGCGATCCAGTTTGGTTTATCTCATCTATGACTATTTGCGTTTTATTTCAAACCAGGGCGCAACTGTTTTTGATGAAAATCGAAACAGCTCAAGAGTATACTTGAATTTAATTCATTTTTTTTTCAAGATATTAATGAATGTGCCGAAGATACTGACAACTGTCACGCCCAAGCCCAGTGTACCAATACAGTTGGAAGCTACACGTGCGCCTGTAATGCTGGCTATAGTGGCGATGGAAGGACCTGCATAGGTATGCGATATTGCCTGGAGGGAACCTTACATAGTTTGAGTTATGTTGAAGTAGGCGACTCAGCCAAGACGGTGCTCATGCACTGACTAATGCATCCTTGCAATTCCTTTTTTGCCATAAAAAATGATGTTCGGCTTGTTTTGACATACTGATATGAACTTGATATGGGCCTGAAGCACCTCTTTTGTTGTGTTTTAGTGCAGTTGTTGTTTTTTTGTATAGATATCAACGAATGTACAGCGGGTTCACATAGCTGTCATACCCAAGCTGGATGTACAAATACAGTTGGAGGCTACACGTGTGCCTGCAATACTGGCTACAGTGGCGATGGAAGGACCTGCTATGGTATGAATGACAATAAAGTTAGTTTGATATTCGATATTTGACATTCACATGCGTTTGTGCTGCGAATGTATGAGTTTCAAGTTGGATGTTCGATATGCGATATTCACATACATTTGTACAACGAATGTGTGTGTTTGTGTCGGACGCGGCTGTGCTTCGGTCGCTTTGCGCATAATGAACTCGTGAACATCTCATACAAGTGTGTATTTGCCTGCAATCGGGGACCCCCTATACCCTCTTTTTTGTCCCATAACTTCCCCTTTTGAATGCAGAAACAAACTCGGGATATCAGACACAGCGAATGTGTGTGATATTGCAATATTGGATAGTCGACATTCACACACGTTTGTACGGCGAATTAATGGTTTTTAATATCGATATTCGACATTCACATTTGTTTGTAAGCAAATGTGGATATTTTGATGTTCGATAGTCGCCTAGGTCGGTATGCGTACCTCGGGCGTTGTAAAAGGCATATCGCACATCAAAGTAGTCAGCAATAGTTAAATAAACATCAAACAAACAAAAACACAATATTTTTCGAATAGACCTATTTGAACATAAAAAAAAACAAAAACACACACACACATTCGCTATCATTTGATTTAAATCTTAAAACGATGAAAATGAATTAAATGGGAGGAAAAATACAGGATATACTTGGGCAAAAAAACACCAATATAATGTGCAGATTAAGTTTGCTGGCGGCCTCAAATCCGACTTTGAATATAACTTTCAGCCATTATTAACTTTCGGGTAATTCAACTAGATAGCATGCGTTCTATTGGAAGTTACATCAAAAGTTAACCTTGTGGATTGTTTATAGATATCAATGAATGTTTCCTCGGAACTGTTGACTGCGATATTAACGCTCTGTGCACTAATACTCCTGGAAGCTATGAGTGTGGCTGTATTGAAGGTTTCAGAGGCAACGGAAGGACGTGTGATGGTAAGACTATTAAATCTTTGTATTAAGGCTGATTATTTTGGTTCAATATAGGTATTGTCATTTTAGTGCAGACCAGGAAAGCTGTTCTACTTAGAGAAAACAGATCAAACTTGGCACTTCCAATTTAAAAGAACTGATCTAATAGGCCTAATAATTATACATCTTTGTCAGGCGAAAAACTTTAATGCCCCCAAAGTTCTAATACAGGATTCTCTTTGATGATAATAACAGAAAAATTGCGAAATTTATGACATGACACTTTTTATTTCATTGCAATTCTGTTCAAGATATTAATGAATGTTCTGAAGGATCTGATAATTGTAATGAAAGCACTTCGGACTGCAGCAACACAATTGCAAGCTTCACGTGTGACTGTAAGACCGGCTACGCCAGAGGACCAGGAAGGACCTGCATAGGTAGGGTTCCATCAAGTGTGAAGAACCAATACGCAAGGCAGATTTCATGAAACAAACCTTCATACACTCATCTATTATTTGAAGAAATAATGATCTGCGGTATTTGCTGGAATTCGGGAAAATATTTCGACAATGTTCTTACGACCAGTACCGCTTTTAAGAGGTTTCGACCAGCCGTCCACTCAAAAGGCAATGTTAGGCTTCAGGTCCCTTAGTTCAGAGCAGTCACTGTAATTGTTTTCATATTATTTCTTTATAATATAGATGTCAACGAATGCGCTGTAGATAATGGCAACTGTCACGCCCAAGCCCAGTGTACCAATACATTTGGAAGCTACACGTGCGCCTGTAATGTTGGCTTCAGTGGTGATGGAAGGACCTGCTATGGTATTACCGTGTGGTTTATTTCAGTTCTTGTAAATTGAAAACCTGATCATATAGATCACATCGGGCAAAGACCGCGACTCAGCAGTTATTCGCTCTTTTCACACTTCCGCCATGGGCATGCAGAGCCTCGATCTGGCAACTTTACACAACAGATATAGCCGGTTCAGTGATTCCCATGTCGGGGTTCAGATCACTGAACCCGCTATTTTTATTGTGTAAAGTTGCCAGATCGAGGCTCTGCATGCCCAATGGCGGAGTATGAAAAGAGCGAATAGGCCAATTTTGATTTTAGTTACATTTTATCCCGGATTTTCAGTCAAATATGTCTATTAGGCTCTAGGGGAGAAAAAAACAGGGACAGTGACAGGTCAGGGGACATCAGAATAAATGAGCAGTTACGCTTGCGATCACTATGTAAGGAGAATGTGACTAGCCTACGAGGCATTCATACACAAAGAAAGAGTGAAATCTTTCATATCTTGACGCCCTAGATAGATTTGTCTGCGGAATCTACATCAGTCTTATTAGTATCTAATTCGCAAAGTTTTATTTTGTATTTATTTTGTGTGTGTGTGGTTTTTTTTTTAAAAGAAATCAATCCATGTGACCCAACAACAGTTGCATGTCATGTCCATGCTTCCTGCACGGTCACAATGGGAAGTTACATGTGCATCTGTAATGTCGGCTACACTGGGGATGGCAGGACCTGTACAGGTAAAAGAAAAGTCAATAAAACAGTTGTGATTGTGTGCTACTGCTCTACCAGTTCCGTTGAATCGTTGATATTGTTGATCGGCTTATTTATTCAATTAAATGAACAAGACAAATAAGCTGACACATGGTCGAGCTGTTTTGGTTACATTTATTGAGAACCATGTATTTTCAAAGGCCAAACAAATTTTGTAGAAAAATTGCATAAAACAAAAGGGATAGAGGGTGTGAAGAAAATTGCTGAAGTCAGTGCTGCTAAGTCTTGATCCCAAATGAAGCTGATCTCCTTTCCATTTTATACATTATGAACCCATTCCATGGTACTATAAAAGCATTACACTCTTATTTCATGGAAATCACCTCCTAATGTAAGGCCTTTGGTTCTTGGTTCTTGGTTTGTTCTTCTACTAAATACTCCACGTGGGAGTTTATACAGGAGGCCAGAAACACCGGGGCAAACCCCTTCTCTTAGCGATAAGTGTTTACTGGGTTCTTTTACGTGCATTATACAACACACGGGACCTACAGCTTTACGTCCCATCCGAAGGACGAAGCAATAATGGTTAAGTGCCTTGCTTAAGAGCACAAGTGTTGCCTCTGAAACACCAGAACATGAGTCCGGTGCTCTTAACCGCTAGGCCATGACACTCCTTTGGCTTGGTCTACGACATTTTCGGGGGCCTACGAAAATACCACAGTGTGCCAACAGGCTTTTGCAGCCACCAGTTTGGCCTGGCTTGCTTAGAACAACGTACCATCAACATGAAATTGGTGCTGCTGCCTAGCGCGGATCAGTAGGACCTACGGAAACAGCGGGATGTGTGTGAGGGACCTTACTTACGTGTCGCTCCCCTTAAAAATACAAAATTTGTATAATGTCTATATCTTGCTTTTCCTTCTAGACATAAATGAATGCTCCCGTGGAACAGATGACTGTGTCGATAGTAGATCTGTCTGCTCTAACACCGAAGGAAGTTTCACTTGTACCTGTAAGCCAGGCTACACTAGGGGACCTGGAAGGACTTGCATAGGTAACGAGTTTGGGGATGAAATTTTTTACGTTTTTACCGACCCGAAAGTGCTGTCGTAAGAGCTGAGGTTTTAACGTTGTCCTCATTTCTTTTCTATAGATATCAACGAATGTGTACAAAGATCTGATGATTGTGATGTCACAACATCAGTCTGCCATAACACGGAAGGAAGCTTCGCGTGTAACTGTAAGGCTGGCTTCGTTAGAGGAACTGGGAACATTTGCTTAGGTAATAAAGAAAATGTTTGGGTTTTTTTGTTTTTCTTTTAGATCCAATGTTTCATAAGTGCTGAATATACGTATCGTGACAGTTTGTAATAATTGTTTTATTGTTCATATTTTCTTTAGGTTCCGTGACTCTCAGCAGAGAGTAGGTTTGAGAGACAGTATATTATTTATTTGTTTATTACTTAATGTATTATATCTTGTATTCACAGATATCAATGAATGCAGCCTCGGAATTGATGCGTGTCACGTCAAGGCTGAGTGTTCTAACACTCGAGGGAGCTACGGATGCACGTGTGATGCTGGCTACACTGGCGACGGAATCAATTGCGAAGGTTATATCTATGAGCTTTGCGTCAGTTTTTAGCGTTAAGTGCTTTGAGTTTTCTTTAGGACATTTTAAACTTTTGATTCCTTTTCAGGGAGTGTTCATGTAAGACTGCTCTTGTTCTAGCTAGATTGTTCTGGCTTGAGGGTTTGACTTGTTTTAAGTAGTAGGCAGATCTTTAAGACAAGTCATGAAAAGTAAAAGGCCTTTTCATAGATCGTCAGCAATGGCGTATTACAACATGTATCCATGGTTAGTTTCTGGAGAGTACAATCAACGGTTATAACAATAAAAAGTTACTTTTGCTTTCCCCTCAATTTTGAGCGGACAATCCATCAAATTATGTACCGATGCCTCGTAAACGCTAACAGGTCTCTTGGCATGTATCTACAGAAAGATCGGTTTGAACGGTGTCCACTCATTTTATAGGTGTCCACTCATTTTATAGATATCAATGAATGTGATGGAGCGAGCCATGATTGTGATGAAGGAACCTCAGTTTGTGCCAACACGGACGGGAGCTATGAGTGTGGCTGTAAGGATGGCTACACGAGTGGAACTGCACGGACTTGCATAGGTACGGTTGAAGAGGTTCTACGAATTAAATTAAATTTGGCAATCACTTTCGACTCCTTTTTGAAAGGACATGTTTTGTTAGTCAAATTCATTGACAATGAAAGCACTCTGCGTCTGCACATGCGTATCATCACAGAGATACAAAGACGTTTCCTCAGATGTCACATTAATTTGGATGCTACGATTATTATCACGATACACAATACACTCTAGTGCCTGTTTGAATCGGCTGAGTTTGTCTGTTTTGTCCATTTTGTTGCACAGATATCAACGAGTGTTTCCTTGGAACTGTTGACTGCCACACAAACTCAGAGTGTAAAAACACACTAGGAAGCTACGAGTGTACATGCGATGCTGGCTATAGAGGCGATGGAAGGAATTGCTGGGGTGGGTTATGTTCATGACGAGCACACTTTTGTCTGGTTTGGTTTTCAAGATCAAATAGAGGCTCAAGGTACCGCTAAGCCGAGTGAATTTGCCAAACATTTCTTGTATTTAATGTAATTTCTTTTAATGCAGACATCGACGAATGTATTTTGGGAAGTCATTGGTTGTCACGATAACGCCGAATGTGGCAACACACAACCACTGCCTTGTGGGGTACCGGAAATGGGAGGTACCCCACAAGGAATGCCCACCGACTTGTGGGGTACCGTTTTGGTACGCCACAAGTTTTTCACGAAATAGATATATGGATTTTACTAAAAAACTACGAATTTCCAAGGTGGGTTGATGTGTCGCAAAATGGAAGAGTTTTGGAAAATGGATATTAAGTCCGAATTTCAGCCCAGGAAATTAACTATAGTTAAAATAAGAGCATTTTGACATAAGTGTGCGACGTTGCAAAATTTTAGTACACGAGAACAAAGGAAGTACCCCACTTCTATGCCTATGTAAGCGTGGGTGAGTGTGTCTCTGACTCCGGATATCGGAGCGACGGGAGGGCTTGCACAGGTAGGTAAAGCTGGTAGGAAAAGGGAAAACAATTTGAATGGATGAACATCGTGATCTGAAATAGTCTTTTGAATGTAATCATGAATGCACTCAAATTGTCTTGTATTCTTGACATATTGCGGCAATTGTCCAGATACAAGTATAAGACATAGAATGCACGGTTCATGTTCAGGATTTGATGAACCTCAGGGAAAGGGGCCACTGAACCAGCATTGCTCGGTCTCATGGTTTCTGCCAGTTTTGATTTGAAGGTATACAATTGGTCTAGTTAGAAAAAATTAGTCTTGCAAAAACTGAGCGCGTGTAAATAGGTCTATGGCCACACAATCTTGAAAGTCTCGGTTCAACAAGCTTCAGGTGCGCGTTAATACGAAGGTTACACGATTTTCAATGTCAATGCAGGCCATGCATTTTAAGTGGAAGCAGACCATTCTGACTGAATGACCGTATTCAACTGAAGAAACGCTTTCATGTCCAGCATAGTGCCAGGTCTGGACAAATTATAGGGTTAGAACCAAATTACTAATATTTCTTTGAGGAAACTGTAGAACAATCGGTCAACTCAGCAAAATTTGTCCACAAATTTTCCTATAGATATCAACGAATGTTCCGAAGGAATTGATGATTGTGATGACAGCACCTCAGTCTGCCACAACACAGATGGCACCTTCACGTGTGACTGTATGACCGGCTACACTAGAGGATCGGGAAGAACCTGCATCGGTAAGATGGCAGAACTGGCATTGAAATGTTAAATGTTATATTAAGTTCTTAAGTTTTGGTGATATGTTAAACACGATTTCAAAAAAAACCCACCATAATAATCAGGACCTGAGTTAATTCACTATAGTAAAATTTACACCCAGTGATTGGTGGTTTAATTATCGATAGCATAAGGAGCTATTTCGTTTGATACAACACCTCAGTTTTTGTAGTGTGAATCCGCCCCCCCCCCCCTCCCTCAACATTTTTCCGCGATAGCCTCTAAAAAAATAAATTTCGCGACCCGAGCTGTTATGCCTTGAGCTTTGCGCATCTTTTGATACCCAAAACATAAAAATCGGACCACGGGTTGCCGCGTAGCGAAAATTATTCGTGAAAACTGATTTTTTTTGCATATACGTCGTGTACACGGAGCAGAACTGCCATTCGTGCATATGAATAATTAATTAGCCATAATTCCAAAATCCTTTGACCTATAGTCATGACATTTCGTGGGTATGTTTAGAGAAGAGTTGCTCTATGCATGTACTGAGTTTCAAAATGTTTCGTCACTCGATGGCCGAGATCTTGGGGGGGGGGGCGGAATCCCCCCCCCCCCCCCCGGTTGAGAGATGGTCAAAATAACCCGGCCCCTTTAGGGTTAAGTATTCCCTACCTCTGATTATCTTACCGCATCCCGAAACCTTAGTGTTTAAATTCAAAGAAGAAAGAAAACACTGGTTGGTTAGCTCCTATAAACTGCAAAGCTTTAAAGATGCAGTGAAACCAAACACAGCGAACAGACTGAGGACCGGTTCATACTTCACGCGAATGCGAACGCTAAGTGAAATTTACGTCAGGAAACATTCACTGCGAAATTCGCCAGAGTTGAAATGATAGTATGTTCAATTGGGAATTCGCAGTGCGAATACTTGCCATGACGTCACAAAATCGCATTCGCGCTCGCAGGGCACCGAGTATGAACTGGCTATTCCTGACGTCAATTTGGCTTCGCATTCGTGCGCAAAGTACCAACCAATCATTAAGCGATCTTCAGGCGTGTACAGTGCTATTCAAGTGCTATATGCCAGAAGTATAAGAAGTACTCAACCGTCCAATGTGTATTATCATGTCATACTAAATTCCACACCTACTTCACTTTTAAAAACATCTGGGTCACATTGACCCGGAGTCCAAGTATTTGGCTCAACCCTTTCCCGAGTCAAAACTGAAACTTTTCCAGGTCACAATGACACTTTTTCAGGTAAAAAATGACCCGAAAAAGTGTCATTTGACCCCCAAAAGTGTCTTTTTACCCTTTTTTTTTAGCCAATTAGAACCCGGATTCCGGGTCAATCTGACCCGGATGTTTTGAGAGTGCAGATGAGAGACTGACCATATCAAGAAATGATGAGTAACTGATCGTTTGGCGGGCGCGCCGATTGATTCATGATATGAGGTCAGATATCCTATCTACAGATGACCCACCTTTAGCAATGCAACAATTGTTATTGGAATCACTGGTCTCTCGCTATGACATTAATTTTTCCCTTCACTGTCCCAAACACCAATTATTCTTGGTATTGTATTTATTTTACTTGCAGAAATCAATCCTTGTCAACCAGCACCAACTGAGTGTCACGTGCACGCTAGCTGCATCCTCACCTCACCGGAAACATACACCTGTAGCTGTAATGTAGGCTACAGTGGGGATGGAATCACTTGCAGTGGTATGGGCCTTATGCACGAGTTGGGCATTTTTGTCATGTATTTCGTTAACTATTAACTGTTGAATGTCAGCTCTGCGACGAGATGATAGAAGACAATGATGATAGTTGCTTTAGATTAGGTAAAGTCCGCTCTGGGCCTACAGGTTTTCAGTGTTCGTCCACCTCTCATTGAGATGGCTCGTCCTGATTTGCATCCGATAGCCTGTCAAACAGCTTCTTTTAAATGACTTGGATTTTAATGACTGCAAGACTGAATATACCAAAGTGAAAGAAATATTGTTTCGGTTTGCGGTTACGCCATGCGGTAATAACTATTGTCGCTCAGTACATATTTAGTTCCGATAAGAACTTGTCCTGCTTATTATCAACTTTCGCTAAGTACTTTTTAGTTCTGATAAGAACAGTCCTGCTTAAAGTTCTAAAAGAACTTGTCTTTGGTCTCAACGTTTCGACTAGCCTGCTCTAGTCATCGTCAGGAAACCGAAAGAAATACTTTATATGTGCAGGATGGGTCTGTATAGCGATGGGAAATGTTGGCTTTTTGTATAATTTAATTATCGATGGACTGTGCGAACTTCAGAGGTCACTTTGTTCTTTTTGCAGAAATCAATTAATATTCTCAAAGAACTTTTAAATTGTGTGGCATTGTTGTAGTCGATTCCATAACAAATCCTCTCCATTCACAATTAAGTCCAGTCACAAGTCCTTTCATAAGTCCAGTCTGACTGAATGAACATTGACGAAGGAATGCTTTAAAATATAGCTTCTGAACATGAGAATGAAGAGTCGTTATGGACTTGTTTTCAGCTTACAGGGACGTGCATGCACTTTTTTATACTTCCTTTAAGTTAATGGCAGCGACGTCATTCAAGAGTGTTTAAAAATATTACCGCGCAACAAGACGGCTCAACCATGCTTGGTATAAAAGGAGCGATTTCTCGTGTGTGATTTGATAAAGGGCACGCAGTCCCTACAACTTTTGAAATAGACCCCTGCATGGATCTGTGGAACAAAGTCGATCGAACGCAACCGCAATCCAAGTTCCTTGCTACCTTTAAGTAGTGTTGTCCCTATAGAACCTTCGGGTCCTATTATTAATAATTACATTGTTTGCAAGGCCCTTCAGAAAAGTAATAGAAGGAATTCGGATTTGTTTTTCTAGATATCAATGAGTGTGCTCTTGGACTGGATGACTGTGATGGCAGCACCTCCGTCTGCTCAAACACAGAAGGAAATTTCACGTGTAACTGCAAGGCTGGCTACACTAGAGGACTTGGAGGGACGTGTGTAGGTATGTTCGACGCACTGATTGTTGAATGTAGTCTGAAATTTTGTAACAGAAATCATAATATATAACTTACGGTTTATGTTTAGAGACTTCTTACACAATTTGGCTGAGTTCCTTATATATACATACCAGTAATATACTTTACATAAATACTAGAAGTATAGGCCTTGGTTACAATCGGCAACTGTTGATATAGTTTTGTGTATTTTGTTCTTAATTTGAAGCAATTTCCGAACCTGTACGCCTATCTGCGCCAGTGATCGTGAAAGGAGGAAAGGAATCTCCCAATAGCTTCAAGGTGTCTTTGAAGCCAGCAGATGAAAGTTTGGCCAATATCAGGTGACAATAATACTGATAATTTGTTTAAAGGTACACATGCAGGCCATGATTGTTTACAGTCAAAACATTTCAATTATTTTGTAAACTTTCTGTTGTATATGCAGTTGCTATGATTTTGTTGTGAAGGAACTGCTAGACGACGAAGAGATCAGCGACATGGATCCTGACAGAGACTACCCTCCGGAAACCATGGTAACGTACGAAGAGGCTCAAAACACTCCTGGTGAACCTTATATCGCATGGGTTAAAGAAGGGTAAGTTGGACTGTTCATTTTTTTCTGCCTCGAGAGAACTGTTTTTTTTTTCAAAGTAATCTGCAGACTATTTCAGTGAACCTTCAAGATTTTGAGTTAACTCTGTAAGCCTGAAACCAAATTCAGAATCCACTACATTATTAATTACCGATTACAACGTACATGCTAAGGCATGGCATTAGCATTGTCACCCAATGGTTAGCATTGTCACCCAATGGTTTGGCTTTTTGTAAAGTAATAAACTTAAATTGCCGATGTTGACATTTCAAAACTTGTTACATTTTATTACATTGATTAGGCTCTTCGCCTAAAAATATCCATATATGCTCGTGATGCATTTTCTATCAGTACTTGTTCGACGTGGGTTTGCTATCACGCTTTGTTTTGTAAGGGACGAGCTTGATGCACCGGAGACTGTAGAGATTGGCTCGGGAAGAGTTTCCAGATGCCGGGGAGATGGCTCTAGAAGGAGAAAGAGAGCGACTATCTACGATCACATTGGCGACAATGGACCCCTGAAAGCCAATACTTCGTATACAGCTTTCCTGAGGGTGTATGTCATAATGGCAAATAGGGTGAGTACTTATATTGCCGCAGTAGGGTTAAGCAGTGATAAGCATTTATTCTTTTCGGTGTAGCATATCATGATTGGACAGAATATTGACGTAACTAATTTATTTGGCTTCCACATCCACAGGAAGTGTACTTCTCAAGCTCGTTCATGTCGCCTCACAAAACAGCAGGTGAGTGCATGCAATTATGAAATAAAATGATGCTGATAAATATTGTTTATGATGAGGGATTCTACTTAAGTACCGGAACTCACTATGTATCTATTTGTCAACTACTTTCTAAAAACCTTAAGTAGATGAGGTAGTTCTGTCGTAAACTCCATAAATAAAGCAACGGAGAAGCAGTTTTAACTTCAAGGACAACAATACAAATTTAATTTTAAAAAAAATCCAATGAAATATTTACAAAGAATACTTACCAAATAATCAAATTCAATCAAATTATATGTTGCCTCCAATGCCAGTGCCTGAGACAACAGGTACACCTACTACCATGATCATCATCATATCTGCCTCCGGTGCTTTCTGCCTGTTCCTCATCATTTTAGTCATCATGTGTGCTGTGAGGATTAGGGCGAAGCGCCGTACAAATAATAACGAGCCAGACAACAGGGACATAGAATTGGTACGTATGAAGTATAATTGTCATTTATGTGGAATAAACATCAAGTTGAATCGTAGATCAACACATGTTGATTGAAGTATGGTCTGTACTTTCTCAGTCACTCGAAGTATACATACAAGTTCCAGCATCTTGTGTAAAACTGTTCACACTATTTCGTATCGCACAGAGTAGTTATCTTATCTCTAACCGTAACTTGTTCACTTCAACACAGTTCTGAAGACTACTTTGTTACAGAGGAATGAACAAAATCAAAGGGTGTTGAGCAGTCTGAAGACCTTTCTTTGTAATTGTATATTTTTATGCATGTATAGGCCTATAGAATCTTTAACGGTATAACAACTTCTTTGCTATCGGCAACAACAGCAAGCTCTTTGTTAAAGGAGACACATTTTATGTATTACTTCTAATTTGTTTGCTGTTGGCCTACGCCTTTTCACCACATTCACACCTGTATTCATACACCTGTATTTACACATTTACAGAGTGGAGTTTGCCACGGAACTCCAGTGGAAGCGAAAGGTATAGATAGTCCAGTGTACGAAGACGTAGGGCTGCCGGCCTGGGCTGCCAAATGGCAGATTACATGGAATAACCTGCTCATTGAAGACCGTGTACTCGGAGGTGGATTCTCTGGGGAAGTGAGATCCGGAAAAGTTAAAAAGGGCGGAAAAACCACCCCATCGGCTATCAAGATTGTGAAAGGTAGCATAGACCACGCAAAGTATATTGAAATATAACCATAAAAGTGCTATAGGAGATTTCAGTGATTTCCACTGTGGTATTGAAAACATCAGTTCTATACTAATTGGTTGAATAATTTTCCTTGTTTTCAACAATGTTTATTTCGTTATTAATTTCCAGTTTTATAGCACATTTTGTTTGCAGTCTCTGTTAAATCATGATGTGGTAGGCGAATTGGAAAACCAACAGATTATCTGCTGGGTCATTTCTGTTCACTACTGCCATTGCATTCCTGCTTTCAAGTTTTGGAGCGATTGTGTTTCCCAGGAGCAGTGACGATTGCTTTCTTATGACTGATTTCATGATTGTGATTTTCATCTTTTAGGGCGTGTCTCCCTGATAGATAATCGAGATTTTATGGATGAGTTTCGTAACATGACCAACATCGGCCACCATCCCAATATTGTAGCACTACTTGGTGCCTGTTATCATGAAGGTAGGCCGCTCATATTATAACAGGTGGATGGTGGAAAATTAACTGACTTGTTACTGAGACAGTTCAAGGTACCGGTAATTACGTGTGTACTCGCTAATGAAGCCCGTTTTGCATCATTTACTAGATGTCCTGTACATCGCAATGGAGTACCTTCCCAACGGTGATCTGCGCAGCTACCTGCGCACGGCTCGCGCGCAGTCCGAGTCGGGTGGGGGCGCCCTATCTTCGGGCCAGCTGATCAGCTTTGCCCTGGATGTTGCCAAGGGGATGAAGCACCTCGCCAAGTCAAAGGTATGTGGGCATTTTCACTTCTCAAGGGTCAAACTTTGCAGACGAATGAAGAATTTTCATGGGAAACATAAGGATGCATGTTGAGATTTTTCACCAGAAACAAAAAGTTGTCTCATATCATATCCCAGGTTTCATCTGGCAATTGTTACATTTTCTTTAACGTCTTGTACTATAAAGCAATTGTTCTTTGACTCAATTTACATCTTACAACCTTAGACACCGTTCTTCACAGAAAACTGCCCAGGACCTAAACTTCTTATAAACTCATATGATAATGATGTCAAAGGTCACATTTCAAGGTCAAAGGTCACATACCAAGGTCAAAGATCATCAGAGGTCAAGTTGTAAATGAGGCCGAAAATGTAAAATTGGTCTCATTTGAAAAGTTGAAGATGTCAAAGGTCACACACCAAGTTTAGATTTAATTTTACAGACAACATCCTCCAAGCTTAAATGCGCGACTGTTGAGTCTTCACTTCATGCTGCAATTCAGTGTAGGCTTAATGTTTCTATAATTATTAGCAGTTCATACAATTCCACCCTCATTACTACCCACAGTTATTTCTACACTGATCAGGGCCCTCTCATCCTCATTAAATACCACCCCTTGCCATTGCCACCCTTCAATATACACCAAGCAGTCTGGCCCTGATTAGTCACTCTTTCGAAAAAAAAATCAAAAAGCAAACAGGCGATACGCGTGGTTCGAGAACCACCTTGTTTGACGCAGTTGTCATTTTCCCAGATGAATGGAATTTTATGAAGTCACTGTGATAAAATCTTCACGACGTTGGTTCGAGAGATGAACGTTTTTCTTTATAGCTACTGAAAAGCACTTTTAAACATTGATAGGGCTAATTACATATACAGCGAGTGAAGGATGAAACAAATTCATTTCCCTCTGTTTACTAAAATAATATTGATAATACCCAACTATATCATACAGGTAATTCATCGCGACTTGGCAGCCACCAACATTCTACTAGGGGAGGGTTTGGTGGCCAAGGTGTCTGACTTTGGATTGTCCCGAGAAGAGGATGTCTATGTCGAGACGTATACTGCGGTAAATTTGTCCTCAATATTTGAATCGATGTTCACGGTTTGAGATTGTTTTCACTCTGGTGCATGTGTGCTTGCTCTGTTATATCCAACGAATGTTATTCAGCCCCTATATTCAAGTGAAAAAAACAAACACTTTATCCTTTAGAAACACGGGATAAGACAATTATAAGTGAAATTCCTTCAATTGAATAGGCCTAGATTGCATTTTCACTCCTGATTCGACGATTTTATATCAAGGTATTCAAAGTTCAAAATTCAAAAGATTGGAGTGATTTTCACTCTAATTTGACTCATCTCTAGCATCATTCTTTGAAGTTTGGAGAGGAGGAGTGCCACACTTTCCCCACATCTGCTATCCATGTCCACGTTCATCGAGTACGATGACAATTACTGGATTATTGTGTGTGATTGCATGTTGATATTTAATTTGTGATTTTCAACAGCTCCGTATTCCAACTCGCTGGCTGGCCATTGAATCCCTGACCCATCAAATCTACACAACCCAAAGTGATGTGTAAGTTTTGTTGTTGTTTTTTTTTACCGAGATTTGACAAGTGTATTGCTGGTCACGAAGGCAGCCGTCCTTAAATACCCCAATGCCTGACTGACTCATTGACTGACTGACTGATTCAATGGCTGTCACTTGCAAGCAGTGTAGTGTTATCGGTTACTCCTTAACACCACTGAATGGCTAGATCCGGGTCATTGTGTAGACCAGACGCATGACAGGATGTCGTGTGAGCAGCCGTTCGGAATAGAGTTTAGCGCCCTCTTGGATCTACTTTAATTGGCTTGCCTTGTCTAATTGTTTTAGGTGGAAAGGGGGTAACATGAGGGTCAATATATGCGGACTGTTTTGCATTATTAAGCTTTAAATCGACCGTTTGATCCAAGGTGCATGTACATGTAATTCTTGTTATATAACGATTTATATGTTTTTAAAATTGTCATCAATGTGGGATTTTTCGGCAGAAATAACTACAGCCAGTGATATTTTCGTTTATTTTCTTTATTCGAATGTTCGACGTCAGGTGGTCCTTTGGAATTCTCCTGTGGGAAATCGCCACTTTCGGTAAGTTTGATTCTTGGATAAAGTTGTAATCCTTCTTCTGCAGTGTTGAGGTAACAAGTGTGTAGACTTTACGATGTAATTGGGAATTTGTTTTATTTGTGCAGGTGGAACTCCCTATGCATCTATTAAGGGCATGTCTTTGGTAGAAAGACTCGAGTCAGGATACCGCATGGAGCAACCAAGTAACTGCGATGATGAAATGTAAGACAGTGGACCGATCTTAACCCGACCTTCAATGGCATCAACATTATTAGTCGAACAAATTTCACCCAATTTGCAATTTCCAAAATTTTCAGATCTTTAGGTTCTGTCTCATATTGATATCTATTTCTGAATCATTTTCTGCAGAAAGTATCCATTCTCCGTTATCTTAACTTCCCCGTACTTAATTAAAAAAAGACCTTGTCAACACCTAATTTGTGGTTCTTGATTGATTGACCACTTGACTATCAGATAAAATACTGGAAGGCAAGACCAACCGATACAATGCTAATTTGTCCATATAGATTTTAAGGAACACGTTTGTATAATAAATGCAACAGCAGTGGTTCTTGTCAACAGCGTTAAATGATATCAAGGCACGTATAAGTGTTGCACACCCTTATGCAGAATGTATTATTAAATTTACATTTAAGTGGTTCTGTAAGAGCAATAGCTCTGCACTATTACACGATAAAAAGAAAAACGATTGGGAAGTTTAATTTAAAAAGGGTACAAAGCTAGCTATGTGCACCGGAAATAACTATATTTTAATTATTTTGGAATTGCACTGTTTTGACTCTGTTGCGCTATTGATAAGCTCAGTGATACAATGTAATAGTTCAAACTTCTTCCTGGCTTTCAGCTATGCTACGATGCTGCAGTGCTGGAGTGAGGATCCCAAGCAAAGGCCTACCTTCGCGAGCCTGGTTACTACTCTCGGGAAGATGGCCCAAAATGACAAACGACAGGTAAGTTACTGTGTCGTAAATAATCTCAGGAAAACCTACAAAGTAGCAATATTTTCAATTTCAGAAAAAGAAAGTTGAATATCCAACCTGACATTTTTTTTTAGCACAGAACCAATAGAAATACTATAAGTAGTCTCAGTGCCACTTCATTTGCGTTGCGAAAACGAACTTGTGACGTCACCGATGCAAGGCAAGTATTTGCGCTGCCATGTTGAAAAAGTCAGACAAAATAATTCCAACTTGGCTAAATTCCGTTGAGCATAGTTCTGTGTCCAAATTTGTTTCCGATTCATATTCTCGTTAAGTGTGAATCTCCACGTACTCTTTAATGCTACAAAACCACGTGAGTACAGTATTAACGAACCTTGCCTATGAATACACTGCAATGCTTCGTCAAACATGAGATTAAGAATTTAGTTCAGCCACTGCCATCCAAAATTGAAAATGTCCATTGTGTTTCTTAAACTTGTGTATGTTTTCACCTGATATCAATGCTGTTACTCCTGAATTGATTCCCACCACGAAACGTCAATGAGACATAAGTTTCCGGTCCAATAGGCTATATTATTTTCTAAAATTAACTGCCTTCGTGGTATCCCGGTCAGAGCACTGATCGGCCTCAAGCCAGAGTTACTAACAATTTTTTTTTTTTAAGAGTGCGGCATCCTTAACAATTAATTTCTTCTTTCTACCTACAGTCATGCATTGCGGTTGACCCAGCCTACTACGAAAATTTCATCATCCGACCGGAGTTTGACGATAACTAATCCTACGAATCTACTGGATATACTCCAAGGCGAAAGTTACATTTCGCTTATACCCACTCTCGCTTATACCTGTGACGCCCCAACTATGGCACCGTGCCAACTAAAGTTTGGACAGTCCTAATTGTTTGTTGGGGCAGTCTTTATCAAAAGTTTTTTTTTATAGAGAATTTTAACTCACTTACGCAGAATTGTTTATATGACTTCGCATTTCTTAAGCAACATTTATATCTTAACACTCGTTTATGCACGATTGTAAGAACACGAATGTAGTTGAATACTTTTTTACGCAGAATCAGCATTTGGTACGTCGTTAATGTGGAATTGTAAATATACAGGTATCGTTTTTACTGAATACTATGGTAAAATGTTTTTGAAGTGCATGCCATGAATCGATTGGGTTATTCTCTAAACATTGCCTAATATTTTTGAGACCTCATCTGAGAGCATGATTAAAATTACATGTATAATATCGACATCGTTCGCGCGTCATTATTATCAAAGTATGAATTTGTTTAAACACAATTATTGTTTGAATACTTCGTTTACGCAGATTTACTATTTGCATATATTAGTCATACACAAGTTTATCTGAGTACTAATTTAGAATATCGTTTGAGTTCATGGGTTATATATTTACGTAAAATACTATTTTTTTGGTAATTATTTCCCTTGAGTACAAATAATCGGTGACCCTACGCAAGTTTTTTTGTCTTGGTGATTCGTTTACAAATAACTGATAATTCCTTACCTTGTTTAATATTGTTTCTTTAACTTGCTATCTCCCTATACCCCATTAAAAACATATCTTGTTTAATTGTTTACCCAGAATGTGGCATGAGTAATTGATGATTTTTACACGGATTTTAAATTACTTCTTTTAATGAGGATATTTGAATAGTGGATATTGTTACTTTGGTTTATTCGATTGAGGATAAATTACCCGAGCACATGTTTACGTATATAATCCTTACTGAGTGTAATAGGTCTACACGAAATTAAGGTCACTTTATTTTCTGATTACTTTTATTTTCTGATTATTTGTTAACACAGAGTGTTTGCATTTGTAAATATTTAAACATATTTTTTTATTCATTTTACCCAAGTTACGTGTAATAATAATTTGAAAGGGTTTTACGCAGAAATGGGGGGAAAAACGCAGAATTTTATTTTTGACAATTTTTATTGATTGTTTTTTTTTTGTCCAGGAGCAGGATAATTACCAGAACCAAATCGTTAAGCAGAAGGTTTTTTTTTTGTTTCCATAGGCCTATCTGACTACGGTTTACACAAAGAATGATGGTCTTTTTTTCGTGGTACAGTTTTAATTACGCAGATTTGTTTTACGTGATGTGAAATTACAAAAGTATGTGAATCCTTGAATTGTATACGCATAATTTGGTTATACGCATAATTTTTGTATAATTTGTTTACAATTATTACAATTATTTTACTCGGTCCTAGTATGTAGCTTATAAGATTTTGATTACACAGAATAAGCACTGAATATATCCATTCTTATTAGGAGTTTTGGCAGCCCGACCCTAGAAATTCCGAGCATACATCACGCGTTGTATTCAAGGTATGTTCGGAGTTTCCTAGGTCAGAGTGCCAATGTTCCCAAGACTGGATTCGATTCATCTGTTGATGAATGTCGTCTGACCTCGTTTTGGTGCCATCCAAGATCTCCTATTAGACGTTTTGATCGCTTATTCACAGACGATAACGAGTCCATTAACCGGTGCGTTTTACGTAATATTTATGTCACAGGGAAGCATTATTTGAATATATTGTTTAAATACTTATAAGAATAATTATCATGCGAGTATAGATGGACTCTCTTTACATGGGAATGTTCTTTGAGTATTTTGAGCTTTGAGCCCAAATACTATTCTCTAACAAGAAACTGTAAGCCGAGAACTTTGCGTACACAGAATATGCTGAGCATATTGCTCAAACAGAATAATAGGAGAACTTGAATTTGTTGAACAGAATAACAAGACTTTGATAATTGTTCAAACGGAAAACTAATTACATTATACAATTTATATTAAAGTATTATCTCAGTTAGCGTTTACGCAGAATGTTTACCTTACTACTCAGTTTACAAAGAATTGTTTATGTGAGTTTGTATTGCCAAAGGTATACGGCATTGATATCGAATTACAAACATTCAGGCATCATTCTTAATGAAAACAGTGGTTCACATGAATTATCGTTGGAGGTGTATGCAATAGATGAATGATACGATAATTCTCTGAACATTTCGAAGTGTTTGAGGGCTTATCTGAGTACACGAGATAATTAACATATACAATATATAGGGACTTAGCGCGACATTACTATCCAAATAGGATTTGTTTACACAGAATTATTGTTTGAGTGACTACTTTGTTTACATACATTTACTATTTGAGTATATTGGTGATACACACGTTTATCTGAGTACTAATTTAGAAATATTATTTGAGTTTATGTTTATGTTTGTCCGGGTGATTTGTCTACAAATAACTGTTATTTGGTAACATTGTTTAATATTGTTTCTTAAACTTGTTTTTTCCTATACCTTTATACATGTAAATAGTACCGGTACATATTGCATTTGTAACTATTTACACATACATTTTTACACAATTTACTTCCGTGTAACATTATTTTGGGAGACGTGTTTTCGTAGAAATGGAGCAGTTGCTTTCTTTTGTTTCCACAGGTGGTTTTCTTTGTTTTCATATAATTATCTGAAAACGTTTTACACAGACTAATGGTTTTTTTGTTCGTGGTACTATTTTTAAAAAGAAAATTTTCTACTGATACAAAATTACAAAATTATGCGAGTACTTTGAATGTATACGCAAATTATCATCCATGTATTTTAACGGATCCTATTATATGTAGTTTTTAGATCTTGAGTACACAGAATTTGCATTGAGTATATCACACAATATACACTAATAGAACCCAATTACTTGCTTATACGTATTTGAAGTATTCATACTTAAGCAAAACTATTACGAAATTAAAGATCTAACTGGATGTTCCTTGTCTGAGATAGGCCTTGCTGCATATCGTCTTGGGAGAAACGTTGCTGAGGTCACGAGCTGTCAGTCAAAAAGGAACCAGTAGAGGATCTTGTAAAATGGGACCAAAAACTAACATACGGAATTGTATTGACCATTTGGGCAGAATTAATACCTGTATTTTGATTTACACAATGGTAGATGATTATCTGTTGTCCCGACCTATATAAACTTGAGCTTTTTAATAAGTTTAACTACAGAGTCTTTATAACATTCAAATACACATTTGTACCGAGTTCGGAACAAATGATGCAACCTGACGCCATTTTTTCCTCATTTCATCTCAATGAAGGTCAGTCACTGCAAACATGATGATAAGACATGAATCTTGGACTTTTTCCCCCGAGTTTGACTCAAAAATTCACCAAAACCGAAGCTTAAAGTGCCCCTAATTACACATTTGCCAGCTTATTTTGAAATTACAGAAACTGTAGATGTTAGAAAAATGCAAATTATTAAAAGAAATTCAGGTAGAAACATCAGAGATTCAGGTTTTCCGTCATTACATTACGAATTGCAGATGCAATGAGGTATATATGACTTTATATATCGGACCACAATCTCTTTCCCAGGGTTGTGTTAATCTCACTCTGGCTCGCACACCCTGTGAGGTCATTGGCTAATTCATATATTCTGAATTATAGACTTTGGCAGCTGTTCATTGTTATAATTGTTCATTGTCCAATTCATAAACGTTGTTCATTGTTAATATGACATTTTGCTATTTTTGACTTATGGGGCCGAATCTCTGACCTTGTAACAGCAAACGTCCACACTGAGTATACAGTGTTTATACGTCGGTGAAGGGCAAAAACCTTATATTGATTTACATCACCCCGACGCAAATTCATCCGTTATGAATAGCAAACATCCAATTGATTTCTTTGCATGGTATTGACAGCCTTGTGAGTCGTGAAGTGCTGCCAAAGTTACCCGGTGGTTTGGGGCAATTTTGGCAGGGTACCGGAATTTAATGAAAAACAGCCAAATCAATCATACTAAATAATAAAGTTTCACAAATGATAAACTCTTCAGGCAAAGATGTATGACGTGTTTATTTACACAAAAAAACACAAGAAAAGAATCAATATCAACAGTTTTTATTAATTTCGCGCGATGCGTTGTTGAGACGACTGCAAATAAAGGGTGTAGCTTCTGCTTACTGTAACCCCAGGGTGCCAAAGTTACTCCAGTTGACGGTACTCATTTAAATGTTTAACTTGTCTGACCAAGGTATTTGTAGGGTTATGCCAATAATCTTGCTTATTATATTGCCGTGTTAATTTCCATCAATTTTCAAGGAAGTTGCGGTGAACGATTATCGTTGTTATCAGTTTGCGATGTCATGAGGATATATCCACTTTCGGATTCCCGGAAAACTTTTGTACTCTGGTACCCTTTACATCGTCTAAAAATAAACATTGATCGGTGTTATACTAAATAAAATCTCTGGATACAAAACCTGCACGCGTAACGATGTCAGGTTCTGTTCTTGTCCCCCCCCCCCCACCTCCCGCCTTTAGATTTCGCAGCAGCCGGTTTGCTGCCTGTTTCGTCGGTACGGTCCAGGCTAATACATGATGTGACCAGCAGTTAAAGGGTTCATCGTGATGGGTATAGTATCTTGACTCTGCGCAGCCCTGGCGCTAATGCTTCACCTGATTTGGACCAGAATAATCTCAAATGATCTTTGGCCAAGATTCAATTCAGTAGCCCAATAAGGAAACTTGCAGACAAGTCACGTTTACAGGTGAATAATGCAATTAATTATAACTAAATTACTAAAGAAAGGTCCTACAACCTGGTCGTTGGACTTTTCTTTAAGACCTGGTCTTTAGGACCTGGTTATTCGACCTGGCCTGAAGACCTGGTCTTAGGACCTGGCCGTAGGACCTTTCTTTATGACATGGTCTTATTGGAACTGATCGCAGGACCTGGCCTCAGGACATCGCCATAAGATCCGGTCGTAGGACCATGGCCGTAGGACCTAGTCTGTAGGACCTTGTCTAAGGAGCTGGTCGACTCATAAGACCTAGAAATAGGACGTGGCCGTAGGATCTGGCAGAAGGACCTTTTTATGACTTGGTCTGAGGACCTAGTCGTATGACCCGGTGGTAGAGCCTGGTCGTATGAACCTGGTCAGTATAGGACCTTGTTTAAGGGAACTGCATGGTTGTAAGGCCTGGACGTTGGATCTTTCTTTAGAACACGGTCTTAGGAATTTGAAGTAGGAGCCGGTCTGAGGTCTGGGGACCTGCCCGTAAGACCCTGTATCAGCACCTTGTCTTAAGGCCTAGACGAAGGACTTGGCCGTATGACTTTTCTTTAGTATATGTTCCGAGGAGCTGGTCGTAGGACCTGGTCTAAAGACCTGGTCTAAAGACCTGGTCGTAAGGCCTGACCGTAGGACCTGGTCTCTATAAGGACCTTCTCACAGGATCTTGTCATGAGACCGAGTAGTAGGAACGGCCAAAGATCCTGGCAGTAGGACCTTTCTTTATGGCATGATCTGAGGACCTTTCGTAGGACCTGGTCTGAGGACCCTGCCGGAGGACCTAGTCGTAAGACCTGATTGTAGTACCTTGTCATAAGACAGGGACGTAGGGCCTGGCCGTACGACTTTTGTTTACAATATGGTCTTAGGAACTTAGACTATTTGGACCTGTTTTAAAACCTGATCGCAAGACCTGGCGGTAGGACCTGGCCTTAAAACCTTGGCGTATGACCCGACCGTAGGACCTTCTGTGAGGATCTGGTCATCGAGACCGAGTAGTAGGACTGGCTGTCGTAGAACCTGGTCGTAGGATGTGATTGTGGTACCTTGTCATAAGACAGGGACGTAGAACCTGGTCGTACGACTTTTCTCTAGAATATGGTCTTACGAACTAAGACTATTTGGATCTGGTTTTAAAACCTGATTGCAAGACCTGGCCGTAGAACCGGGTCTGTAGGAGCTTGTCTCAGGGCTTTGTCATAAGACCTAGAAGCAGGATCTGGCCGTAGGATCTGGTAGAAGGATATTTCTTTTGGACAAGGTCTGAGGACCTGGTCGTAGAACTAGTCTGAGGACCTCTACGTAGAACCTGGTTGTAGGACCCGATTTTAACACCCGGTTATAAGACCGGGTCGTAAGACCTAACCGTAGGCCCTGGTCTATAGTACCTTGTCAAAGGATCTGGTCATAAGACCTAGTAGCAGGACCGGCAGTACAATCTTGCAGGAGGACCATTTTAGGACATGATCTGAGGACATGTCGTAGAATCTGGTATAAGGACCCCGCCGTAGAACCTGATCGTAAGACCTGATTGCAGAACAAGGCAGTAGCACTATTCATTAGGGCATGGTCTTAGAAACGCAGTACGTGGTCCTAGGAACTTTCCTGTTAGAAACCTGGTCTGTAGGACCCTGGTCTTAAGACCTGGTCGTAGGTCTTGGTTTTAGGACCTGGTCTTAAGACCAGGTCGATGGTTATGGCAGTACGACCTGGCCATAGGACCTGGTCTTAAGGCCTAGACGTAGGACCTATCATAATGACCTTGCCGTAGAAGCTGGTCTGAAGAACTGGCCGGAAGAGTCGGGAACCTTTCTTTAGGGCCTGGTCGTAGGACCTGGTCGTAGGACCTGATTGAAGGACCCGGTCTTAGGACCTGGCCATAAGACCTGGTAGAACATTTCTTTCAGGACTTGGTCTAGCGTGGTCTTAGGACCTGATATGAGGACCTTGCCGTGGGACCTGACCGTAAGACTTGATTGAAGGACCCGTTTTTAGGACCTGGTCATAGAACTCCAGTAAAGAAAACACCAGAAGAGAACCACTTTTTTTGGTGAATAGTTAGTGAATTTTAGGTTTGGTGGTTTTTAACCAAATCGTCACGTTCTAATCACATTTCAAATCACCTCTTAATCAAGTGAATAAAGTAACGTGATTACCGAAGGTTATATGGTGTAAATCACATTATAATGACCACATGACCGAATAACGGGATTTCAACCTGTCAATTTGTGGTGCTTAGAATAGGAGATTACTTCGTAGTTGAAACACCAATATTTCTGTTTTTACAGTTACCACGAAATCACTGGTGAAGATTACGTTATGATCACTGAACAATCACCTGGACATGTTACTGTTGTATATGACGTGATTATTTGGTGTATAATAACAGGTTATTATTTCGTTTTTAAAACACTAATAGTTTTGGTTGTACAGTTACCATCAATTCACCGGTAAAGATTACGTTACCGGTAAAGATTACGTTACAAGGTAATCATGACCTTGGGAAAGAGATTGTGGTCCGATGAATAAAGTCATACCTCATCTCATTGTGTCCGCAAATCATAATGTCATGACGCAAAACCTGAATCTCTGGTGTTGTTACCTGAATTTCGTTCAATAATTTCAATTTTTTCTATCATTTACAGTTTCTGTTATTGCGAGATATAGGCTGGGAACTATGCAATCGTGGTCACTTTGAGCTTCGGTTCTGTGAAGTTTTGAGTCGAACTCGGTACAAATCATATTTGAATGTTGTAAACACTCTGTAGTTAACATTATTAACAAGTTCAAGTATAAATGTCGGGTAAACGGGTCATCATTCACAATTGTGTAAATCCAAATATAGGTATTAATTATGCATTAACAATGAATACAGATTCTTTATGTAATATATTCATTTTGTATTATAGCATAATACCCCGACTATGCTTTCGATCTAACTGAAAATGTTTCAATTCTCGTGACAAAGTTTCGGAAGAGCTTATGGAACCTTACAATGGCTATTGGTTGATTATTAGTTGGGTTAGTTGGCATGGTTTGGTCCCTAGGGGCGGATCTAGCATCAGGAAAAGGGGGGGGGGCGGAAAAGGGGGGGGGTATAAGGGTGTGGGCGAGTGGGGGGGGGGTCTGAGGGCATGCTCCCTTAAAAGTGTGAAAACTAGACGATGCTTTATCCTACATTCCAAGGCAATGAGAGAATACATTTAGGAACTTTAGCATTTCATTGATTATTTTTGGCCCCATTTTACTAGATCCGCTACTGACAGGTCGTGACTGACGTCACAGCTCTTGACCTCAACGATGGCCAAAGGCGACCTGCTACAATAACATTATGGAACATCAAGTTAGATCTTTGATTTTGTAATATAGGTTTTCCTAGCCAATTTCCTATAATGTTCATTCACTTCTGAAAATCGGTCATTCAATTTCGTCTGAATTTGAGAATAGCTCTGATGAACACGCGTTTCATTTTTGCTACCAGGGCATTCGATTCCATTTCAGTTCAATCAATTAAGTGATTAAGCAGCACCTTTGGTTTATGTCCATTCAGATTCGTTTACAAGACTTCTTTTTCGCTTTTAGAGGGCGATTTCAAACATTTACCATTCTATTTCACTTTTAGTTTAATGTCATCGGCATCAGATACAATTAGGGGATTCTTTTTCATTAACCGTCAATCATATTAGCTGTACCTGAAATCAATTTAGAAAAGGTACGCTTGCGTAAATGAATGTACAGGTAACGTAATTTAACGTCTGTTTCTCAAAACCGAATGCACGGACAAAGAAAATGATTGAACTTTCGTTGAATCGAAATGGGATTAAAGACGTGCATTCAAATTCAGACGAAAATAAATGACCGATTTTCAGAAGTGCGTGAACATTTAATAATTCAAGAAAATGGCCGGGAAAACTTATACTTCTGAGTAAGTATGAATACTTCAATTATGTATGAGCAATGATTGGCCTCCATGCAAATTCTGTGTACTCAAGATCTAAAACTTGCATATAATTGGATCGGGTAAAATACTTTTTTTTTTTGGTCCACTTCGGACACATAGAGCCACATCTTACTCACATGAACAGGAGTAGTAAATAACATAACACAGAAAATAAAAGAATGAGAAAAAAAGAAAGTGCAAAATTAACATCAGTAAATAACATAACTAGTAAATAACATAACACAGAAAGTAGTAAATAACATAACACAGAAAATAAAAGAATGAGAAAAAAAAGAAATTGCAAAATTAACATCATACTAAATACTTAAAGTAGTGCTTCAGGTACATGTACAGTATAACTTTAATAGATAAATTACGAAGTAAATTACAAAGTCTGATGGGTCAGGTGGCGGTGAGCTCTCTGACAGAACTTCTTGTTTTCACCGTGGTGAGGATGGCCGACTATTTTCTTCTATTTATCCTCAGTTACGATCTAAGTCAAAGTATCCATATTAATATCCTCGATAAAAGAAGTAATTTAAAATCTGTGTCATCAATTACTCATGCCGCATTCTGGGTAAACACGTAAACAAGATTATTAAAAAGGTAAAGGGAAACAACAAGTTCAAGAAACGATTCTAAACAATTAGAATGGGGAATTAACTCAGTTATTTGCAAAGATATCACACACACACAAACAAATCTGATGACTACTCAAGGGTAATAATTATGCAAACAGTTATACTTCTCAAAACAAAATATATATATAATCCATGAACTCCAATCATATATATGAATTAGTACTTAGATAAACTTGTGTATGACTAATATATTCAAATAGTAAATCTACGTAAACAAATACTCAAACAATACTTCAGGGTAAACAAATTGATCCTTGGATAATAATATCGCGTGAACGCAGTCCAGATATGTATAATGTTAACTAAATCACCATGTACTCAGGTGGGTCCTCAAAAAGGCTATAGCCAATGTTCAGAGAATTATCCTAGCCATTTATAGCATGTACTTCAGGAACAATCATGTTTAACAATTGTATTTAGCAAAAACTATAGTTGTATATTTACAAGTCCACATTAAAGATGTAACAAATGCTTATTCTGCGTAAACAAATCTTCAAACTATATTTATAGTACGCTTACAATGATCGTAGACAAATCTGCGTGAACGAGTGTTAAGATATTAATGCTGCTTTAAGAAATACAAACTCTAACAAAAATTCTGATGTTGTAAACTGAGAGGTAAGGTAAAATTCAGCGTAAACATCAACTAAAATCAAACTTGTGTAAGCAATTATTTTTTCCGTATAGCGAAATATTAACGTCTTGATATTCTGTTCAACAGATACAAGTTCTCTGATAATAATTCTATTCGAGCAATATGCTCAGAGTATTCTTGTACGCACAGTTCCCAGCTAACACCTCCTTGTAAGAGAAGATATTGGGGCTGCCTCATAGTTCTGTGCAAACAAACGAAGCACTATAATGATGAAGTAATCAAATAAATCATTCCCGTTTAACATGATCCATCTAGATACTCACAAGATTATAAAAAGTATTCAAACAATTAGATTCAAATTTTACGTTAAACTACTGGTTACTGGACAACTTGGTTGGCCCCAAGACGAGATCAGACGAGATCCATCAACAGATGAATCAAATCCAGTCTTCGGAACATTGGCACTCCGAACATACCTTGGACACAGCGCGTGATGTATGCTCGGAATTTCTAGGATCGGGCTGTCATAGTTCCTAATAAGTCTGGTAACATTCATATTATTATTAGCGCAATCTACCACCGTGACAACTTGCCTGCTCTTGTCAGGGACTGGTTATGTTGTTTTTTTTTTTTTTCCCCCGAAATGTCTGCTTCGTCTGCGGCATTGGTTATAATTCCGACCTCTGAATTTTTGGAAAGCAAACCAAATGAAATTCATTGGCCTCGTATCATACGACTGAATGTTCCTAGGGCAGAATATGAACCAAACTTCGGCCGGAGTCCCCGAAATTCGGGGCCTAAAAATGTCTTTAAGCAATAGACAAAGACGAAGTCAGGATTTCAAAAAGGTCCTGTATGAGGCGAGAAAGATCACACCCAGTCTTGACCAAGATTACAGCGCCCTTGGAAAGGTGTAGGATATGAGCAAAATATATCTGTTGCCTTGGAGTGTACAGGAGACTCGTACAGGATTAATTATCGTCAAACTCCGGTCGGATGATGAAAGTGCTGTAATATACTGGGTCACCCACAATGCTGGGCTGTAGAAAAGCAGAACAAATTTGTTATTGAGGATGCTGCACTGGTTTTGTTTAAAAAAACAAACATGTAATTTTTTTCACAAACTGTGGTTGGAGGCTGATCAGAGCTTTCTCAAATTCAAGAAAAACAGTTTATTTTGGAGGGGAGGGGGAATATCAAGATTGCGATCTGTCAGGAACTCGGAAAACGTGTTGGCCTGGACTGAACTGCCATTGAGTGTACATGGTCGAATCGATTCGGGAGCTGATATATGAGGACTGATATGTGAGGGTAAAATGTACAAAATAGTGGACACTTTGACTGAGTAGTTAAGTTGAACTATTTTATTTTTATTCATAATTAAGGTGGATAAATCACGGTGTCCATTATAAGCCAGTTTTTTTTTTACTGGTTTCAGGTTGAGGCTTAAAGAGCACCTTTTAGCCGGTTCATACTTGACGCGCATCGCAATCCAAAACAATGCTGGTGCCAGAAGGTTTCCCCTCAGAACCACGTGCAAAGAAGTTTGGACGATTAGGATTAAATTTGTCTAACTTTTTCAACCTGGCAGCGCAAATGCTTTCCCTGAATTCAAACCCCACAACTTTGCGTTCGCTTTCACATAAAGTAGGTGCCTAATGGTATTGCTATATGACATGGGTTCTTGGCTGGAGTGATTTGAATGTTTTTTTTTCGTACTAAAAAAACCCTCATTAATTGGGCGTTCATATCCTAGATTTTGAGAAGTGCTGCAGGCAAAACTGCATTTAAAAATTGGTCCTGCCACTGGGTGGCGTTTTTTTACTCACCCTGTATATCCATTTCATTTTCTGAAATTGAACACAGCGTGACGTGATGTAATGGCATTATTACAGCTACATTTTACAATATAGCGAAAAACTTACGTGTCCTTTGTCTTTTTGGGCTATCTTCCCGAGAGTAGTAACCAAGCTTGGAAAGGTAGGCCTTTGCTTGGGATCCTCACTCCAGCACTGCAGCATCATAGCATAGCTGAAAGCCAGGAAGTAGTTTGAACTATTTAATTACATCACTGAGTTATCAACAGCAAACGAGAGTAAAAATACAGTGAATACCTACAGATACTGGGCTTCCAAAACAGAAGACTTGGTAAATATTGTCACATACTAAGTCTATTAAAGGTGGCGATTGCAAGCGGAAAATGGGACGGAACATGCCCCTTTCCATTCTTTTTTTTTCTATGGGGGACGCCCATGATACAACTGGTCCCCAGTGATTGTTTCCGGTGCAAATAGTTTGGTACCAAATCAACGTAACCTTTCACAATATTATTCACATTGTGTTTTCAACAGTAAATTCTGATGAGGATGGGCGTAAACCCCATATTGTGTGTACATGTGTACATTCAATTTCCAAATTTTCAAGCTGGGTTTTCCCTCACCTTTGACAGAAATCACCGCTGTTGCATTAAGTATTTAAGATCGGTTTGTGCCTTAAGAACTAAATGGACTTGCAACTATCGTATCAATTGGTCCTGCCTTCTATTGTTTCTCATGGTGAAGAACTCCTCAATTGATCAAGCCAAAAATACGTGTTGACAAGATCGGTTTTATTATTATTGATATCTTTGGCAGAATTAGAATCAGAGATGTACATCAATAGATTAAACAGAAATTAAAGATCTGAATTTTAGAAATTGGATGAAATCCGTTTGACATAATGTTGATGTCACAGAAGATCGGGTTAAGATTGGTCCACTGTCTTACATTTCATCGTCGCAGTTACTTGGTTTCTCCATGCGGTATCCTGCCTCCAGTCTTTCTGCCAAAGACATGCCCTTGATAGATGCATAGGGAGTTCCACCTACATAAATAAAACAAATTCCCAATTACATCGTAAAGTCTACACACTTGCTATCTAAACACTGCAGAAGAAGGAGTGCAACATTATCAAAGAATCAAACTTACCGAGAGTTGCGATTTCCCACAGGAGAATTCCAAAGGACCACCTGACGTCGAACATTTCGAAATAAAAAAAGAAATGAAAATATCACTGGCTGTAGTCAATTATTTCTGCAGAAAATCTCACATTGATGACAATAAAAAAACACACTTCAATCGTTTTACAACTATAGCAATAAGTACAGTGTGTATAAAAAAATGATATATTTAGAGGAATTAAAAAAAAAGTACTAGCTCCTATTTTGTTTAATAATAACTTATATACGCTCAATATTGAGTTAGATCAACCTAAACTTATGCTTCAATGATTATGTAAACGAGTTACAGAATCAATGAATCATAGGTTCCAACTAAATATTGAGTGGCAAAGAACAATAGCCTTACAGAGAGATTGCTGGCATGTTAATCTCCTTTCATCCACTTTGCTGCAAATTGGACCACATTGACAGTTAATCTTTCAATTAAATGTCTATATCTCTGGATTTAGGTGTCAAATGAGATAGGGCAAACAAATAATAATAAATAAAGAAATAATTCTTTAAGCGTATTATAGATTTTTAAACTAGAAAAGAGCTAGTATTTGTAATATTTGTTCTCTAAATTATCATATTTTTTTTTTATACACAATGTACATGTACACCTAGGATCAAACGGTCGATTTTGAAGCTTAATAATGCAAAACACTCTGCATATATTGACCCTCATGTTACCCCCTTTCCACCTAAAGCAATTAGACAAGGCAAGCCCGGTAAAGAAGATCTAAGAAGGCACTAAACTCTATTCAATTGATTCACAATGGCTACTCACTAGAACTCTTTTCCAAGGGCGGACCCAGAACAACATTTTTTTTGGGGGGGGGGCAAAAACAATTGGTCCCCCAAAAAGTGGGTCAAACAAATTACGGCATGGGGTTCGGGGCCCGCTTAAGTGCCCCGAATTTCTTTTGGATTCTCGATGCTCTGTGGTTCGATCTGAAGCAATTTCTGATCACTTTAACCAATTTTGTTTAGTATAAGATGGTGGTGAACGCAGTGCATGCCTATATGGGTTCTTTTTTTGGGGGGGGGGGGAGGGAGGGGCATGGCGCCCGTTGCCCTCCCCCCGGTTTGCCGTTGATCTTTTCACGAATCTGGTCTACACAATGGACTGCATGACCGCATCTAGCTGCCCGGCTTGCAAGTGACAGTCAGTCAGTCAGTCAGTCTGCAATGAGTCATTCAGGCATTGAGATAGCTACCAGGAGGACACTAGGCTGCCCGCGTGACCAGCAAAACGTCAAAGATTAAAAGATCACTTGCCAATCTTAGTAAAATTACTGTCAAAAGGTATTAATGTAATAGCAAAACTTACACATCACTTTGGGTTGTGTAGATTTGATGGGTCAGGGATTCAATGGCCAGCCAGCGAGTTGGAACACGGAACTGTTAACAATCACAAACTAAATCATCATGCAATCACACAAAAACAGTAACTGTCATCAGATTCGATGAACGTTGACATGGATAGCGGATGTGGGGAGAGTGAGGCATCCCCTTTCTTTAACTTGTCCAAGAGTGACGCTAGAGGGCAGTCGATTTGGAGTGAATCACTCTCATTTAAAAGTTTGAATACATTGAGAAGAGTCACTTCAGTCGGATCTGGAGTGAAAACGTGATTTATTCAAATGAATGAATTTCACTCATATATGTTGTCCCTTTTTCTGATGAAGTAAATTTTCACTTGAATAGGGAGTGAATACATTCTCTGGAAACAAGAGAGCGAGCACATATGCACACTTAAAAGTTATTAATCCCGAACCCGTAAAAAGTAACGGATTATATAGGCCGTTCTGATGCCCCATTACTAAAACGTTACGGCTGTGATTATAGGGGTTGACTAAATTGTCAACGATACCACGAAGTAACACCCGAGTGGACTTGAGTGCGCGGTACGCGCCTGTATCTTACAGAACCGAGTGATTTTCGTTTTCACGAAGTAACACTCATGTACACTGTGCGCTGACTCGGTCATTTTCGTTTTCACGAAGGAACACTCATCTTTATTTCACAAATTTAAAGGTTTTTTTTATTAAAATGTTCCGTAATCCCACAAGAATATTGATTAATCACATTCCTGTCGAACGTTTTAAAACGTTTTTATCCAAATCGTATTTCCTTAACAGTTTTGTAATCATTCGCGCGAGTGTCCGATGTGCACACGCACACTTGAGTGTTACTTCGTGGAGCCAAAATTTGTCATGTAGCGGTTTTCACGAGGTAACACACTGGAGTGGACTAGTGTTACTTCGTGGTGTTGGTGACGAAATACTTTCCATCTTCTTAGCTACATAAACGGATCTCTGCATTTCCTAGCCAATACGTCAAAACATTCAGTTTCATCCGAAATTCTTTCGCCAGACTGACAGGATATTTCCCATCAAAAGGTTCAAACTGTACATACCAAAGTTTTACCAAACCACACTTAAAATGGGTTCAACTTCTACTGTCATTGATTCCTCAAAATCAATGATAACTGCAGACTTGTTTATGCAATCGCAACAACGATACAAATATTGAGGACAGAACTACCTCAGAAGAAATCTCGACATAGACATTTTCTTCTCGGGACAATCCAAAGTCAGACACCTTGGCCACCAACTCATTCCCGAGTAGAATGTTGGTGGCTGCCAAGTCGCGATGAATTACCTGCATTACATGAAAAAAAAAACATCGGCAAAGTAGGATAGAATGATAATGAAGAATGTTTAAAATCTTGTTTTTCAAGAGCTTGGTAGAAAAATTTTCATCACTCAAACCATCGACGTAGAGATTTTACATCTGGGAAAGTGACCGATTAATGGGTGTATATAGACAACCGCACACAAAACGTTTCCAAAATCAAGCCCATTAATTTTCTTTTGGGTTCAGACAATGCATAATGCATTATTTCTACCGCAAACTTAAAAACAACTTTGTTTTCACTAAATTGTCATTGACTTAAATAAATTGCCATTTTGCAAAATTAGTAAACTGAGCAGTATTCTGTGATGAACGGCGTCCAATGTTCTCGTGTATACATGTAGGCTAGCTCAGTCACCCATGAAGTACGGAAATTAATACCATTGTTTACAGGACATCCTGTCCTTTAACTGTATAGTTGCTTTTCTGAAATATTTAGTACAAATATTTCTGATAATTTACATTATGAATTGTGTGTGCATGTACTATATTTTGGGTCACCCCGAACACCTGTCCCTAGCACTAGACGTTTAAGGAAATGTAACAATTTCCCGATGAAACCTAGGGTTGTGGGAAATAGCCTTATAACCTTAAGTTTTTGTTTGTTGTGAAAAATCTTCACATGCATCGTTTCCAACGAAAACTTTTCATTCCTCTGCATTTTGACCCAAATTGAGAAGTGAAAAGGCCCACTTACGTTTGCCTTGGCGAGATGCTTCATCCCCTTGGCAACATCCAGGGCAAAGCCATTCAGCTGGCCCGAGGATAGGGCGCCCCCACCCGACTCGGACTGCGCGCGAGCCGTGCGCAGGTAGCTGCGCAGATCACCGTTGGGCAGAAACTCCATCGCGATGTACATGACATCTAGTAAATGGTGCAAAACAGTCGTCATTAGCGATATTCGGAAATTTCGAAAAGTTTACATGTAAAACTAATCAACAACTGTAAAATAATGTTGGTCAGGCGTTCTCTTTTAATAGCAACATTGAGAATAAAATACATTGCCTTCAAATGAAATCCCCCCTCTCCGAAATGAAACGATAATTTTTACTTTTTATCAATGGAAGGGAAAAAAAATATAACACAGCATATGGAGCAATTCGAAAACACGATGGGTGCTTTCCCCGGACACCCGCCCTCCGCAAAATAAAATAGAGGAGGGGGGACATCATCTTTCTATAGGGGCACTGTTCCAAGCGGACTATTATGATCATATCGGACAATAGTTGGCCCTGTCTAACCTGACAAATTTGCCGACGGATGCACAGTTTTGCGTGCAGGACAAAAATTGTGCCGACAATAACGATTAATGTGGGACCCTAACCCCTTCTTGCGACGCCGGTGTACACACCTACGTTACCGGTACCTTCAACCTCAATGGGCCTACCTTCATGATAACAGGCACCAAGTAGTGCTACAATATTAGGATGGTGGCCGACGTTGGTCATGTTTCGAAACTCCTCAATAAAATCTCGATTGTCCATCAGGGAGGCACGTCCTAAAATATGAGAATCACAAGCACGAAATCAATCGTTATAGAAAGCAGTCTTCACCGCTCCTTTAATACAATCGATTCGAAGCTGGACAGCAGGAACAAAATGGCTGTAGTGAACAGATAATATGTTGGTTTTCATGTTTTGGCAGAGACTGCAAAAGATCTTGTGAAATCGGTATAAAAACCACGGATACTATTATTTATAAAACAAAAATCAACCAAGTTGAATGAAACTGGTTATATCAATACCACAATAACTATCAATTGGAGTACTTATGGTACTTTAATGGCCATATTATAATATACTTTGCGTGGTCTATGCTACCTTTCACAATCTTGATAGCCGACGGGGTGATTTTCCCGCCCTTTTTAACTTTTCCGGACCTCACTTCACCAAAGAATCCTCCTCCGAGTACACGGTCATCAATTATCAGGTCATTCCGCGGAATCTGCCATTTGGCAGCCCAGGCAGGCAGCCCTACGTCTTCGTACACTGGACTCTGTATACCTGTCGCGTATACTCGAGTTCTTTGACCAAATCCGTTCTGTTCGATATAATCATGTAAAACTTAGAGTGTTAATATAGGTGTAAATGAGAGGTATACAGTGTGGAAATTAGAAATAAATCAATTACATTTTTGTTCACAATGAGCTTGCTGATTTTGCTGATACAGTAAGGTTGTTGTTACAATTAAATACATAGAAAAAAATTAAGAAAGGTCTTTAGACCGCTCTACATTATAACATGGAGCTAGGACCCAAGGAGTTCGAACTCCAAGACTTGAAAAGTAAAAGGATGGTCCCTGCACTCGAAAGCAACAAGAGAAAGCACCTGGCGGCCGGCTTGCTCAGTTGCTCACTACACTAATCTCTACACAATAGAGATCCCCGCTCACTAAGGCCAAAAAAAGTCTCTGGTTTCTGGTATGGAGCTTGCCCAAAAAGTGGTGCGGCGACGCGGCTTTTTTTTTTTTTTACCTGATTTTTTTGCTTCAAATGTCGGCTGATGACTGCAAATGGTGCCCGACTAAACTTAGTGCAAAGATATGGGAGTCCAGAGAGGCCACATAAAGCTTATTCTCGACCATAACCCAATCTAAAAACACGTTAAAATTGTGCAGCAGCAGGATTCCAGTCAAACCAGTGAGTTTGGCGGTTTTGAGACATCATCTTTCATTGAAAAAAAAACGTTTTCATTTTGCCGACGCGCATGGCTACAGCGACGCGCGCGCATACCAGAAACCCTAACGCCAGAAGGAAGAGTTTGCATTGATTTGTAGACAGTACCATGGTAAGTACGCATGCGCAGTTGTCATGCATCGCCAAAAATGACTGATTTTGAAGTGTTTGTTCGCAGTTGGACAATACCGTATATCAATGTGATCAACATCACTGAAACAATCATTTTATTTAGAACAAAATGCTCCATACCTTCAGTGTGAAAACTCATGAAATTTATTTTAAAAAAAATCCCATTTCATCAATGATGTATTGCCAAGTACAATGTCCAAAAGACATGATCACTTTTCTGGAAAAAAAATCCAATCTATCTTCAAACTCATTTTACCTTAGTGTTGATTAAAATATCACTGTTTTAGCTGAATGAGTTTCACACTTACCATTTCTATGTCCTTTGTGTCGGACTCGGTATTATCTCTGCGGCGCTTCGCCCTAATCACCAGGGCACAAATGATGACTAAAATGATGAGGACCAGGCAGAAAGCGCCGGATGCAGATATGATAATCATACTCATAGTGCTAGGCGTGTCGTTCGTCATGGGAACTGGCATGAATAATTGGAGGGGGAAACATTGATGAAAAAATGATACATTCTTTCCAAGAACTTGTCTTAATTTATATTTAGAGATAAACAAAAAACAATCAGTTTAAGCAATCAAATGATTAACATATTGCAGGTTTAGTACTGAGAAATATTCCTAAATATGACTACCTGATTATTGTTTTTCTAATAATAAAAGAAAAGTTTTCATGGCCGGTTTCCTTTAAAACAGGCGACCAGGTCCCTAGCAATTATCCGAGACCAGACCGTTTTTAATTCAAATAATCTACTTTAATTTAATTTAATATTAAATAATTTGCTTATTTAATACCGACCAAGTTCATATTTACACACTTTCCATAAATACCTTTCGGTCAAAAAGTCCAAGTAAAAATTCACGACTTTCCAACGATTTTCATTCAACAAATTTACCTCACGTTTTGTGAAACACCCGTCAGGCCGTGTCTATGCTATGTGTCTTCGCGTACCCTCTGCGTGACGTGGCGCAGAACGCAGCGGTGCAGAAATCAAGTTTTGAAAACCAGCCAGTGTTTTATCAGCGGTTTACACCCACCCTTGTGACGGGCCCTCGACCAATAGTAATGGGTAAACTGTCTTAGGTGTTTATGAATTTTAATTACGTATTTTGAAATAACTTTTAACTTTCACCTTCGCCTCCTTTTCGAATATATAGGTAAACGAATCTAATATATGTTTAAAGGTCATAGTCGAAGACGGGTACCTGTTGGGACCTAGAGCCACTGAAAAAGGTTGTAAACGGTGTGTCTTGATCATCTCAACTTCTTTTTACAACTAAAGGTTTTTTGACCGAAAAAGGTATTTATGAATGGGAATAAATATGTGCTTGGTCGGTTTTAAACACTTTGTTTAAGACCGGTTGGAGTCTGGATGCTGATAATTACCCTCGCCTTCCACTCGGGTAATTATCAGCATCCACACTATAACTAGTCTTAAACATAGTGTTTATCACCTCCCAAGCACACATTTATTCTCTTAATAATATACAAAAACGCAAATGATGTAAACACTTTGAGGTCTCTTACTTTAGTAGCATCCTCGTCATAAAAAAAGTATTGCCTTCAAGTCTAGAGTTTATCTGCAACAATTGGAATCATTATTGCATGCACCCACCTGCTGTTTTCTGAGGCGACATGAACGGGCTTGAGAAGTACACTTCCTGTGGATGTGAAAAGCAAAGGAAATTATAGTCAGATCAATATGACGCAATATTCTGTTCAGTCATGAAATGCTAAACCAAAAGGAACAGATACTTATCACTGCCCGACCTGGTCTTGGTCAAAGCCTGCACACTCCCCTGTGTAGCGACAAATCCCATGACTAATGCAGTACAGCTTGTTGCGATATACTGCAGGTCTCTATCAACAAGATGAACCTATTCCCAGTTTTGGCAACATCACCAGGGCTTTATACAATCTACCTAGAAAATTCCAAGCCTACCTTATGCCCTAGCCCAGGTGTCCTCTCTTACCGCACTACGTTACGCAACGAAGACGGCGTCCAACATGGGCTACCTTATGTCCAGGGGCGGATCCAGGAATTTTTGTAGGGGGGGGGGATTCATCAGCAAAGCAATGCTGAAATGTAGACAGGTTTTTTTCTCTAGACACTTGCCTCCGTAAAATCAAAAGGTGTGTGTGGGGGGAGGCACTGTTCAAATCCGACGATCATGAACACTGCAATACAGAATAGTGTTTATATACCACCGTAACCCAGCTGGATCAGTCTGAATGTTGTGCACAAGCGGACATTATTACCGGTACAATTGTCATAATTTATTTTGGGTGTCGAAGCAGTTGGGGGGGGGGGGGGTTCACATTAATTTGAATGTATTTCCATGGAAAAAAAATTGAACCTGGGGGGTTGACCCCCGGATGCGCGTCTGAATACAGCGAATTTCCTCTGGGTAGCGCTACCAATATTGCCAAGACTGGCTGCATAAGGGCAATACAAATTATCACAATGCAGTCGCGGACTAATTAAATTACGCTCAACCAAATTGCTGTAAAATAAAGACTCACCCTGTTGTCCATCACGACAAACACCCTCTGGAAAGCTGTATATTGAGTATTGGCTTTCAGGGGTCCATTGTCGCCAGTGTGATCGTAGGTTGTCTTTCTCTTTCTCCTTCGGGAGATATCTCCCCTACACCTGGAGACTGTTCCCGAACCTATCTCTACGGTCTCCGGTGCATCAAACTCGTCCCTGACAAAACAAAGCGTTATAGAATATGTTTTATCAAGTGGGTACAGATTTTTAAAAATGCATATTGAGCACTTAGGGAATATTTTGAGAAGAAAATCGACATAACATAATTGTGATAAATTGCACTAAATGAGTCAACATTGGCAATAGTTTATTATGTTACAAAAAGCCAAACCAAATGGTTGACAATGCCAATGTCATGCCGAAGCATTAGCGTTGAACTCGGCGATTGATAAGATGTAGGGGATCCAGAATTTGGTTTTAGGTTTACAGGCTTAACAAACATTTAACAAAATTTAGGTTTTTGTTAGGTTTAACAAAAATTCTTAAAGGTTCACGTACTTAAAGAGCTTGCACAATACATATTACTTTGCAAAACAAATTGTCACCCTCCAGGGTGAAGAAAATAGATAGTCCAACTTACCCTCCTTTAACCAGGGCAATATAAGGCTTCCCGGGAGTGTTTTGAGCCTCTTCATGTGTTACCATAGTTTCCGGAGGGTAGTCTCTGTCAGAATCCATGTTGCTGATCTCTTCACCGCCCAGAAGTTCCTTCACCACAATGGCATAGCAACTGCATTAAACAAATGAACATTTTAGAAAATAATTGAAATGTTTGGCTAAACAAATCACGGCATGCAAGTGCACCATAAAATAATCGTCCGTATTATTGTCACCTGATATTGCCAAGACTTCCATCTGCTGGCGTCAAAGACATCTGGAAGCTATCGGGAGATTCCATTGCTGCGTTTATGACCACGGGTGTAGATAGGCGTACAGGTTCGAAAATTGCTTCAAAGTAAAGAATATAACACACAAAACCATATCAACTGTAACCGAGAAGCTCCTTGCTTTTACTTACTGTATCTTTATAAATAATGAACCCAACCAAACTGTGTGCCAAGTCACCAAACAAATCCGTATGTTTTATGTCATGATTTCTGTCACCAGATTGTAGGCTGCAATCAACTGTCTATGAACAGATGGACAACTAAATTGCGCAGTGCGCGAAGAACATACCTACACACGTCCCTTCAATTCCTCTAGTGTAGCCAGCCTTGCAGGTACAAGTGAAATTTCCTTCTGTATTTGAGCAGACGGAGGTGCTGCCATCACAGTCATCACTCCCTAGGGAACACTCATTGATATCTACAGGGGAAAAAGCCGGATTCCTCCCATTACTCAGGCAGGGCCTCGCAAAGATTATATTAAATACTAACAGGACCTCAAGGTTCTAGGGGACAACACCGAGGGACTTCGCTTGCGGTGGCATTCGATCGACTTGGTTCCACAGATCAACGGGCAGGGGTCGATTTCATAACTTGTAGGGACCGCGTGCTTTAAACAAATCACCATGTACAATGCACAAAAGAAATTGTAGCTGTTAAAATACAGGGTGGACAAAACAAAAAACGAAACCGAGATATTATTGCTAATTGGGACAGAAGTAGGGCACATGTGAATCAAAGGGAGATATCCTCTGTTAGGGTTGAATCTCCTCTTTAAAATGACACCCTGATCATGTCCTTGCATTCACGGTTGACTGGGCAGTGACCAATTTTATGAAAGGGTCTATTTAGAGATATGCGCCACTTTTCATGGTGAAATCTCTTTTTTTTGCCCCACCTGCCTTGATTGGCAAACCATAGCCTTTCACTCTGTGACAATTGACACAACAAAAACCACAACTGAAAAGTGGCGCAATTCTCTAAATAGACCCTTTCATAAAATTGGCCACTGCTCAGTCAACCGGGAATGTCATGACATGACCAGGGTGTCATTTTAAAGAGGAGATTCATCCCTAACAGAAGATATCTCCGTTTGATTCACACGTGCCCTACTTCTGTTCCAATTAGCAATAATATCTCGGTTTCGTTTTTTGATTCACCCTGTTTAAGCATTATTAAGAATATGGCTTGATGTCTGCACAAAGAACTTTCAAGCTCGCACTATCCGTCAATAAATTACACCCAAAAAAGTCCGATCGCTAAACAGACCGATCTTGCTTACGTATGTCCTCCTTTTTCTCAGGTGTATATATCTTGCAGTCATTCAACAAAGCTCCCAATTACTTCAAAAGAGAAGATCTTAAACGGGCTATCAGATGCAAATCGTGCCAGGCCATCTCAAGGAGAATTGGATAAACATTGAAAACCTGTCGGCCAAGAGCGGACTGGTGATGTTTAATCGAAAGCGGCTATTGTCAAAGATTGTCTTCAATAATCTACCTGTGCATGTGATTCCATCTCCACTGTAGCCTACATTACATGTACAGGTGTATGTTTCCGGTGAGGTGAGGATGCAGCTAGCATGCACGTGACACTCAGATGGTGCTGGTTCACAGGGATTGATTGCTACAAAGAAAATATAAACAGGACCAAGAATAATTGGTGTTTGGGACAGTGAAGGGAAATAATGAATGTTATAGAGAGAGACCGGTGCTTTCAAATAAAAACAAATGTTGCTTTGCTAAAGGTGGGTCATCTGTTGATAGGATATCTGACCTCAAATCATAAATCCAATCGGCGCCCCCACCAAAAGATCATTTCTTGATATGGTCAGTCTCTACACTCTGAAAAACATCCTGATTGACCCGGAATCTGGGTTCTATTTGGCTCAACCCTTTTCCGGGTCAAAAGACACTTTGTTTTGGTCAAAATGACACTTATTCGGGTCATTTATTTACCTTAAAAAGTGTCTTTTCGACCCGGAAAAGTTTAAGTTTTGACTCGGGAAGGGGTTGAGCCAAATACTTGGAATCTGGGTTAATGTGACCCAGATGTTTTTAAAAGTGAAGAAGGTGTGGAATTTAGTATTTGACATGTTAATACACATTGGACGGTTGAGTTTAACATTTTTTAAAATAAATTATACTGCTGGCATTGCACTTGATTAGCACTGCACACGCCTGAAGATCGCCTATATGATTGGTTCATACTTTGCGCATGCGAAGCGAAATTGACGTCAGGAATAGCCAGTTCATACTCGGTGCCCTGCGAGCGCGAACGCGATTTTGTGACGTCATGGCAAGTATTCGCGCTGCGAATTAACAAGTGAACATAATCATTTCAACTCTGGCGAATTTCGCAGTGAATGTTTCCTGACGTCAATTTCACTTGGCGTTCGCATTCGCGTGAAGTATGAACCGGTCCTCAGTCTGTTGACCGTGTTTGGTTTCTCTGCATCGTTAAAAGCTTTGCAGTCTATAGGAACCAAACAACGTGTTTTCTTTCTTCTTTGAATTAAAACACTATAAGGTTTCGGGAAGCGGTAAGATAATCAGAAGAAGGGAATACTTAGGCAAGTCCTTCCATCACCACTGTAGCCATCACTACAGGCGCACATGTAGCTTCCAGCTGTATTGGTACATTCAGCGTGATGAGGATGACAGCCATGAGGACCAGAGATACATTCGTCAATATCTGAACAAAGTATTAAGTAACGATACTGTTAACTAATGAGTTGCTTTCTGTAGTGTATAAATACCAAACTTCTAAACATACCACAAAAACTGAGGTATTGTATCAAATGAAATAGCTCCTTATAGTATCGATAATTAAACCACCAATCACTGGGTGTAAATTTCACTATAGTGAATTAACTCAGGTCCTGATTATTATAGTGGTTTTTTTTTTTAATCGGGTAACATGTCATCAAAACTTAAGAACTTAATATCACATAAAACATTTCAATGCCAGTTCTGCCATCTTACCGATGCAGGTTCTTCCCAATCCTCTAGTGTAGCCGGTCATACAGTCACACGTGAAGGTGCCATCTGTGTTGTGGCAGACTGAGGTGCTGTCATCACAATCATCAATCCCTTCGGAACATTCGTTGATATCTATAGGAAAATTCGTGGACAAATTTTGCTGAGTTGACCGATTGTTATACAGTTTCCTAAAAGAAGTATTAGTAATTTGGTTCTAAACCTGATTTGTCCAGACCAGGCACCATATGCTGGACATGAAAGTGTTTCTTCAGTTGAATACGGTCATTCAGTCAGAATGGTCTGCTTCCACTTAAAATGCATGGCCTGCATTGAAATTGAAAAGCGTGTAACCTTCGTATTACCGCGCACCTGAAGCTTGTTGAACCGAGACTTTCAAGATTGTGTGGCCATAGACGTATTTACACGCGCTCAGTTTTTGAAAGACTCATTTTTTTTTAACTACACAAATCGTATACCTTCAAAGACCGTTTGAAATTAAAGCTGGCAGAAACCATGAGACCGAGCATTGCTGGTTTGGCCCCTTTCCCTGAGGTTCACCAAACCCTGAACATGAACCGTGCATTGTCTTATAATTGTATCTGGACAATTGCTGCAATATCTCTAGCCTTTCGCCCAGGCAATCGTGGCTTAGAGCGACGGAGTTGCGAAGACTCGAAGCGACTGGAGCAAAGATTAAGTCAATGCGCACGAGTGGCAAAGCCACGAGGCCTTTCCCTACTTGATTTTGTTGAATTATTCATAGTTTTTATGCAATCTCCAGTCGCTTCGTGTTTTTTCGCCGCTTTGAATGCGGGCAAGTTAAACCTCGATGGCCTTGGTGAAAGGCTACAATATCTCAAGAATACAAGACAATTCGATTGCATTCATGATTACATTCAAAAGACTCTTTCAGATCACGATGTTCATCCATTAAAATTGTTTTCCTATTTCCAACAAACTGTACCTACCTGTGCAAGCCCTCCCGTCGCCCCGATATCCGGAGTCACAGACACAGTCGTAGCTCCCTTGTGTGTTGCCACATTCAGCGTTATCGTGACAACCATGACTTCCCGAGATACATTCGTCGATGTCTGCATTAAAAGAAATTACATTAAATAAAAGAAAAGTTTGGCTATTTCACTCGGCTTACTCTCAGCTTGAACCTCTACCTGATGATCTTGAAAACCAAAACCAGACAAAAGTGTGCTCGTCATGAACGTAACCCACCCCGGCAATTCCTTCCATCGCCACTATAGCCAGCATCGCATGTACACTCGTAGCTTCCTAGTGTATTGTTACACTCCGAGTTTGTGTGGCAGTCAACAGTTCCAAGGAAACACTCGTTGATATCTGTGCAACAAAATGGACAAAACAGACAAACTCGGCAACTTCAAACTGGCACTTGTGTGTATTGTGTATCGTGATAATTATTGTAGCGTCCAAATTAATGTGACATCCGAGGAAACGTCTTTGTACCTCTGCGATGATACGCATGTGCGAACGCAGTGTGTCTTCATTGTCACTGAATTTGGCTAACAAAACATGTCCTTTAAAAAGGAGTCAAAAGTGATTGCGAAAATGGACCTTTAGTTCGTAGAAACTCTTCAACCGTACCTATGCAAGTCCGTGCAGTTCCACTCGTGTAGCCATCCTTACAGCCACACTCATAGCTTCCGTCCGTGTTGGCACAAACTGAGGTTCCTTCATCACAATCATGGCTCCCTCCATCACATTCATTGATATCTATACAATGAGTGAACACTTCTTTAAGTCTTGAATTAATGATAAACGTTTGAATCGATATTTCAGTATATAAATGTAAAGAGCGCCTTAAGTGATGTTATAGACCTTTATCATACTGCCACCATGCATGTCAGTCATGTTCTCTGAATCCAATAACAATACTGAATCATATTTTTTGTGCAAATAGGAACCAGACTAATTTTCCTTCAAGCCTCGCTTTGGTTACGTTGATTTGAATGGGAAAACATCAACATGGCCGCAACATGATAATGGTATATTATGGCATCGATATAATTTGATGGGTTATTCGCTCGAAATTGAGTGGAAGGCAAAAGTAAAAAACAAAAACAAACAAATAAACCTCCCAGTTTCCCAACCTCCTTGCAAATTGGATCCCTGTTTTAATACTCCATTATGACGATCTATGAAAGGCCTTTTCGTTTTCATGACTTGTCCTCAAGATATGCCATATTTACTTAACACAGTCAAAAAACCCTCCAACAAGATAATCAATAGGAGGGGGGGGGGAAACTAACTTCAGGCTGGAACAAAAGCAGTCCTATACATAAACAAAAACGTTAAAAATGTCATAAACAAACTCGAAGCAATTCACGCCAAAACTGACACAAAGCTCATAGGATATAACCTTCGCAATTGATTCCGTCGCCAGTGTAGCCAGCATCACACGTGCATCCGTAGCTCCCTCGAGTGTTAGAACACTCGGCCCTGATGTGACAAACATCAATTCCGAGGCTGCATTCATTGATATCTGAGAATACAAGACACAATACGTGTATGATAGTACAATATGTGTATGATAAACTGTCTCAAATTTACTCTCTTCCTAGAGTCAGGGAGCCTATACATTATGAACAATAAAACAATTACTACAAACTGTCACGCCTGATACGTATATCAAGCACTTAGGAAACATTGGAACTAAAAGAATGATTGTTTCTGCGTGTTGAATTTCTTTAGTACCTAAGCAGGTGTTCCCAGTCGCTCTAACGAAGCCAGTCTTACAGTTACACGTGAAGCTTCCTTCCGTATTATGGCAGACTGATGTGATGTCATCACAATCATCAGATCTTTGTACACATTCGTTGATATCTAGAAAAGAAATGGGGACAACCGTTAAACCTTAACTCTTGCGACAGCCCTTTTGGATCGGTAAAAAATAAGTAAATAACGTTTATCCCCAAACTCGTTACCTATGCAAGTCCTTCCAGGCCCCCTAGTGTAGCCTGGTTTACAGGTACAAGTGAAACTTCCTTCGGTGTTAGAGCAGACAGATCTACTATCGACACAGTCATCTGTTCCAAGAGAACATTCATCTATGTCTAGAAGGATACAAAAAAATACAGACGTTTTATAACTTGTTTGGGTTTTTATAAGGGGAGCGACACTTAAGAGGTCCCCCTTATTCTAACTTATATAGCTCTGAGGCATTAAAAACAGACAGGCAATTCATAAAATAATTGAAATGGGTTTATATTGTTTATATGCAAGTGAGATAAGCCTAATTCTGAATCGAGACATAGCAGCAATGACTACAACAATTTGCTTATGTAATGTTTTTCCCAAAATTTGTTATAATTGTGGCCTTTCAAAATAAACGGTTCTCCATTAATGTAACCAAAACAGCTTGACCTATTTGTCTGCTTATTTGTCTGGTTCATTAGATTGAATAAATAAGCCTAACAATAATAACACCGATTCAACGGAACTGGTAGAGCAGTAGCACACAATCACAACTGTTTTATTGATTTTTCTTTTACCTGTACAGGTCCTGCCATCCCCAGTGTAGCCGACATTACAGATGCACATGTAACTTCCCAGTGTGGGGACCGTGCAGTAAGCATGGACATGACAATCAACTGTTGTTGGATCACATGGATTGATTTCTTCAAAAACAAAAACAAAAACACAAAATACATTCAAAATAAAACTTTGAGAATTAGGTTATAATAAGACCTTAGATTCCGCAGACAAATTAATCTTCTCGGGCGTCAAAATATGAAATATTTCACTCTTACTTTTTGTATGAATGCCTTGATTCACATTCTCCTCACAGAGTGATCGCAAGCGTAACTGCTCATTTATTCTGATGTCTCCTGACCTGTCGCTGTCCCTGTTTTTTCTCTTCTAGAGCTTTAGACATATTTGACTGAAATTCCGGGAAAGTTGTAACTAAAATCGAAATTGGCCTATACCTGTTGAGTCGAGGTCTCTGCCCGCTATGATCTAAATTGATCAGGTTTTCAATTTGCAAGAACTGAAATAAATCACACGGTAATACCATAGCAGGTCCTTCCATCGCCACTATAGCCGGCATTACAGGTACACGTGTAGCTTCCAACTGTATTGGTACACTGGGCTTGGGCGTGACAGTTGCCATTATCTACAGCGCATTCGTTGACATCTATATTATAAAGAAATAATATGACAACAATTACAGTGACTGCTCTGAGGCCTAACATTGCCTTCTGCGTGGACGGCTGGTCGAAACCTCTTAAAAGCGGTCCTGGTCTTAAGCACATTGTCGACATATGTTCCAAATATACCGCAGATCATGAGTGTATGAAGGTTTGTTTCATGAAATGTGCCTTGCGTATTGGTTCTTCAAATTTAATGGAACCCTACCTATGCAGGTCCTTCCTGGTCCTCTGGTATAGCCGGTCTTACAGTCACATGTGAAGCTTCCAAATGTGTTTCTACAGACTGAGGTGCTATCATCACAATCATCAGATCCTTCAGAACATTCATTGATATCTTGAAAAGAATTGAAAACAAAAACAAAAATTAGCACATAGGAGAGTCTAAAATGACAATACCTGTATTGAACCAAAATTATAAGGTGTACGAAGATGTAATTGTCTTACCATCACACGTCCTTCCGTTGCCTCTGAATCCTTCAATACAGCCACAGTCATAGCTTCCATGAGTATTAGTGCACAGAGCGTTGACATCGCAGTCAACAGTTCCGAGGAAACATTCATTGATATCTATAAACAATCCACAAGGTTAACGTTTGATGTAACTTCAAATACAACGCATGCTATCTAGTTCAATTACCCGCAGATTAATAATGGCTGAAAGTTATATTCAAAGTCGGATTTGAGGCCGCCAGCAAACTTTGCTTATTCTACACATTATATTGGTGTTTTTTTGCCCAAGTATATCCTGTATTTTTCCTCCCATTTAATTCATTTTCATCGTTTTAAGATTTAAATCAAATTATAGCAAATGTGTGGGTGTTTGGGTTTTTTATGTTCAATATTCGATATTCGCATACCTTTGTACAGCGAATTTGTGTTTTTGTTTGTTTGATGTTTATACGTGTGTGAATGTCGTCTATCCAATATGCAATATCACACACATTCGCTTTGTCTAAATTCCTGAGTTTATTTCTGCATTCCATAGGGGACGTTGAATAATAGAGGACAATAGGGTCCCCAATTGGGTCCCCAATTCACGAGAGGTCCCCAATTTGGATTCGTGTACAAAGCATAGGAAGTCTTCCTAAAAAGTTATAGTACAAACAAAAGAGGGACAGTAGGGGGTCCCCGATTGCAGACAAATACACACTTGTAGGCCTATGAGATGTTCACGAGTTCATTGCGCGCAAAGCGGCCGAAGCACAGCCGCGTCCGACACAAACACACACATTCGTTGTACAAAATGTATGTGAATATCGCATATCGAACATCCAACTTGAAACCCATACATTCGCAGTACAAACGAATATCGAATATCAAACTAACTTTATTATCATTCATACCATAGCAGGTCCTTCCATCACCACTGTAGCCAGTGTTGCAGGCACACGTGTAGCTTCCCATAGTATTGGTACATCCAGCATGGGTATGGCAGCTATGTGAACCCACGGTACATTCGTTGATATCTATACAAAAAAGAACAACACTAATACACAACAAGAGGTACTTCAGGCCCATATCAAATTCATCTCAGTATGTCAAAACAAGCCGAACATCATTTTTTGTGTGGCAAAAAAAGAAATGCAAGGATGCATTAGTCAGTGCATGAGCACCGTCTTGGCTGAGTCGCCTACTTCAACATAACTCAAACTATGTAAGGTTCCCTCAAGGCAATATCGCATACCTATGCAGGTCCTTCCATCGCCGCTATAGCCAGCATTACAGGCGCACGTGTAGCTTCCATCTGTATTGGTACACTGGGCTTGGGCGTGACAGTTGTCAGTATCCTCGGCGCATTCGTTGATATCTTGAAAAAAAAGATTTGAATTAAATTCAAGTATACTCTTGAGCAATTTCGATTTGCATCAAAAACAGTTGCGCCCTGGTTTGAAACAAAACGCGAATAGCCATAGATGAGATAAGCCAAATTGGATCGCGGACTCAACAAGTTCCTGTTTAACGAATTTATTCTCAGTCAGTGGCCTTGTCACGCACAGAGCCCTGTTCGACCTCAGTTTCTTGTCCCGAGGTCACTCACGCATGGCCCAAAAGCCTTCGCGAGATTTTACGAGAATGTATTCGAGACTAGAGAAAAACACAAAAAGGACTTCGATACATGCACTGTTTGGCCAAGATGGCTAGGTAAGAAAAAAGTTCAAATCGTGTGCTTTAATTATTTTGATACCAAATATAACTGCTTTTGACAAAAATGAAGTGTTGTTACGGCGTGTCAAACAAAAATAATACTTTATAGCTATACAAGTGAGGGCTGATAGTTTTTAGGTGTACATTCGATTCTTAAAATGGCCGAACAAAATGGCAAGGTTCAGTAGATAGAGAATAGTGTATGCTTCATCTTCATGTGAAACACGTGCAGGAGACTTCTATATTTTTGTTCCAAATCGCCGGTTGAAAAATGAAGACTTTAGCGAGATTTCATGATTTGCAATCACAATGTACGCGTGTAAACGGATGTACGTACGGAGGGCTGAAAAAAATTGTGAACAGCACGCGCGACTTATGAATAGTAAGCAGGCCATCTCGAGCTCGACCAATCAGTGGGCGTATGGGGTCACACAGTCATAACGTGTCTGGGTTCCTTGATCTATGCTTTTACACTGGAGACAATCTCTTCGCGTTGTGAAAAATGAAAGTTTTTGGAAACATTAGGTGTACATCGAATTTTTAAAATATTAACGACATCACGTTCACGAGATTTTTTGCAGATGAAGGTTCATTCTTTCCTTTGATTACCTCAACATTTGGAAGACTTTCTTCGTTGTCGAAAAAACCTGAATTTTCATCACTTAGGCCTAGTTGTTTAGTCGATTTGTCCGTGAAATCATATTGTTAAAATGCATCGAAATCATTTTTTGAGAAAAAAGACCTTGATAGATGTATGGACTAGGTCTTTAACTACCTAAAACAGCTTTGTCTGTATCGATCGGTTGTGATTTGGCATGAACATTGCATAAACTTTTCAAAAGCCCTTTTTACGGCCATCGTTCGCTTGCATCGCATTGCTTTCAGTTGTGTGGACGAGAAATAAGAGCAGCTATGAGTGACACCGCAACTAACTGTTCTAAGCTAACTCAATAATTGTTGGTACATTCGGAATTTGTATGACGGCTATGTGAATCCGTGGTACATTCGTTGATATCTATGCTATACAGAAATACAGGTAAGAACAATACTCATATTAAAGGGAATATACATCATTTGCTTTTGCTGTAATTTTCAGAAATGGATGGAATTGGGGGTTGGAAATATATAGCAAATATCGTTACACTGAATTTTTGAGGTTTTGGGTTCGAAAATGCTATAAAAACCAAGAAAAACGATCATTTTCCTGTAGTCTGGTTCCCTGACTCCATATAAGAAGAAACAGAGCAGTTTACATACATTGGGGAATTGTAAGGTCAGGGAACCAGTCTAGCTGGCTTGTACCCGTTCATAGGTTTGTAATCGATTGCAAACAAGTGCGATGGTCAATTGGGGCCAGTATTTGAAAAAAAGCCAGTTGTTTCCAACGCTGATCGGCCGATCAGCGTTGGAAATTGATACAAAAATACCACTATTCTTGAAAATGACAGTATACCAGGTGCCATGATTTTACAGGATGCTTTACACTGTCATTCACTAACAGTCCAGCAAGGTATTTCAAAACGATTTGGTAGTTTTATTTTTTGATGTTTGCAAATGTTGTATTTTCCCTTTAAACACAAGGGGCGTTTTATTTAATGTACCGAAAAACCTTTAACCCTAATGAAAGCTTACTTAACCCTAAAGGGACCGGGGGGGGGCGGAATCCGCCCCCCCCCCCCTCAACATTTTCCGTGATAGCTTCAAAAAAAGCTGTTATGACTTTTTAGCCTGGAGCTTTGCGCATCTTTTGATACCAAAAACATAAAAATCGGACCACGGGTTGCCGCGTATCGAAAAATTTTCCGGCGCTACGCGCCGTGAAAACTGAATTTTCGCATATACGTCGTGTGCACAGAGCAGAATTGCCATTCGTACATATGAATAATTAATTGGCCATAATTCCAAAACACTTTGACCTATAGTCATGAAATTTCTTGGGTATGTTTAGGAAGAGTTGCTCTATGCATGTGCCGAGTTTCAAAATTTTTCGTCACTCGATGGTCAAAATAACCCGGCCCCTTTAGGGTTAAAGAGCTAGCAATTCGTTGCACACAAAACTAACTATCAAATTTCAACCGCCTAAACTCGGCCCCACAATCATACCCGTGCAAATCCTTCCATCGCCCCTGTAGCCAGCATTACAGGCGCATGTGTAGCTTCCATATGTATTGGTACATCCAGCATGGGTATGGCAGCTATGTGAACCCGCGGTGCATTCGTTGATATCTATACAAATAGAGATTATAAATAGTCAGTAGGTACCGTCTTGGCAGAGTTGCCAACTTAAACATATTTAATCAAATCTATGAAGAAAATACCAATACCTATATGCATGTACTACCATCATTGTAGCCAGTATTACAGACTGGTGTATACATGTGTAGCTCCATCAATTAAATTGGGATGACAGAAGCCAAATCTGACAATGCCAGATCTACTTTAACAAATCTAAACCGGCCTTTAATTATCCACGACACGATGATCATACCTATGCAGGTCCTTCCATCGCCACTAAAACCAATAATACAGGCACACGTGTAGCTTCCATCTGTATTGGTACACTGGGCTTGGGCGTGGCAGTTGTCAGTATCTTCTGCACATTCATTGATATCTTGAAAAAAAATTAATTAAATTAATTAAATTCAAGTTTGTTTAAATAATATATATGCAATCGTTTCAGGGTATTAGTTTTACACCGAAAACAGTGCCATTTGGGTTTGAAATGAAACTCAAATACATGGGAAAAACTTGTATTTCAGGAGGATTCTCAAAATGGCTCGGACTCGACAAATAGGCCTTAGAAAAATGCACATGATTTGTGACGTCACATCAAACATGATGACGTCATCCTGATGTAACTTCAATTTCCATTTTAAACACATCCCGGCTTAGGTACACCCCAAGGTACAACCAAATCGGACATATGGTTCTGCAGATATATCCCTCAGAAAAATGCACATGAATTGTGACGTCACAAAAAACCATGATGAACTCATCATGATGTAACTTCAATTTCAGATATTACACATCCCGGTCTAGGTAAATACCAACTTCAGTCGCCTATGAGCTCCCTGCGCCGACGAAAGAGGGCGCCCTTTTACCTAGAACACCGTCCCGTGGGCGGGAAATTTCGCTGGTTGACGCGCACCGTTCCTTAATTGTGTGTGACGCACGTACACCAGGGGATTTGTACTATGTACACGCAGTGGCCGCGCTTCGCGGCAAATGAATTGCAGTCAGGCAAGATGGCGTCGGTCGGTCATCCCCAACTGTACTACCTTTGCCGGTGAGGGGGTACTTGTGAACGGAGCAGATACTTCAACATAAATCAAACTATGTATGGTTCCCTCAAGGCAATGTCACATACCTATGCAAGTCCTTCTATCGCCACTATAGCCAGCATTACAGGCGCACGTGTAGCTTCCAACTGTATTGGTACACTGGGCTTGGGCGTCACAGTTGTCAGTATCTTCGGCACATTCATTAATATCTTGAAAAAAACATTTGAATTAAATTCAAGTTTACTAAATTTTTAGCTTTTTCGATCTGCATCAAAAACAGTTGCGCCCTGGTTTGAAATAAAACGCAAATAGTCATAGATGAGATAAACCAAATTGGATCGCGTACTCGACAAGTTCCTCTTTAACGAATTTATTCTAAACTAACTCAATTATTGGTACGTTCGGGATTGGCATGACAGCTACGTGAACCCGTGGTACATTCGTTGACTATACAAAAATAGAGGTAACAACGATAATTATCAAATGTCAACCGCCTATACTCGGCCCCACATTCATACCCGTGCAAGTCCTTCCGTCTCCACTATAGCCAGAATTACAGGCGCATGTGTAGCTTCCGTATGTATTGGTACATCTAGCATGGGCATGGCAGCTATGTGAACCCGCGGTACATTCGTTGATATCTATACAAAGAGAGATTAGAAAAAAATGACAAAACACAAGTTGCGCTTTAAGAAACCTCCGTGCGAGGTAATTGTATGCGACCGGGTTCACACGTGTGCCGTTCGAAGAAGTAAACTCGCATCCTCAAAAGTAGACGAAATGTGCCGTGACCTCCATAGGAAACACGACATTTTCACTGAGTTGCCCGCTTTTCAAAGGAAAAGTGCATATAAGTATTCGACTTTTACCATGAAGAAATTATATTCAGTGGAAAGAGGAAAACCTATATTTTATAATGCGATGCGAGAGAGTAAGTTTAACAAACATACTTTCCGCATACTAACGAAAGTTTGCTCAGAGCGCCTAGACATAAACCAGTCTTCCCACGTAAACAGAGCTCCACTAGTGGCGAGTGAGCAAATGCTCCTTAGTCCTCCATGGCGGATTACAGGTGCATACATGTGTAGTTTCCATCAAATCGGGCTGACAGAAGCCGAATCAGACTATGCCAGAGATCTAAATTAACAAAACTTAACCGGCTTTTAATTATCTAGCATTTAATAAATCTATGACACGATGATCATACCTATGCAGGTCCTTCCATCGCCACTAAAACCAATACTACAGGCACACGTGTAGCTTCCATCTGTATTGGTACACTGGGCTTGGGTGTGACAGTTGTCAGTTTCTTCAGCACATTCATTGATATCTTGAAAAAAGAGAATTTGCTTGCTTAACTCTCCTCCTAGCCCCCACAACTGAAATTAGAAATTCGCTATTCTAGAAAACCGATTGCGTAAAGCTCTCTGTTTGTTCAACATTCTAACCTTCCGTTCGGATTTAAGGATGTGCCTTTGTCATTACAATTGTTTTTGATCATCCCTATCTCCCTCTCTGTCTCTCCTTTAATGTATATTTATGTTCAGAATCAAAAAGTTTGAAAAAGAAACCTGTCGTTTCTCAAATTCAAGCTGTGCCATAAAGCGACTGAATGTATTAAACAACGTTACAAGTGAGAGAGTGATTTCAAAAAGGTTTACATCCTGTATTCCACGCTCACCAGTGTATACTATCGAGTACAATTATCGCTCATTTGCTTATGATTTCGTGTGGAAATGGGACCACAAATCACCCGTTTGGCAATCTTGGATCAACATTGGTGTTTGAGAGCAAAACTATTTGAAATAAATAAAAACAGAATATGCTGCATAATAAAGAATTTCAACGAAAAGCAAACTAGCATTCGATGTTTACTGCACACTGAAGTTGATCATACCTGTGCAAGTCGTACCATCGCCCCTGAAGCCAACATTGCAGGAGCACGTGTAGCTTCCAATTGTGTTGGTACATCCAGCATGGGTATGACAGCTATGTGAACCAGTGGTACATTCATTGATATCTGTACAAATCGAGGTAAGACGATACTGTGATTAAGCATAAACCTCCACGAAAATACGTTTTTCCCAGTAAGTCAAAACATACTTCCATGGAGGATCAAAACATGATGAACCCAAATTCATCGTCTTAACACCAATAACATATTGAACATAGAATTCGCATTAAACTACATGATATTGACCATATAGCAAGGGTCATCCGACCGATTACCAACAGAAATTTAAACACAACAATCAAGTTAGCTTGCACACAAAACTTGTTTTCAATTTATTACCGCCCTACCCACAATCATACCTAAGCAGGTTCTTCCATCACCACTGAAGCCAGTATTACAGGCGCACGTGTAGCTTCCAACGGTATTTGTACATCCAGCATGGATATGGCAGCTATGTGAACCCACAGTACACTCGTTGATATCTGTACAAATCGAGGTAAGAATAAATCAGGCCTATTCTATACAAGATCAAGTTCATTTCCGTTCATTAAAAAAACACAAGAGTCAGTACTAGAATATACCATGTTAGCGGAGTCGCCTACCTCAACCTAAATCAAACTATCCCTCCTGGACTAGGACATGTCTATCCATGTGTATTACAAAGGGACAAAGACCTGCACGATAGGGGCAAATGGTATATAATTACAAAATCATGAGTTTCCTCAGAAAATTTATACAAACTGCGATTGTATGTTTATTTGTATGTATGTTTTGGCTATGAAGTAGGTATTTAAATAAAAAGCTCTCCTCGTTTTGAAGAGGAGAACTCAGACAAAGCCATATCATACCATTGCAGTAAGTCCTTCCATCTCCTGAAAAGCCAGTATCACATGAACAAGTGTAACTCCCATCTGTGTTAGTGCACAAAGCGTGCGTTGTCAGGCAGTTGTCGAGTCCTTCTTGACACTCATCAATATCTACACAAATATAAATATATATCCGTATAAACGTCTCCAATTTAATAAAGTTACAATAGTAAAAAAGTTATCCGTGCATGCAATCCATTTGCAAGTCAGAACAAATAATAATGACTGAAACGAAAGACTACAAAGATCTCAATCAACAACATCAACCGAATCATTCACATGTAAACTGTCTGCAGATTTTCGCAGCTGAAAGCAAGCCAATTTTTATAAGATTAATTTAAATATGTCCCTCATAAGATAACCATACCTATGCAAGACCTTCCATCGCCACTATAGCCAGCATTACAGGCGCAGGTGTAGCTTCCAACTGTGTTTATACATTGGGCATGAGAATGGCAGCTATGCGAATCAGACAAACATTCGTTGACACCTTGAGAAAAAGATTTGTGAATTAAATTAAAGCTTGCTTTATGTTACATAAACATACGAAATCGTTGGGGTATTACTTCTTGCTTCGAAAACAATATGGTCCCTCGCTCCAAATAAAACGCAAAAAGATGGTTTAACTTCTATTTAAAGATGAATATCGAATTGGTCGAGACTTGGCAAATTGTACTAAACCATTTTATTCTAAATTAACTCAATTGTAAACTCAAAAGTAACATGCCAATATTTTGCAACTGTTGCCATTCTTTAAAACTAAGAAGTGTTTTTGTTTTGAAAAGTTCCAAAGAGAAATTTCTATTCTAGAAAACTGCTACATTGGTGGTGATATCTATACACAACAAGGTCAGAGTAAAACTACGGACAAAACAAAAGTCTCCGGTTTCTGGTCTGCGCAGGCGTCGCCGTAGCTGTGTGTGTCGGCAAAGTTAAAATTAAAAACTGTGTTTTTTTCAATATAAGGTAATGTCTCAAAAACCGCCAAATTCACTGGTTTGACTGAAATCCGGCCGCTGCTCAATTTCAACGTGTTTTAGATGGGGTAACGATAAAGAAAGCTTTATTTGGCCTCTCTAAATTTAGTCGGAATTGTGCGTCTGGAAACGCGACTGAGAGAGCGATGTTGTGTATCTGGAACCTGTAAACGCGTTTTAATTAGCGCAATATTAAAGGGAGTACACTAATGACCATCCTGGCAGCTCATGCACGATGTCAATGTTGCTGTACGGTCTAACGTTTTTATCTTGACTATCCAAATTGCCCAAAGAATGTTCGTGTCGGACGAGATCGTAAGTGGGTGCAGAATTCTTAAGCCTTATGACGTTACTGAGGTCATCTTAAGCTCCACTCTGTTATGAAGTTCATCTCATCAGTACGACCTCTATTAAAACATTGCTAAGGTCAACATTGGGGTTTTTTTTCGGCGAAAACATCATTGCTTTGATGCATTATGAAGAGTATGTATAAGAATACCGTCTTGGCTGAGTCGCCTACTTCAACATACATCAAATTATGTTAGGTTTCCTCCGGACAATATCACATACATATGCAAGTCCTATCATCTCTCTAGCCAGTGTATACATGTGTAGCTATCTTCCATCAAAATAGGGCCGCGACAAAAGCCCACTAAGACTACGACCAATTTAATCTAACAAAACTGAACAGCACTAGCACAACCAGTACACAATCATACCATCAAAGCAGCTCCTTCCATTGCCACTAAAGCCAGTATTACAGGTACACGTGTAGCTTCCATATGTATTGGCACATGTAGCATGGGTATGACAGCTATGTAAACCTGACGTGCATTCGTTGATATCTATATAAATCCAGGTATGAAAAATACTTTTAGACTTCACGATCTATTTTTAATTTAAGAATTACACGAAGTAACATAATGTTAAATATGATGAAAGTGACAATGTTGGTAACTTTCCGTATTATGCAGGGTGGTAAAAAAACGCAACCTCATACTTCCGATATCCAGGGACCTAAACCACTGATATGTATGGCTAGGAAATGTTGATAGAAGGAAAACGATACCAAGAACTAGGTTCAGTAGTTTTGATTCCACCGCCATTTGTGTGAACCAAAGTCAGGGGTTATTTGGTGTTGGATGAATAACGCAAACATGACAATGGGTGCGGAAGAGTCAAAATGTGCCTTATAATATTTTGTAAAGTTTGTTTGTTATGTTTAGCTGAGTCTTAGCTGAGTCAGCAGCGGAAAAGCCAAAATATGTCATTCTTCTATAAAGTACATGGTTATATGTACACGATTTTAAGTTTGCAAATAAAGTTTATTTTATTTCGTTAAGATAATCCTTTTGTTCACTGTGTGCCAAAATCCTAATTAGAGCCCCTGACTTTGGTTCACAAAAATGGCGCTGGAATCAAAAATACTGGACTGAATCGGGAGTTCTTGGTATCATTTTCCTTCCAACAAAATTCCCTATCAATATATATTAATAATGTATGTCTCTAAATAGTGGAAATATGATGTTGCGGTTTTTTTTACCACCATGTATAGTACGCATGATGACTGATGACAATACACAGTAATGACACATTATGAGGCTTCCAACTGCTCTATCAATATACCCCTTACAAAGGGCGCCCTCACTGAGGACAATTTGTTGTTATTTAAATTCAGTGGCAATGAAAGTACAAACTGTCTCTTATTATTGTTTAAAACCTCGATCCGAATTCAAATTTTCTGAAAATTTTTCGCCGTGTGTCTCTGAACGCCAGTTAAAAAAGGGTGTTATTGCAACGGGCGATAGAGTGTTGCCATTTTGAAGAAGTACGGATTTCGACTCAAAAGTGTTAATCTCTGAAAAGTGTTCACTGTACTCGATCTGTTTGAGTATGGGCTCTATGCGCAAACAACAGAGGGAGCTTTTTTACCACGTTCGAGAGCCCGGAGGAGTTACATTCCTTCAGTCAATGATAATTAGTGTAAACTACCAAGTAAAAATTGGGCACACCTTTTTTTGTGATTTTGTACTGAAATGGGACTACAAATTAGCGGTTTGGCAATCACATATCCATATTGCTTTTGAAAGCTTTCATGTAACGAGAAATAGCAATCATTTAAGCAAAGCTTGACAAACAAAACGACTTATTTGCAATCCATTTGAAATAAATACAAACAAAATATTCTGCACATGTCTTGTCATCAAACATATTTCAACGAAATTCCAACGAGTTTTCTATGTTTTTTTTCTATGTATTTCATACCCGTGCAAGTCCTTCCATCGCCACTGAAGCCAGTGTTGCAGGCGCACGTGTAGCTTCCAACTGTATTTGTACATCCAGCATGGGTATGGCAGCTATGTGAACCCGCGGTGCATTCGTTGATATCTACACAATACGAAAAGTAAGAAGTTATATAAGAACAATTTGATACAGCACTCGAGAGGTATCAGCCTACAGTCAAGCATACCAGCAATCTTGCTGGCAAACTTGCCGGCGATCTTGACATACATGTATTTGGAACCGTCCAATCAAGTTTGGACGTTTCCAAAAATTGCCACAATTTTGCACGTGCATGCGTTAGCCTGCTGCAAGTTTTGCATGTGCAAGCTTGCAAGCTTGCAATTACATTATAAGTTCATTATGCCTCACATTAAAATAATTTCAAGCATGCCTCACATATGTGCAAGCATTTCAAGCTCTTCTTGCAAGGATTCTGCAAGCTTACAATTTGCTTGCAACTTGCTTGCATGTAAGAGTGCAACCACAAGCTTATGAGGCTTGTTGCAGTCTTGTTACCAACTTAATGAAACTTTAAGGCAAGCTTACTCTTCTGTAGGAAAGTTCTTCGAAGTATTAGTCAAAACAAACTTCCAAGTAGGGAATGCAAAATATAGCCTTAATGCACCCAAATTCATCATTTAACATTGATAATTGAATATAAATTTACAAGTTTCCTATTACACTTTATGATGTTATAGCCCTCAAGCCCTGGATGTCCGGCCGACAAACCGAAACATCTTAAGCCAAATCAAAGTATGCTTTCAATGTCCAGGAACCCATTGCACACAAAGTGGTTATTAATTTCCAACCACCCATACCCAAAATCATACCTGTGCAAGCCCTTCCATCGCCACTGTAGCCAGTATTACAGGCGCATGTGTAGCTTCCATATGTATTGGTACATCCAGCATTGGTATGGCAGCTATGTGACCCTGAAGTACATTCGTTGATATCTATACATATTACAAATCAGGTAAGAAAAGTGTGACACTACAAGAAGCACTTTAATGTAGCCCTATCCTATGCAATACCAAGTTCAATATAGTCCGTTAAAACTAGCCTATAACATCATATATATTTTAATGGCCCAAAAAAAGAACTACATTGATGCAAAATCAGTACAAGAATATCGTGTTTGCGAGTCTAATTCGACATAAAAAATCAAACTATATGTAATGTTCCTTCCAGGCAATCTCACATGCCTGTATGCACATCATACCATAACTGTAGCCAGTATTTCGGTCGCATACATGTGCAGCTTTGCATCAAATTTGGCTGACAAATGCTGAGTCAGACTACGCCTGATCTAATCGTACAAAGTTGCAACGGCCTTGAATTCACTAGCACCTAATAGAACCACCACACGGACATACCATAGCAGGTCCTTCCATCGCCACTGAAGCCAGCATTACAGGCGCACGTGTAGCTTCCATCTGTATTGGTACACTGGGCTTGGGCGTGACAGTTGTCAGTATTTGCAGCACATTCATTGATATCTTGAAGAATAAAAATTTAAATTTAATTCAAGCTCTGCCATGAAACGTTGAACAAATTAGCCGTTTGGCAATGACATATCGATATTACTTTCGGAGAGCTTTCAAATATAAAAGAAATTGCAATCGTGTAGCAAAGCGTGACAAGCGAAAAGAAAATACTTATATGCAATTCCGTTGAAATAAATGAAAGCAAATATTATGCTGTCTTTGCGTAAAACAGTATTTGAACGAAAACCAAACTAGTTTTCTATGTTTGAAAATACCTGTGCAAGTCCTTCCATTACCACTGTAGCCATCATTACAGGCGCACGTGTAGCTTCCAGCTGTATTTGTACATCCAGCATGGGTATGACAGCTATGTGAACCCGAAGTGCATTCGTTGTTATCTACAGGGTGAGTCAAAAAAAAAAAAAAACCGAAACCCAATTATCGGGACTATTGTTTTAGTGAAGTTCTGCATGTAGCACTTTCAAAATCTAAGATATAAAAGCCTAATTCATAAACTTTGTTGTAGTACAAGATTCATTCAAATCACTCATGTACTTTTCAAGTTTTCAAGGAATTTTAAACACAACCACCTTACCGCATTCAGTGTCCTTTCAGCAAAACGAAAACAAAACACATACCGATGTGTGTGAATTTTTTTCATTTTGCTGAAAGGACGCAGACCTTTTTTGTGATCCGTGGACAGAACTTTAAAATGGTGGTTGTGTTTAAAATTCCGTTACTTAAAAAGTACACGATGCGTTTGTGCTTGCAGTCAGGCGTGCCAGCAATCTTGCTGCAAGCTTGCAAGTACATGCATAAACTTGCTGCAAGCTTGTAGGTAAAGCTTGCAGGTACATGCTGCAAGCTGCCACAAGCTTGCAATGATACATGCGCAAACTTGCTACAAGCTTGCAAGTACATGCATAAGTCGGGCAACAAGCCTCACATTACATGTGCAAGCTTGCCTCATACCCATGCCAGCATTTCAAGCTCTAGTTGCAGCAAGCTTGTAATTTGCTTGCAACTAGGCTTCATGTAGATTGAAAACGAGCAATCTCACGCTAAATTATTTCAGCTTGCTGCAATTTTGTTAAACCTTATAAACAATTGCGATAAGTTTTCTGCAGGAACCTTCTTAGCAGTAAGTCAAAACAAACTTCCACATCCGGCCGACAAACCGAAATATCTGAATGAAAGTATCAAAGTACAATGAAGTATGCTTTCAGTCTCCATGCAGGAATCCATTACACACAAAAGTGGATATCAATTTCCAACCACACACCCACAATCATACCTATGCAGGTCCTTCCATCGCCACTATAGCCAGCATTACAGGCGCACGTGTAGCTTCCAACTGTATTAGTACACTGGGCTTGGGTGTGGCAGTTTTCTGTATTTGCAGCACATTCATTGATATCTTGAAAAAAAATTGAGTTTAATTCAAGCTCTGCCATGAAATGTTTGGTTTTAAGAGAACACATTGCGATTTAGAGTCTGATTTCAGAAAGATTTACATTCTCTCATTAAACAATCTACTTGCTCATTACTAGTGACTTTGCACTGAAAGGGGTAAACAAATTAGCCATTTGTCAATCACATATCAATATTACTTTTAAAGAGCTTTCAAATAACAAGAAATTACAATCATGAAGCAAAGCGTGACAGGCGAAAAGAACATGCTTATATGCAATTAATAAGTTGAAATAAATACAAACAAATATTATGCTGTCTTTTCATAAAACAGTATTTCAACGAAAACCAAATTAGTTTTCTATGTTTAAAAATACCTGTGCAAGTCCTTCCATCACCACTGTAGCCATCATTACAGGCGCACGTGTAGCTTCCAGCTGTATTGGTACATCCAGCTTGGGTGTGACAGCTATGTGAACCCGAAGCACATTCGTTGATATCTATACAAAATTAGTTAAGAATGGGCTTCAGCTTGCAGTCAAGCGTGATAGCAATATTGCTGCAAGCTTGCAAATACATGAACAAACTTGCTGCAAGCTAGCTAGCAAGTACATGCTCAAGTTGGCAACAAGCCTCAAATTACATGTGCAAGCTTGCCTCATACCCGTGCAAGCATTTCAAGCTCTTGTTGCAGCAAGCTAGTAATTTTCTTGCAACTAGGCTTCATGAAACTAGGTAGAATGAAAACGTGCAATCCCAAGCTTATCTGCTTAAGCTTGCTGATAAATATTGTTAAACCTTATAAACATTTGCGGCAAGTTTTCTGCAGGAACTTTCTTCGCAGTAAGTCAAAACAAACTTCCACATCCGGCCGACAAACCGAAAATTCTGAATGAAAGTATCAAAGTACAACGAAGTATGCTTCCAGTGTCCATGCAGGAACCCATTACACACAAAAGTGGACATCAATTTCCAACCACCCATACCCACAATCATACCTATGCACGTCCATCCATTGCCACTATAGCCAGTATTACAGGAGCACGTGTAGCTTCCAACTGTGTTGGTACATCCAGCATGGGTATGGCAGCTATGTGAACCTGTGGTACATTCGTTGGTATCTATACAAATCGAAGTATAAGAACGAAAGGCACTTTAATAGGACTTTCCTATATCCTCAACGCCATTCTGGCAAATATGTCACTGCAGGCAAATTAGACTCACCCAAATGCTAAGTCCGATGTCTGAGTCGGATGATCACCATTCCATCATTGGTTCAAACGGGCAACATATCAGTATAGTAAAAGACTTCAAATATCTGGGCTCTTTAAGTCTTTTTAAATAACCACTATGTAATACATAGTGGTTATTTAAAAAGACTTTTTAACACACAATGCATGCAACAAGCCTCGAATAATCTGGCAGTTCAACATATCCAAGGGCGGATCCAGAACCAAATTTCTGGGGGGGGGGGTTGAGTACTCGAGTATGCTTTGTTCAAATAGGGGAAGTAAATTAAGTATATAGTTTAATCCGTGGATCCGTGGATTAAGTATATAATATTATGTTATATTAAACTAAAAGGTATGTGTAGCTGATGGCTTGCGAGGGAGATGCGCAACGTTTTAAATTGTTTCCTTGATGTTTTTTTATATAAGAAAATAAAGTTGATTTCTACCATGCAAGCGTCGAAATTATCCTCATATACATTCTGTGCCAAAACATTAACTTTGAATACAAATCTTGAAAACCTCTAGATGGCACCTTCACTAGGCTACTAACGAGAGTCAAAAGTCTTAATTGGAGAGACCATCCTACCAAGGAGCACATTTCTGGCGACATTTCGTCACCGACACCACGAACTGACACCCGGTCACGGTGGTCAGCGTTGCAGAAATACAAATCGGAGAAAAACGCTTTTAAAGGTTTGACACGAATTTACTCAGTAAAATATTCCATTTATCTTAGAGGTTTTAGTATCACTCAACGTAAAAATGCTTTCACTACTCAATTATAAACGTTAGAGTGTAAAAATCTGCTTAGTTAATTAGCAATTAAATGATTAAGATGGGTGTCAGTTCGTGAAAACCAAAATGTACGTGTTTTCGGAGAGTGCGCGCATGCGATAGCGTTAGTGAGTGTCAGTTCGTGAAAACCAAAATTGACCCGTTTTGGGAGAGTGCGCGCACACACCGCGCATGCGTGCGCGCACTCTTTCAAAACGCGTCAATTTTGGTTTTCACGAACTGACACTCACTAACGCTATTGCATGCGCGCACTCTCCGAAAACACGTACATTTTGGTTTTCACGAACTGACACCCTGTGCAGAGTCACTTCGTGGTAACCAAAAATACCAGAATTGACAAATTTCTTGAAAATTCATTAGTAAAATTCGCTTATTTTAGATGATTTCAGCAATTTTAACCTCGTCATGTTAAACTTCATGATACAAACTGCTAATATGTCCAAAAAAAGAAAATTTGAATTTTTAATTTTTTTTGTACACATGTGATGCAGAAGGTGTCAGTTCGTGGTGTCGGTGACGATTTTACCAATCTTCTTAACCCTAACTGCAACTAGAGATTCGCGTTTGTTGAGTTATGAATGCTGGGTGATCAGACAGGCTATTGTTTCATGTGGCATTGCCAACTGAAATTGTGAATATTTGTGTACAGAATAGAAAAAAGAATCACGAAATTCACCATTTTCTAGTGGAACCATTTGTTTAATCGCTAGAGGGCGCCCTTTTGGGTGATGCTGTCATCATGCCTATTTATTTTGATATCCTTTGCTGATTATTTACATAATTTATATACCAGTAGTTCAATGCTGCAGTTTTCAAGTAACACCAGAAGTAAATGTCAAACGGCTTTGTGTCCGATCACGTTATACCTGATCACGTGATGGTGACATTACAACATTTTTCCAACTTCGAACCCGGGTTCAAGTTCATACCTGGTTTTTATTACCACCCTATCAACCGTTTAGAAATTTTTTTTAGGTTTGTTTTGATTAGAGGCGTCTTTCGGGATATGAATCCGGTACCTCCGGAAGGACAGGTACCTCACTTACACGACAACGTGCTCACTAAATACGTATAGTCTATCAGATTGCAATTCATTTGAAATAGATAAAACAAAAATAATTATAATGACTTCACAAAATAAAGTATTTCAACGAATCAAAACTGTTTTTCAATGCTTATTGCGCATTGAAGTTGATCATACCTATGCAAGTCCTTCCATCGCCACTGTAGCCAGTATTGCAGGCACACGTGTAGCTTCCAACTGTGTTGGTACATCCAGCAAGGAAATGGCAGCTATGTGAACCTGTGGCACATTCGTTGATATCTATACAAATGGAAGTACGAACAAAAAGTTACACAACACAAGAGCTGCTTTAGTTTAGGCATATCCTATACGATTAGATATACATCAAGTTCATCGCTGTAGGTTAAAACAAACATAATTTTAAAATGGCTGCAACACAATTGCATTAATGCATTATGAAATCAGTACAATAATATTGTGTTGGATGAGTTTCCTACTAGTCAACATCAATCACACTATAACGCAATCTTAAACATAACTGTGCAACTGCAATCACTCTTAAACATAACTGTGCAACTGCAATCGCTGTAGCCAGTAGTATAGGCGCATACGTACATGTGTAGCTTCATCATGGGCTGACAAAAGCTGAACCAGACTATCCAGAATGTACATATCGGACCTAATCTAACTAAAAAACAGTCTTGAATTCACTAGCACCTAATACAACCGCCACACGGACTTACCATTGCAGGTCCTTCCATCGCCACTGAAGCCAGTATTACATGCGCACGTGTAGCTTCCAAGTAAATTGATACACTGGGCTTGTGCGTGACAGTTGTCAGTACCTGCGGCACATTCATCGATATCTTGAAGGGAAAAAAAATAAGTTCAAGCTTCCTTTATAATATTACATAGAAATTATATATGAAATCTTTGAGGTAGTACGTTTTTGCATCGAACACAGTGACACCAGACTTTGAAATGTAAGATGATTTGAAGACGAATGTCAAATTTGGTGGGACTCAACAGATTCAACCACTGCAGTTTATTCTAATTAAACCAGAGATGCCACCAATATATCAATAAAAAGCCTTAACACTTCTAAAAAAACCTGAAACTACCCTTACCCCCTTTCAAAAATGTGTTTTCTTGATGTTTCAGACCAAATCCAGCACTTTCAATTTGTCACATTTTTTGAAAAAAAAACACCCTGAATTCAGGTTTAACCTAAAAAGTGGCATCAATGTGCTTTCAAAATCAAAAATATGTGGATGCAAGACGTACGGGAGATGAGATTTAAGACAAACGTCTCCCCTTCAATTTTCTACGCTTGACTCTTTTTAGCCCAAAAAGGGCCAAGTATGGGAAATTGCCAATGCCCGGCTATTCTAGGAAAAAAAAACTCAGGCTCAGATATGCTGCTAGAAAATCGGAAATGTGGATTGTCCACTTTTGGAGCTCCATTATATTTATAATACCTGTGCAAGTCCTTCCATCGCCATTAAAGCCAGCATTACAGGCGCACGTGTAACTTCCATCTGTGTTGGTACATCCAGCAAAGGCATTGCAGCTATGTGAAAACGATGTACATTCGTTGATATCTATACAAATCGAGGTAAGAACAAAACTGTGACAGAGAGCATAGGAGGCGCTTGAAGTTTAATATAGTATCATCCTGACCAATATCCAGTTCCTCTCAGTATGTTTAAACAAGCCCAATGCTAGCCTCGGTCAAGACGTTCGGGACCTGGGACCGAGTTGACTTGGGATCGAGTTGACTTGGGACCGAGTTGACTCGGACCGAGTTGGTTACGGACCGAGTTGACCGGCACTCGTCGATATATTCCGAAAATTTGGGACTCTCAATACTCTGTATGAGAGTCCCAAAACTTAAGGTATTGAAAGCATGCAACACGTAACAAGAAAATAGCCAGTCCAACACACCCCTTCAGTACTGCATCAATCAACTGTGCCAAAAGAAACATCTAGCATGTTTGGTACTGTGCTAGTCTCTATTTCTACACATTTCTCCATAGTCAGCCACCAGACAATGAATAAAGAGGTCAGTCTTTCCGAACAGTTGGACCATGGTTGGACATGTACAAGTCTAGTCTTTAGCCTCATTTGGAAATCAATTGACTTCTCATGTGCAAAATATTAAAGAAAAGTTGGCTTTAGAATTGAATTGAGTCTTCAAACTTGATAATGGTGACATATTGAGGACCTTGTCTTTGCCTCATGAACATTTTGGCGAATTTTGTCTGCCAAAGAGTGAGTGACGCAGGCCTGATTTTGTTTTGCATGTTTTTCAGCACTCGAGGTCCCAGTCTGCCGTCGATCGGTTCCGTGATATGTTATCTGGCAGTAATACAAACGTTACACACGCGCATGCAATCAGCGGATTGCGGTGTTTTTATTTGCAGCACATATCGTCAATGGATCATGATTATTCAGCTAGTTCAATGTTCATTCATAAGAAAATAACAATGACGTCACACAATTGCTATAACTCAGTCATGCATGTACCTTAAAGCATTTCAAAGAACGGCTTTCGTCGAGCTGCCACAGTGGCCTAGTGGGTAGAGGAATGAACTATGAATCGCAAGATCTGTGGTTCGAACCCCATTTTCATCATATAATTGTTGTTGGTTGGGATAAGTTTAATTGGAGGGAAAACACTACGGGAATCTTAAGTGTCATCCATCCACACAGCGTGATAAATATTCATGTTAGGGTGCGTACTGTGATTGGTCAACATACGATGTATGCTGCAGAAGAAAACAAATACGCAAGCGGATTGTACGAAGTAGGAATAGCGACCTCAAGCGGCTTCAACATGCAAATCGGCCGCGGAAGAACGAGTGCCCTGGGCCTTATTCCCGAGTCGGCCATATTGGATAGAGAGCGAGGTAAAATCTTGATTTTTGGAACTTCTGTAGAGAAATGAGAGCAAGTTAATTACTAATTAATTCCAGTCTGCTTCAATGAATAATTTCAAATTTGTAATTAAACGTTCCCTAATGTTTAAAGCCAGATTTTAAAAAAATGACAGTATTCATTATGCCTGCATAAATAGTCTGGCGCCATCCCATTCAACAGTGAAATACATTCAGGGAACTCGACAAAAATGGCCAAACTCGTGAATAAGGCCCCTGGTACAACGCACCATACTCGGTGCTAATTCTTCGGTGCTAATTACGCATTGGGCTTCGTCAGGTGCTGTAGGAAAGTGAAATGTGTGCACCACCAAAGGCCACTCGATCTCAAATATATGCGTCCTCTCGCGCACGGAGTCCATTACGTGAGCAAATGAACCATCGAATGAAAAAAAAATCAGTCTACAAATGTTATTCCGTGTGCAGTCTTACAACAACCGAACCACCAACACGAAATCACACTCGGAATAGGTCATTTGGGTTACCATTGCATGATGTCCTTCCATCGCCACTATAGCCAGCATTGCAGGTACACGTGTAGCTTCCAAATGTATTACTGCATCGGGCTCGGGCGTGACAGTTGTCTGTCCGGGCTGAACATTCGTCGACGTCTTCTAAATAAGGAAAATACAGGTAAATTGAAATGGTTAAAGATTTGTCATTTTTAATAGCGTTTAAGAGTTGTATGCTAACGGAATGTGTTTAAAATTGGTGATATCTAGTTTCGGCGCCTTGCCAACTGAGGTTTGGTAAAGTGGAATTTGTCCTAAATCAGAACATCTTCCGCTGTCCATGAATATATGTTTTCGTAATTAACATTATTTTATAATTTTAATTATTTTTATAATTTTAAAGACGATGCATTTGGAGGTGTTGGGACACCTGAAAGTTCCCTGAAAGTTCCCTGTGGCAAAGGGGGGTTAACATTATCATTAAAGGGGGGGGGACTTCTGCCCGGACAATGAGATCCCTGTCCGGGCAGAAGTCCCCCCTCTAATGATAATGTTAACCCCCCTTTGCCACAGGGAACTTTCAGGTGTCCCAACACCTCCAAATGCATCGTCTGTAGACAACACATCAGAGAATCGGACTCCTTCACCAGCCATACCGGTGGTACCACCCATAGGACAAGGGGTCATGTCACCTGCACCACCACTAATCTAATCTATTTAATATCTTGCAAAGTTTGTGGTGTTCAATATATAGGTGAAACGAGAACTACACTCAAAGAGACGTTTCTACGGCCACAGATCCCCAGTCAACACCCATAAGCTGGATACACCCGTAGGACATCATTTCAATCTTCCTAATCACTCAATTTCTGACATGATTTTACAGGGCATTGAGGCACTAGGAAACCACAGAGAGATTGTTCGTCTGAGTAGAGAGAAATTATGGATAAGACGTCTCCAGACCATTCAACCCCATGGTCTGAACATCCAAGAAGGAAATGACTAATAACTTTTTGTCTTTGCCTTCTCCTTTTCACCACAGATAAGCCCCCCCCCCCCTCCAGTCTGCCTGATGCAAAATGCAAAAAAAAAAAAGCCGCGTCCCCGCGCCAATTCCGGAACTTTGGTCTGACCAGAGACCGAATATATATTGTTTTGGCCTTACCTGACCTAAGATTCATCAGGAATAGTCAGAATCTTTTGGTCTGGAAACCAGACTAAAAGTTGCCGAGTAAGATATTGAATTGCGCCCTCTTGAGACACCAGGCATACCGAACTCAACATTGGGACACGATTCTCATTCAGCTGGTTGTCACACACGGATTCGCCCAATCGTAAACCTACTACAAATTAGAACGCATGGGGCGGATTCACCGCAATGTCCAAATATGTGTCACTTGACACATCTTTTGAAATGAAGGCTCTTTTTGTTGTTTTCTTTAAAGCTGTAATCCATCATTTGCAGCCATCTGAAAAGTAACTGCATGTCGTAATTATTGTTGAAAAACATACTTGGTTGAAAGATAGTAAGGGGACTAAACTCCCTGTGAAATTATTCTTTCTGGCCAGCTGTCATTTTGAAGTATTCAACGAAAGAAGGCCTTTCCAACGGTGCGTCTTAAGACGCAACTTAGGAAAATTTTTAGTAGTTCGTTTTGTTATTCGGCGAAGCGCGCGCAATCATTGGCACGACGCACACGCGCGCGCAGTTGCTATAATTCGTCGGATCAGTGCGCGACATCGCGTATAGCTGCAATCGGCTGAATTCAGGCCCAATTCAATACATGATTCAGCAACTTTTGATTTTAAATTGAGATCCTAGAATGCTGTTTTTCTCGGAATATGCAGCTGAAGCTGAGCTGAAACTTCATCAGGTTTATAGTTGTTCAGTATCCTTCATTCGATTTTGAACACTTTTGTTGCTTCAAATGAACAAAATGCACAAATTACAAATGATGGACTACATCTTTAAAATAACATCATGCCAGAAGGAATAATTTCGCAGGGAGTTTAGTGTCATTACTAAAGTTAACCAAGTAAACTTTGTTTGAATAATTTGGTCGGTTTTTGGATATAACTGCAAATGGTCTTCTCTATAAGCCCCAAAGCACACATAAGGCCTGGCATATAAAAGTATGGATTTTTGCACTACCTTAAGATATAAACAAATCATTTTATTTCACAAGTTGGAAGTGAGAGAAACAATCGTCCTCCATTCTTTCAAAAGGGTGTAAAAAAATCTTACCACAATCACCGCCCGTCCAAACTAGGCCATCCAGGCAAAGGTCATCGCAGCCGGCACGTAAAAAGTAGCAAGGAATCTGTGCTGTGTACCACCCGGGAAAGTGGGGAGAACACGAAACTCCACATTAAATTCAATATATCAGTTAAAGTATTTCCTCAAGCAAAATAACATAGAAAATAGGCTACACGTGGAATTTAGCTGAGTACAAGATGTGAAATGATCGGGCTTTGTACTAGTCTCACCTTCGCAGGTCAGAGGGTGTGATACCAAAATCAGGAGAACCATCACTTTCGGTAGGATCATGGTTGTCGATCGTCTGGGATCCGTCAGAGTGTCTGTACATCGATAACCACAGACAATGTAAACAGAAAATGTGACCGAAAACTTAACCCCGCCATTGAATTTGCTTCTGGTAAAAAGGAAAGCCGTGTACGCATATAATGGTTGGCCATTATATTTTGCTACATTTGTTTCAATCCTTTAAAAAGGAGTACTGTATTAAACAAGTGTAGCTATATGGCAATGGCAAGAGTTAAAAGTGATTAGGCAACGGATGCGATGCGAATCCATCAGAAGTCCATCACAAGTCACCATCAGTAACAGGCTATTAAAAAAAAGGTAAAGGGACGAACCTGTGTTCACAGGAACGGAGTGCCCATCTCTCTTTCGTTTAGCGATTGGGCCAGACTCATATGCTGCTGTGGGGGGATCGCCACAACTCCTCCACAGCGAGTCTGTTACCTTCCCAGCATTGAATAATGCCGGTACCCATTTAACACCTGGGTTGAGACTTGAGTAATTGAGGTGAAGCGCCTTACTCAAGGGCACAACACGGCGGGGCTCGAACCCACAATCTCACGATCATAAATCATGTGCTCCACCGCTAGACCACACGCTAGACCACACGTGCCCACAAAAAAGCTATTAAACTGTGACCAAAAAAACACATTAATTCATTACTGTTTGTCCCCTGATTCTTGAGACTGGACTTGTGATAATATTGTGACAGCGATATCATTTTACTTTTGGCGGACTCGTTGTACAGTGTTATCAAGACTTGACTTTAACACTGTACAATTTGTCTTTGTAAACATTCTGACCCCTATATTGTAAACACTTTCGCGACTGCATGGACTCGGACTTGGCTCGGACTTGGCTTGAGCGCGAATTATCCTTCAGACTACGACGGATGAGGCGGACTGCAGATCCATAATTGTCTTCTTTCAAAACGTCTCTTTCATTTTATTTTATTTTTTATTTACGTCATCTTTAGTGAGGGTAGTTCCGATCAGTGCAGGGCACTGCTTTCCATGGAGGACCTCAATATGAGAAATATGAGACCCATTATGTTGCACCTTTAAGGGTTACAAGGTGCTGCGGCGCAATATTGAAGCCACTGCCAGAAACACCGGGGCAAACCCCTTCCCTTAGCGATAATTGTTACTGGGGTCTTTAACGAGCATTACACAACACACGGGACCTACGGCTTTACGTCCCATCCGAAGGACGAAGCAATAATGGTTAAGTGCCTTGCTCAAGGGCACAAGTGTCCGGGCCCGGGCTCGAACCCACGCCACTGTTGCCTCTGAAACACCAGAGCATGAGTCCGGTGTTCTTAACTGCTAGGCCATGGCACTCCACAAACCCGTGTGGCCTGGTACGTGACCCATGTCGCTGCACTTTATCGAAATTGTGTGAAACGTCGCGGCTTCGGCGCGGGTTCGTTTAGTAGCTGCATTGAGACCCCGGCCGCAGTACATGGTTGAATGGATATTAAAACAAAACAAAAAAAACCTCGTCCCAACTGACAAACATCGTAAAAATTGTAAGAAAAAATAATAACTGTCTGGTTTCTCAATACAGTATCTTAGAGCATCACAGGGGTTCTTTCGCGATCGTGGTTTCATGATTTCGATGTTGTACTTTTTATTTTGGTTATTTACTTTGTTGGGGGTGTTGGGTTGTTTCCAGATCTTATTTCCCAATACGGGAAAACCCCGCACGCCAACTTACTGAAAGAACTTTACCACGCAGGTAAACACCGATTACGTAATATTTATAGTGTAATGGTGTTATATAGTCGAGTCCTTTCAGAAGCCTTTCCTAAGTCTAGCTACAAGAAACGGGATGAACAATGAAAAGAGAACGCTTTTGTAATAGTCATTTGAATAGCTAGAAACTTTACTTGAGGAAGTGTTATGGACTTGTGAAGGACTTGCATGGAGTAGATCCTTGAAGGTCACAAGGCTTAGCTTCCGGAACCCTCGGCGCGGCCCGCCTACTGTGCATTTTTCATGGGGTTGCCCTTTCACCTGCTATAAGTTTTGGTACAGAATAATTTCTAACCGTAACCACCCCAAGAAACTCTCACGCGCGAATTGTATCTCGGTTTAGTTCATGCGAAGGAAATATTTCTTGGAGCTGGGTAACAACGAATCTCATTTACGGTCGTAAATGAGATTCGAAATGAGATGTGAAAGGTCTCACATCCGGCAAAAGTAGTCGTTCCTAGGTCTCCTTGGTCTTGCACGTTTGTTTTCATATCGTCTACTTGCGTGAGAACGAGAATTATAACGTTGCGACTATTTTCCTACCTACAGCCATTGGGTTCTTGATCTAGTGTGGCTGGTTTGAGCGATCATGGGTGCTGTCCTATTAACGGTCAATTTTAGAATGTTTTTGTTTTTATTCGTTAATAGGAGTGAGTCCTTTAAATTCCTTCACCAAATTATTTGAAAACCCCCCAAAATGGTCTTCTACATTTATTTCACTTTCAGTTTTTACCTAATGACCACCACACATTTCAGAAATTCTGATATTTGTTTGTGAGGAAAACCATGAACACTTTAAAATGTTTAAAGAAGTTCACGAAAAGATGTCAAATATATTTCATACATTTAAGAATAGCAGAACGTTGCACAGAATTTGCACCTAGGCAAGTTGCCAAAACAGCCAATGATGAAAAGTCCGGCTCATTAGACAGCATGCATTTTGAGAAAACAGAGAAAATCCGTTATATTGGGGTCTCGTACCGGATTCCGTTGTTGGTGCGCACGTAAAAAAAAAAAAACCCAAAACATGCGACCTTGCAGCAACCTCTTGCGAAACCACATCGAATGTTAGCTATTCTTACAAACGATACAGCGTCATGAAATCATTTCATACCAGTCCTATCTTCACCCTGAGCAAGATTTCTGGCCAAAAAAAAATCAGAAGGAACTTTTTCTGGATAATCGCAATGATCCTGCGTGGCTTTAAAAGAAAAAGAAAGAAGGAATTAACACACTAAACGAAAAGCACTCTAAACTCACATATACTTCCAGTAACCACTGCCGCTGGTCCGAAGCTGAAGTAAGCTTGCTTTTGATGTATGACACGATTAACCAAAACTCAGAGAGGAAAAACACTCCACTTCCAATCGTCGTGTGAAAGCAACTAAAACTCCAACACGATAAGGAAAATTGTCGAATAACAAAAATCATCCTACCGTATCGAATATAAAAGTAGTTGACATCATGAGTAATTTGATTGGTTGGCACGGGCAAGGGGTGACCTGGGATTTGCATAAGAAGCTACGGTTAACTGGGGTGTAGCAAGGTCATTTTGATGGGGGGTGGGTGTTAGACGTGAAAAGGGGCACTCGCAATATCAGTGCTAACAGGTAGACACGGTTCTTTGTTATGGACACCATGCCTCCGTAAAATCAAACAGTTGGGGAGGGGGAGAAGGCCGGACACCATCTTTCTATAGGGGCATTCTTCAAAGCGGACCGTCATAGGTGGCGCCTTTCATGGCGGCACAATTGCCAACGTTAGGGCAACGTTAAAAAAGGGCCCCTTGTAAAAAAGGTGTTCTTGAAAGAAAATGCGTTCGTAAAAAGGGCACAGGTGAAGAAAGGGCCCTTGTGGAAACTAAAGAGGGCAATTCATGTAGTAACAAAATATCGGGGGTGTAAATACTCCATTTACCCCCCCCCCCCCCCCCGCTGGTTACGCCATTACGTTGCAATTGCAATTGTGACGGAAAGTGAAATGTCATGATATAATAGCTGGACACGTAGAAAACGGGAATCTTTAGCCCCATGACATTAGGATTATTGATCCGCGAAGCGAGCGAGGCAAAGCCTCGTCATGTATGTAGTAGGCTACACACATTTCTACAGGGTGGTAAAAAAAACCCACGAAACCCAAATGTCGGGACTACTGTTTTATTGAAGTTCTGCATGTAGCAAATGTGTGCGTTCTTTCAGCAAAACGAAAACAATTCACACACATCCCTATGTGATTTCTTTTCGTTTTGTTGAAAGAACACTGTTTTTTTGTGATCCGTGGACAGAACCTTAAAACGGTGGTTGTGTTTAAAATTCTGTAACTTGAAAAGTACATAAGTGATTGGAATGATTTTTGTACTAAAAGCAAGCTTAAGAATTTGACTTTCATATCCTACATTTTGATAATGCTACATGCAGAACTTCTTTAAAACAATGGTCCCAACATTTAGGTTCCGGTTTTTTTTTACTCATCCTCTCTGTTCATCTACACAGTGACTTTTTTTGGGAATGCGGTACTTTGCGGGGGGGGGGGCACAACTAATAGCGGAGTAAACCATAGCAATGAAGTTTGGGTGCCGACAGTAGTTAACCATATAGACCTCGAACGAGTCCCACTAACTTCACTCGAACGAAGGATGGTTGGACTAGTCTACTCCGGTCGACTTTTTCGAAAACGGAGCATGGAGCACAGTTGCATCGCCGGTTATTCGCAATGTAAAGCACAACGGGGAGTCAGGACTTTTGACCATCGTTTGACTATAGAGGCGTTCCCAAATTTATAATAGAGCGCAGGCGTAAGTTAAGTCACAAATCAACCACTAGTCGACTTATGGTCCTCGCTCGAACTTGCTCAAATATTATGAACACCTAGTTTATTGATTGAGTAATTGTTTTTATTAATAAAACTTTTTTTTGTGGGCATGGCACAAAACCCAGTCCTTGTTTATGCCTTCAAGATTTAACATCCGTGTCATTTGTTAGTTTCATTTGAATTTCGGGAAAAAAAGGTTCACCGAGTATAGGCCTAGTCGCACTAACTTCACTCGACCGAAATATGGTTCGACTATACTGTAGTCGACTTCAATATGCTATTTTTGCATCAACCCCCAAGTCAAAACGACCTTGCTACGGCCTTAGGTGCTATTGTTCCAGATCTTCTTTCCCAATGCGGGAAAACCCCGAACCCAACTTACTGAAAGAACTTTGCCGGGTAAACATCAATTACGTTGAATAGTCGAGTCATCACAAAACCTCTTCAGAAGCCCTTTCAGAAAGCCTTTCCTAAGTCCAGTCACAATAAACGGGATGAGCACTGAACAGGGAATGCTTTTGTAATAGTCATTTGAATAGCTGGAGACTTTACTTGAGCCTGAAGGATGTTTAATGGAGTTGTGAAGGACTTGCAGGGGATTGTGATGGATTCGACTACAACAATGATATATGATGCAAACATTCGGAACCACAATTCAGCCGGAAAATTGTGTAAAAAAGGGGCGATGCCTCCATGTTGTGTGCACAGAAATATGAGGCCGCTGGAAATCCCTTCCTTGTACAATTCGAAAATGTTCTGACTGTCTCTATGTCCTAAAGCATTGTTCGTTTTTCCCCCACATTGGGGAGTTTGCGTCGGTTTTGTGCCCTTAACTGTAAAAGGTATAGGTGCATGCCTGCTCTCCCTTTCAAAACCGCGTTCCTTTCCTTCTATGGAGTCTATGGATGCATTCCATATATTAATCATTGATGAGCAGCATGTGCATGGGCGTCGCGGGGGGCGGGGCCAAGGGGGGCACTTGCCCCCACCCCCCGAAAACGAAAAAAAAAGGAAAAAGGAAAAAAAAAAGGAAAAGAGGTGCGAAGCCATATTGCTGTTAATTTGATGGGGGGGGGGGGTGTGGGTAGGGTAAATGCTCCCCTGCTCACGCTCGGAAAAATGATAAATTGAGAATGTAATGAAAAAGTTAAGGAATTTTGGGGAAGAATTTGCTTTGCTCCCCCCCCCCCCTGGAAAAAATCCTGGCGACGCCCATGAGCATGTGATTTCATTTCAGGCAGAAACCTCGATAGTTATGTTACATCTGAGAGAATAAGTATCAAGCATAACTCTTTTGCCAAACAAGAATTAGTAAAAAGTGTTTTGCGTTCGTGGCCTGCCGTTAATATCTACTTACATGTAGCTCTCTTTTTGACTGCATCCATGCAGTTCACCATTATATAGGTAGGCCTCTCGTAGGGTGATTGGTTTTTGTGCATTTGTTTTCATTTGAAGCTTCAAAATGGCCCGAAATCTTAAATTGGCTGCATTAACTACAAACCCGGTGAACATCCAGCTCAGTAGATGACATACATTATGAGGAAACAGGAAAATCTGTTATGGGTCTCGTAAACCGGATTCCGTTGTTAACACACGTGAAACAAAAAGGTAATGCGCCCGCGCGGCACACGCTTTTGAACCACATCAAAATGATAGTTATCCTTGCAAACGGCGAAGTAATTGCATACAGTCCTATCTTCATCTTGAGCAAGGTTCCTGGCATTCAATCAGCAGGAAATTTTCTGGATAATCGCAATGATCCTGCGTGGCTTTAAAAAAGGTAATTATCTGATGAAATGAAAATCACACCAAACTCACATTTATGGTACTTTAGCGTGTAACTACTGCCGCTGATCCGAAGCTGAAGTTAACTTGCGTTTGATGTATGACACGATTAACCAAACAACTTTGAGAGCGGGAAAAACATTCCATTTCAGATCGTTGTGTGAAAGCAACTGAAACCACAACAACATAGGGAAATCACAATAGGGAAAGTTGTCAATAACCAAAATCATCCTACCGTATACAGGGTGAGTCAAAAAAGTGGAACCCCAAAACAAAGAAATATGATATAAAAAAAACTATGTAGCACCAAAATTAATTCTGACTTGGTAGCCCATATATTAAACTACTGTTAAGTGAAAAAATTATTTCAATTGCTCTACACGTTAAGATGTTATCACTATATCAACGAAGTAGAAACCATAAAATCAGTTTCGTCAAAAAAACAAGCAATTTGTTGTGTAATCTGACTGTTTCGAACAACAAAGAAAATGACACAGAATACTTTTTTATCAACTGAAGTACACAATATCTTGATTAACAACCCTGCTCTGGTTTACAGGATTTATAAAATCCACGTTTTTTTGTAAAAACTGGCCTTCAAAAGGACTTTTGTTGAATATTTTTTACTTTTAAACTGAGGTTTCATCGTTGGTGTGCTTGAAGGCAATTGTAATGACAATTCTTGAAATCGCATTTTTTGGACGAAACAGATTTTAGGGTAATTTCATTTAAATGGTGATATAATTTAAATGGATTGAATAATTGGAGTATTTTTTTTTTTAATCTAAAATTAATTTATTTGGTTAACCAGTTATAATTATATTTGGTGCTACATATTTTTTTTAATTTGAAATATATTTCTTTTGGTTTGGGATCCGCTTTTTTGACTTTTTTGAAGTGGTATTTTGCTGACTGGGGGGTGCAAACAATCTAATCGCCGAGTAAACAAATTACAATAATTTTGGGGCGCGGACAGTAGTTAACTATATAGGCCTGGACCTAGTCCCACTAAATAATTTCACCGGAAGGAAGGAGATGGTAGGACTACTCCAGTTGACTGTAATAGACCATTCTTGCATCAAGCCCCAAATCCAAATGACCTTGCTACGGCCTAAGGTACTATTGTGCAAGATCTTCTTTCCCAACGAGGGGAAACCCTGGACCCAACTTAGTGAAAGAACTTTTTCCCGGTAAACATCGATTACGTAATACAATAGTCCAGCCTATCACAAGTCCTTTCATGAGTCCTTTTAGACGTTCTTTAAGAAGTCCTTTCAGAGAGTGGCGTAAATCCGTGCCGTCGAGTGGGGGATTGGGGAATGACTGTTTCGCAAACTCCTCAAATGGCCATAATGCAATGCAAACTTGCGTGGTCACGTCCCTTATTTTTACATACAAAGATTGCTTTGAAGTTGTTTTTTCTCTCCACAAACAATTCGGGGATGATCCAATGGCCCATCCCTTGTCAAAAAAGCGGGGATATACATCCTCCACATCCGCTTAGTCCGGGGGTTGACCACGGAAGCTTGCATTAGGATTTTTTATTTTTTTTTTGCATTTTATTGTCATTTGAACCTTGTAGATCAATATTCCTGCGAGAGCCACCTTCACACCCTTTTATATATATTTTAATTCAATTGGGGCGATTTACAATGCAGTGCGCCACCAAGGGTTTGCAACGGAGTGTTCATTTTTCCCAGTGCATGGTGGGAGATGGTCGACAAATTTGCAGTGCGGGACATTTGAAGTTTTTTTCGGGTCAGTAGTTTAGTAAGCGTATGGTTCGAGGATCTGTTTGCCCTTTTCTTTTTCTTTTTATCAATATGGTGTTTTTTGTAAGCCGTCAGAACGCTATGCCCGAATTTATAACAAATTAGCTCAAGTTGTCTACTGACACTCATTCAAATGGGCCATGTTTTGTCGACCGTAAACTTGAAAAATGGACTCTCCATGGCAAACTCTTGGTGGCGCACTGCATTGTGAAACGCCCGAATTACTACCGGTATTAAAAACAGCTACCTCTATTTTGTAAACTACAAGTTTTCTGTACATAGCTCCGTAGGATCACGTCCAAACCTATCAATAACAGTGTCTAGGCCATGTTTGGGGGTCAACACATTCATTAAAGCCATTTTTACAATGATAATGTGTATTTTAATGCATATAAATTAGCACCCGCCATTATAAGAAATGTAATTATCTATATCTTTGCGGAACTGTGTCCAATTGTATCAGTCGGGTGTCTTAAGTCATGTGTTCACGGTCATCGAATCGATTCTACACTGATAATGTCAATATTTTATGCATACTATGCAAATAGCATCCGTCATTATCAGAAATATAACTTTGTTTATCCGCAGAAATTTGCTCAATTCTATCAAATGAGGTGTGTCGAACTAGACCAATAGTTTCGGGCACTGATTGAATTTAAGCTATTACCTACATACTAAAAATGTGATGTATTTTTTTAGCTGTAATCATTTTCATAAATATTTGATCTATTATTAGTAGACACACATTAGTCTATACCGCCGAACAGACATTTCTTCACTCACGAAGTCCACACTGCGTATGTAAGACAAGCTCACACACTCCCACCCACACCCACACACCTGGATTTAGAATAAAATCGCCTCCCGGTCCTCTTACTGGAAATGTGTCAGCCCTACACCGTGGTTAAAGGGAATATACAACAATTGCAAACATCGAAAAATAAAACTACCAAGTTTTTACGAAATACCTTACTAGGATGTTGGTAAATGACAGTCTCAAGCATCTTGTAAAATTATGGCACCTGGTGTGAAGTCATTTTCAAGAAAATAGTATTTTTGTAAACATTTCCAACGGTGGTCGGCCGACCAGCGTTGGAAATACCTCACTATTTTTCAACTACTGCTCCAAATTTACCATTTTTCAGTCCAAATTTTGTTTGCTATTGGTTACATGTTCATGAACGGGTGCAGGCCAGCTAGACTGGTTCCCTTGCCTTACAATTTTCCATCTTCTATAAATTGATCCATTTTATCTTTTGTGGAGTCAGGGAGCCAGACTACTTGAACGTTTTAGTTTTTCTTGGTTTTTCCAACCTTTTCGAACATCAAACTTCAAAAAGGTCAGTGTAACAATATTTGATCTATTATACTAACCTCTCAAATAGTTCATTTCTGAAAATTACAGCAGAAGCCAATGATGTACATTCCCTTTAACGGGTTTAACAAATAATGGGAACCCTCCACCCACACACCCACACCCAATTAAAACACCGGTAATCGTGGACATTCCTTTATTTGTACTTAATTGTTAACAACAGCCCTCATTATTTCAAGTTAGCAACAGCTCTCAAATTTTGGTCTCCCAAAAGTGGGTCCAACAAATTACGGCGTGGGGTTCGGGGCCCGCTTAAGGACCCGGAGGTTTTTTTTTTAAATTATTATTATTATTTTGATTCTAGATGCTCTGTGGTGCGATCTGAGGCAATTTCTGACCACTTTAACCAATTTGAACGCCCTTTTCGTAACCCTTTTGTCCTAGGTCCACGATTGCCGGTGTTTACATATTCGCAGACACACCTGCCTACGCCGTCCAGAAACAGATATTTTTTTCACAAGACAGCGCGCAAAATCATGTGCCCCCCCCCCCAAAAAAAGCACCCAAACAAACAAACAAACCTTCACTGAACAAGAACAAGATCTAAAGTAGAAACACAGTTCGGTTCCACCCACAAATTCTGGAACAGTACCTCACTAAACAAAACTCCATGAACAGAACTGAAACACTATAGTGAACACTAGACAAGAAACATACATGGGGTTATATAAGCAGTGTTTATTTTTGAAGTTCTCAGGTTTGTGTAAGTCTTAAACTACTCATAGCGTTCGGAAAAAAAATATTTTAATAGGTAGTTTAGCGCCCTCTATGGCAATCCAGAATAAATACCTTTTGCAAAATGGCCTCCGGTTTTAGGTTTAATATTTGAGCTGCGGCTGCGCAGAACGTACGTTTGTTACTAAACAGTACTGTAACTAACTAACGAACTAACTAATTAACGGAGAGACATGATGATTTGTTGGGCGGTTGACCGCAGATAAACAAAAAATGCATGTGTAATATTTTTCAACTCAATGAATTTTCCTCAAGTTCCTTTAATATTTAGGTCTGACACAGAGAATCCTACGAGTTTTCATCAATAAAATCCTCCTAACTGAACTAATGTTAACAAATTAATGGCAAGCATAGCGGTCACTGAGTTGCAAATTTTGCACGGTTTTGGTGTTATGATTAGGTTTATTATTTTCTATGTTTTTGATCAACAAAGTTTCGGGGATGTTTGCATTTTGATAGATTATCCAGCCACCAACCAATATTTGTCTATAATCTACTTGTTGATTAAAGATGCATCACGTCAAGTTGTATGAGTCATCTTCGACGAAGACGCTGCTCTCTCAACCGTATAGAGAAAATAAAATACAATGATTTTCTTTTTCATTATAGGAACCCCAGTTTAACGGTATTTTCAGAATGTTAAATTTTGTTACTGAAATGGAATTTGAGTTGCCGTCTGAATATCTATCTGCCATGAACAAGTAGTTATGGTAAAGGAGATCTAAGACGAAATACTTCCATCAAAGTTCGGTTTGACGCGGGGATTTTTTTCTTTTTTTCTTTCTGAAATGAATACGCAGATGAGAGGTCAGACACTTGGGAGAGGCAGAGCGGTGATACTTGCTTCCTTCTCATCTCCCCACCGTATAAAATGGCGCTTTGTATTACACAAATTTGCGCCATTTTGCACAACAGCCACTAGGAGATGTAGTGCAGGGATCCTCGTAAAAGGCGCAGTCTACGTCACCCCGTACTAGAGAAAAAATAAAAACTAATTATTCCTTAAACAAAATACAATTTGGCACATCGATCCCAATGACAAATACTCTCACCCCTTAGGCCTACATTTGTCTCTTATTTCAACCCAAATTATTTTTCCCCAGTTTGTATAATTATGGAAACTAACAGAATTGGACAGTCCTGACATTATTCCTGAGACATCCACTATACCATCCCCCGTGAAGAACCTCTTTTGGGCTAATTTTCTTTTGTTGTTCTGTTTCTTGTGTTTTGGGGTGTGTGTTGCTATGGAGAGTCCCCCTTGGCCCCCACCCCATTTTTCACAGCCCATAATTAGGAGATGGCTTGGCCAGATGATTAACCCCTCCCTTTATTCTCTATCAGCCACAGAAAAAATGAGGTTAACATCCAACTTTTAATAACATTGAATCGCAAGGGCAATGTGAACTTTTGAAACTTTTATACATGAGATAAAAATGACTTGTCGTTCAACAGAATCAGGTTGACCATTCAACCCAACTACGAACAATATAGTCACAGGTAGTATACACATACCTTGACGTTCTCCACTGACTGCATGTTTGCCAGAATCACCGTCACTCCGTCCTACGAAAAACACAAAACGGCACCAAAAATGATTGTTTGTTTATGAATTATGACCTATAAGCTTTTTGCCACTTGCCTCCTTTTTGAATTGTTATTATTTGTACTTTCTTATACTGTCCTATCGCTTTGAATAAATACAGAGGACCTCAAAATGCTGTTTTGGAATCTCCAATGCAAAACAGAATAAATTAAGTTTTGATGTGTAAGTATTCCTAATGTACTAGTGGAGTGTCATGGCCTAGCGGTTAAGAGCACCGGACTCATGCTCTGGTGTTTCAGAGGCAACAGTGGCGTGGGTTCGAGCCCGGGGTCCGGACACTTGTGCCCTTAAGAAAGGCACTTAACCATTATTGCTTTGTCCATGGATGGGACGTTAAGCCGGAGGTCCCGTGTGTTGTATAAGGCCTAACGCACCGCCAGCAACACTTATCGCTAGGAGAACGGGTTTGCCCCGGTGTTTCTGGCCTCCTAGTTATACTCCCTTGTGGAAGTCCTTAGGAGAAGAACCAACCAAGCTTCACTAGTCATCAAAGACCTATCGCGTGTGTTGGTATATTTACCTTGCAGACTAGCTGCTTCACTAGTCATCACAGTACTAGCAATCAAGCCGATTATCAGAAGAGTGACCAGTAACATCTTCATTGTGAGTAGTGGGAAATTCAATGCCGTTCAAAGGAAATGTCTGTGGATCTGTCGCCAAAAGAGAAAAAGAACTATAGGAATGGGTCAAATTCGAATACCGATCTTATCCTTCACCAACAACAAAACAATTGCTCACTATCTTTATAAGGTGCATAACAACTTAACCTGTGGCAGTTTCAGCTCAGTGAGAAACAGAAAACACATGTACACACATGTTCGCCCGAGTTGAAAATGGTCAACTTACGAATTCGCCAGCGCGAATACTTGCCGATTACGTCACAAATTCGCGTTCGCTTTCGCTTTCGCGCCGAGTATGAACCGGGCTTAACACAGTAAAACAAAGTGCGCTCAAGTCACGGAAGTATATATTTCAAAGGTTATTCTATCGTTTCTAAACATGGTTTGAGCACACACAAAAAGGTCCGAGTGAGACGCTACCTTGTCACCTATAAATTAAGCAGTCAAGAAAAAGGAACAACTATTATGTCATGTACACGTACATGAAAATAACGTTCGAATACTTACATTATCTTCAGTGTACTTCTCTGTTCTTTTTATCAAGCAACGCTGCAGTATGCTTTCTGGTTGATGTCAGAGACAATAATTCTCTCAGTGACAGCAGGAAGTTTATATATTTCCCAACCGCTCTTGTAATACAAACTCAACAGACCACCCAATTGCATCATCGTCTACCAAACCTGACTGTAGACGCTCATAATTATCTACAGATGTACAGACATGAGTGTCGCCCATCAAATCCAACCATGCATGTCACTAACAGATCCATGTCAATATTGTCGTTGTGAAATTTGAATTCGTTGGCCATTCTCTGGAAAAGTCATTGCGTTTTTAATCGCGTGTTCTATGTTTCTTTTCATTATTGAGACCATTATCCACTCCAAAACCTAGTCGAAGTGGTCAGAAAGGTGTCAAGATCACAATAAGTGCCTACTTCATAATTCAGCGTGGTTTGTGTAGTCACATATACTGAAATGAAGTTGAGTACAAGCCGATGATCGGATGAGCGGAGGGGGAGGGTGAAAATGCGAGGCGTATAAATAAAGTTTACGGACGTTGATGTAATTCATAGAAATTGCTTTCCTTTTGCTGCCTTTGGTCAAATAATATAATACTTGATTTGATTTTCTTCAACTAATCAGATATCTCTAGAAAATAAGCAGAATCTGCAGGTGAGGTGTTATAAAACGAACGCAAACTGCTTTGACAAGAGTTACATACTTGCAAACATCGAAAAATAAACTACCAAGCTGTTTCGAAATACCTTACGAAGATGTTGGTAAATGACATTCTAAAGCATCCTGTATAATAATGGCACCTGGTGTGAAGTCATTTTCAAGAAAAATAGTACTTTTGCATACATTTCCAACGTTGGTCGGCCGACCACCGTTGGAAAAACCTAACTATTTTACAACCACTGCTCCAAATTTACCATTTTTGTTCCAGTCCAAATGTTGTTTGCTATTGGTTCCATGTTCATAAACGGGTGCACGCCAGCTAGACTGGTTCCCTTACCTTACAATTTTCCGGCATTTTTTGATCCATTTCATCTGTCAGGGAACCAGACTACCTGAACATTTTTGTTTTTCTTGGTTTTTCCAGCATTTTCGAACGCAAAACTTCAAACATGTCAGTGTAACAATATTTGATCTATTATACTAACCCCCATGTGATCCAGGGAGTGTTCGATTTTTCCTCAGAACTCAAAGTATTCAGAACCATAATATTCTAGTCCGTTTTCCGAGTAGAGTTGCAATCGTACCTTACCAGATTTCCTCTTGTCTTATGCAGAAAAATTGTATTTTGTACAGTGTATAACTACGAACCATGTTTTCCTTATCTCACAGCAGAAATTTATTATCCATGCAAAGACAAACAAGTCATAAAAACATGTATTTTTAGATGAAAATAATTATATTGCATAAACTCCAAGGAGGCTCCGTCAAACTCCATATTGGCGTGTACCGATATTGACTCTATTTTTCAGTCTAGCCATAATGTGCAGTATTTTTTACAGGCCTACATTTTCCAGGGCAGCAGCAAAGTTAAAATGATTAAATAGCGACAGCACACCAATATAGCTCAGCGTGATTTTTTTTCGTGTGACGCACGCTGGGCCTGTACGCGCAGTGTCCGGTCGGTCATCCACGTGACCGTCCGTGCACGGTGACATCACTTGTGCCGGTGCCGGCAGCCTAGCCCGTGATTCAGCCCGTGATTCAGCCCGTGATTCAGCCCGCGGTTCAGCCCGCGATTCAGTCCGCGGCTCAGCCGGCAATTTGGTGGATGGTACCCCGAAACACACAGTTATCTTTTTGTCACTCGTGCGGAAAGGAGCCCTGCTGATTTTCTTCGACCACGTGCGAGTTTTTTTTTCTATTTTGTTCCTCACTTAGGCTAGATAGTAAAACTTGTGACGATTTTAAAAGATTCACTCTAGAAAAAAAGTCACAAATCCTGGAGACATTGAGAGAAAATGACTCGAATGTTTGAACCCTTCTACATTTTCATTGGCTCTTTTTTCATGAATTGGTTGACTGAATGATATTGGGGGAACAATTCTTCAATGCAAATTAATATTCATGGCCTTATATAAAGCAGGGAGAACAATTCGTTGAAAGTATTTTCGGCAAGGAGCTCTCATAATTCACCCTTGCACTAGAAATAGGCCTCCTGCCTCCGTGTTGTTGATGAATTGCTCTAGAAAACTAGTCTGAGTATCACCCGTCTTCCACGGAGCCAAGTCTCCTGTCTAACGTCTGACATGTCTACACATGCAGATATATGCAAGCTGTGCGCCAGCCAATCGGAGTCGACTTTACTAAAATCGTGACGTCATTTCATTCCCAAATCAGGACTAAAACTGTGATTGGTCAATTCGAATGCAATGTTTTTTTAATACATCAGCCGCCGCGCGCGTGTCGCGTAACATAATACAGAGCGCGTGACTACGGCCTTTGTTGCTGTGTCTAGCGTTTTTTTTCTATCCATGTCTTGACGCAACAACGGGTAAATGACCCATGACCCGACATAGAAAGCGCCCGCTGATTGGTCAAAATCTAGAGGTCGAGATGCGGCTGTCCAAGTTGCATAATTAATCAGCGAATCTGTTCAAAAATTATAGACCATGGCTTTCGCCACGGTATATTACATAGACAACTAGAAAACAAACTAGTCAACCAAATTAAAAGAAGAACAGAAAAAGTGTGTAGTCGCTATTTACTCTATTTAACTTTGCTTCCGCCCTGGAAAAGGTAGCCCTGTAAACTGCACATAATGTCTAGACTCAACAATAGAGTCAATATCGGTAGACGTCAATATGGAGTTTGACGGAGCCTCTAACGTCCTTGGAGTTTATGCGATATAATTTTTCTCATCTAAAAATAAATGTTTTATGGCTTTTTTTGTCTCTCAATAGACACAATAAAATTCTGCTCTGAGCTAACGAAAGAATGGTTTGTGACTATTGTACACTGTAGGAATCATATATTTTCTGCATTAAGATAGAGGAAAATTTGTAAGGTACGATTGCAATTTAGAAAATGGACTAGAATATTATGGTACTGAATGCTTCGAGTTCGATTGAGAAAAAAAAATCGAACACATAACTCCATGGATCACAGTTTTACTGTACTGGCCCCGTGTAAAAGCAGGCTATGTTGATAACGCCTTACCCACCCATTCTGTGCTTATTTTCTAGAAATATGTCTGCTTAATTTAACAAAATCCAATTCAAGTATTATATTATTTGACCAAAGGCAATAAAAGGAAAACGTCTTCTTTGAAAATAAGAATTGCATGCATCAACGTTCATAACTTTCATTTATATGCCACGCATTTTCACCCTTCCCTCTCGCATCATATACTGAACTTCCGTTCAGTATTTTGTACACTTTAATTAATACAAACCACGCTAAAGTAGGCACTTTTTATTTTGACACCTTTCTGACTACGTCGGGGCATGGTCGGGGAAAAGTGACAATCCCGACGTCTTCGGTGGGGCAGCCATGGGGCCGGAGGGTTGGGGGAAACAATTGATAGCAAGGGCGGATCCAGAACACAATTTTGGGAGGGGCCAAAAAAAATTTTGGTCCCCCCAAAAAGTGTGTCAAAAAAATTATGGCGTGGGGTTCGGGGCCCGCTTAAGGGCCCCGAAAAATTTTTGGATTCTAGATGCTCTGTGGTGCGATCTGAGGCAATTTCTGACCACTTTAACCAATGTTTTTTTGAGGAAAAGATGGTGGTGTACTCATTGCCTGCCTTTATTGCGATGTCACATTAAAAAAAAAAAAAAAATTGGTTTCGTTTTTGGGGGGGGGGGGGGCATGGCCCCCTTTGGCCCCCCCCCCCCCCCCCCCCTGGATCCGCCCTTGATTGATAGGCGCATAAGTTTCATGAAATTACAATTGAATGCAGGCGAAGTTTGCACTATCAAGTTAAGCCAATACAGGTTTCCACGACGGTGGGCGTCGGGGAGATGATAACCGGTATATTCCACTGATCTCGCGCATTCTCGCTTGTGCGTCATCACGTGATTTGTCAAAGGTCGGATGCCGTAATGGCGGCAAGTTTATTTTCACAACCTTGTATTACGCGTGCAAGACGTAAACACAGACAGCCCGGTATGTCACGAACTTGGTCGGGAATGTTTGGCCCGCGGTCTAGGGACGGTGACTCCATCAGCAAAGTGTGATGTGACTTGCCGTCGATACAGAACGGTTATCGCACAAAGTTGACTGAACGTGACATCTCCTCACAGTTCGCCAAACTCAATTAAACTGGTGCTTCTGTCTGTATAACATAACTGCATGCAAACAAATCCTTAAGGTTGCAGACCAGTAAATCGGTCGGAAAATGCCTGCGCCTGCCAAATCACGATTTGCATGCCCTCAAAATCTTCAGTATTTGAGCATGCTGTGGGTCGTGAACTTGAGGGTTTGTAAAAAATATGGGTGGAAGCCGTGCACAGGACTGTGAGCTTGTAGTTCCGTTCAATTTGGATGAAATTGGGGCAAATTTTGCAATGGAGTGTAGGCATCGTTTTTCAACATGGCGATGGGCTTCGGAACTATTTTCAGGGGTGGTCATCTTCGGATGGAAATTTCTCCTAAAAGTCATCAGTTTACCCCCAAAAATTGCAAAGAAAATGAAAGATGATGAAATAACCTTTAATTTGATGTGTGTCTCGAACACCTTGGAGAGTTGTGAGTATTTTTCCCGAATTTCTGAAGTGTGAGCATTTACCATTGGGATCTATGGAAGTTTATTTACTGGTCTGCAACCTTAAGTTTCCTGCTGGTATTCAAGTCAGGCCGTGTCACTTAACGCACAAGTCTATGGCAAGTGGCTGCGCAATGGCTTCCAAAGGTGCGCGTGTTGTACATAACCGTAGCCAAGTGATAACGACGCAGCCTGAACAGAATGAAAACAACGAGTTAATATTTTTTTTTGTCACAAGAGGGCCACGTTATGCATGGCTCGTATTGTGTTTCATTTTTTTTTTCTGGGTACACGTCAACACCGTGACATGGATACTATCGTGATTACTTGCGCAGCTGTCACAGGACTTGTGCCAGTGTTAAGTCTCGATTTGCCTCGTGCCATTAACAATGATAAACTCGTTACTCTGGACATTCTTCTGTAACTGGAAATTCTTCTGTAACTGGAT